TACTAGTTCACACCCTCGTGAATGGAAGCTGAGAGCCGCAGCTCTCCCGAGAGCCCCGCTCTCTTGACACCCTACCCCTCGGGTCGAGCCCAGCGGGAGCAAACTGGACCAACCAGATGTCAATCAACATGTGGTGCGATTCCCTTAGCCAACCAACAGAGTCGGACCTGAAACCCCTCTGATACCAAATTGTAAGCTCCTGAGTTTGGACTTCCCGGGAGGTCACCCAGCCCAGTACTATTCACACCTAAGGACGCTTAACCCCAAATATCCCAAGACCCTTAACCGTTTGGAAAAGGGGGTGCACTCTTGTTCATGGGCCTTTTCCCTCTATATTTGAACCCCTATAGATCGTCACTCGAGTCGTTCCCTTTGGTTGCTTACATGGTGGAGCTTCATCAACTTATAGTATATATAGGTTAGCGTTGTTCCATTTCTCCACAATCTGAATCAACGCCAGTTTAAGGCCTCTTCCTTGTTTGAGGTAGCGCGCGCTTAGCTAGGATCTAGCATTGTCTTGACAATAATCAAAAATAAGTTTTGTAATAAATCTTGCAAATCAATAAAATAAATTAAAAATTTCTTCTTCTATGTCAGTTTTGGCAAGTTGATTTTGGCACTTCAGTGCATGGGTTCAATCCATAACTATGGGAATAACTATTATAAACATTTAACTTTTGGGGTTTATTTGTGCTTAAGGGAGTTGGGCCTTTGGCTCTCTCTATATCTCTACAAGCAGAGTGTGAGACACAAAATCCCTAGGCCCCAAAGTGGAGCCGAAAGGGCACCATGTGGTAATGGTTGAAGCGAAAGCCAAACGAACGTAACACGTTTGGACTAAAAGCTCCAACTTGAAAGGTCGAGAGCAAGAGTGGAACTCCCAACAAAGTGCTCGAGGAATGAGCACGAAGTGAGCAATAAGCGAGGCTCTAAAAAAGGGACCCAAAAGGACCAAGACATGACATGTGGAAGTGTTCGAGATGGACTCGAGATGGAGTCCGAGATGGACCAAGACGGAGTTCAAGATGGAGTCCGAGATGGACCGAGACGAAGTCCGAGATGGAGTCCGAGATGGATTGAGACGGAGTCCGAGATGGAGTCCGAGATGGAGTCCAAGATGGACCGAGACAGAGTCTGAGATGGAGTCTGAGATGGACCGAGACAGAGTCCGAGATGGATCCGAGATGGAGTCCGAGATGGACCCGAGATGGAGTCCGAGATGGACCCGAGATGGAGTCCGAGATGGACCCAAAATGGAGTCCGAGATGGAGTCTGAGATGGACTGAGATAGAGTCCGAGATGGAGTCTGAGATGGACCCGAGATGGAATCCGAGATGGAATCCGAGATGGAGTCCGAGAAGGAATCCGAGATGGAGTCCGAGAAGGAATCCGAGATGGAGTCCGAGGTCAAGACCGAGACCGAGACCGAGACCGAGACCGAGGCCGAGGCCGAGTCCGAGTCTGAGGCCGAGCCTGAGTCCAAGTCCGAGTCCGAGTCTGAGGCCGAGCCCGAGTCTGAGGCCAAGCCCGAGTCCGAGTTCGAGTCTGAGAGGGTGAAAGCCCAAAGCGTTCGTCTCTTAGACCCTGGGGGGTTTGGTGAGTTCCAAAAGTATAGTAAGGGGGAGAACTACAGTGGAGCCAATTTGGCCAAGAAAGGCTAGTTTGGCCTAGAAAGGCTGTACCCAGTGTTAGGTGATGAGTTGCCCACTGGGAAGTCCAAGACTAGAGTGAACACGGACCGGCAAGCGGGGTAGCTTGGTGAAGTGTTCAAGAGCCGGCTCTAGTTCCCCTGGGAGATCGACTAGCCGATGCTCTCTGTCCAAGTGTGGGTGGCACTATCTACTTGGATACCTGGTGTGGCTTAACGGAACCTCGCTCTAAGCCCATGGCTAGAGCACCTAAAGGCGGAAGGCGGGGAGAGTACCCATGAGGCCCACATAGGGCCACAGTGTTCCAAAATGTTATCCCAAAGTCCCAGATTGTGGAAAGGAAGAGGAGTAGCCCTCAGGTGTGGTGACTAAGGACATAGTCACATAGTGAGGAAGTTCTAGAGGACAATGGGACTTAGTGGTCAGGCCCATAGGCCTTGATCTAATGGTAGTGTTGGTGAATACGGCCAAGGACAGAAAGGGACTTGATGGGGACCAGAAAGGAGATATTGGGGAAGGTTATTCCCCATGTCTGCGGGCATCCTAAGGATGCTAAGGAGTGAATCTAGGATGCCACTCATGGACGGATGGCCCAGTCTTGGAAAGATGGGATTGCAATGCAGGTGGTGTTAGACCACCGATGTGACCAAGGTGATTGGGCATGGCCTAGCGTAACAGGCTGGTATGTTGGTGGTGTTTTGGGGTGTCGGTCATGGGACCAAACACGTGGAACACTTGGACTAAGTGCAAAGGTTGAGTGGTATGGATGCCATTCTCGGGGCTAGCAAGCCCTAAGTCTTGAGTGGAACTTATGGAGGTTGTGAATGAGACTCCTCCAAGTGGTCAAAGGTGTGGTTAAGTGACTAAAGTAAAATGGAAAAAATTAGTCACTTACATAGAGCTATATCATTCCTTTATGATCTAACTAGTAAGGATGATTAATTTTATTAGTCATTTCTTTGTCGGTGATGGCTAGAGGGTGTTTAAGTGTTAACATCTTTTGATATAGAAGTTTTGCCACTCATTTAAGTTGGTATATTTCTCACAAAATGTGTCTTCAATTAGCTTTTAGAGCTATTTTTTTTATAGTTTATTAAACTAGGTATACATTGATGAGGACGTTGATCTTCCAAAGAAGGGGAGTATGTCATAAATATGACTTTGAGTATCAACAAATATTTGTTAGCTAATCCTTTTAAACATTTTCTCTTTGCTACTATAACAATAAGAGATTGGTATTATTAGTTCCTTTTGTTGGCCCTTCTTGGGCTAGTGGAGTTAATTGGACATCTTGAGTATATTTAAACTAGACAAGTATAAAGACATAATTCCTACATGCTATTAACTAATTATACTTAACCCAATAAAGATTCATGTCTCCTTATGTCTTGCATTGGTTAGCAATAAAAACCCTTATATATGAAGCCTAGTCCTTCAATATTATTATATGATATTTTACTGTATCTACTAAACACCTTTGCTATCATGCCCCATTGTAACACACTTGATTTTTGAGCTAAACTTCAAGCCCATTATGCTACAAAATAAATATCTAATATATACTTAATATCCTCTATGAGCATTAACTCTCTATAGCCAACTCTTAGATACAAAACAATATTAAACAGTATTTGGCAAAATTTCAATATGCCAGTGGCCCAAGCAAAGAGGTGCATACCCCACTAGCTAAAGCAACATGGAACTTGGGCTTAAGCCTAAACTAGATGCCAAATAAAAAATAAAATAGCCCAATGGGGGCTAAACTAATACCTCATGCATGCTATCCTTACTTTACATTTAGAACCCTTTATAGCTCCCCCCCCATATGAAACACACACTTTGGAAGTCTTAAGAGTTCCTAACACTCTCTACATTTTGTAAATATGCCTCTCAGGTAGATTTAGATGTTTATCATAAATAGCATATAGATCCGAAACGAGACCAACATATAAAATATAATAGTAAGGGTGTCTGACGGAAATGATGACTAAGCTCAATATCATAAGGGTTCCTAACACTAACAATGCAAGTAAACAAATAAATTTCTCTAATCAAACCAAGTATCCTTAGTTAATAACATTTAGAAATTCCATTATGCTCATTTGGTTAAGTAGAGACCACTCAGAATTAGTAGTGCTGAATTAATAATATTGATCTTATGTGAGATAATTAGTTATCCACCTAGAATCAGTAATACTGATCTTATATGAGATAATTATTACTTATGTGGATGCCTTACAAGATGATGTACTATATATAATTTCAATATTTTAGGGGTAAGAATATACCTTGCTCAAGGGAATATTCATGGATGCTACAAGATGAAAGGACATCCTTTCTTATAATTTCAATTTTTTGGGGGTAAGAATATGTTTTGCTCAAGAGTATATTATATTTTAAGTAACCATTAATAAATAGGAATCAAACTCATGCTATAACATATCTTAATCCAACTGGAAAAAAGGGCAATTACTTAATGAAAGATCTTTTAGTGGCTATTTTATCTTTATTTATCCCCCAAGGTTTTAAGGATCCACAATAACAATATATATAAATTTTATCCCATAACTACATCTAAAATCCCTAAAAACCATTATATTGTTTTTATATCTCAATTTACAATTTAGTGCCATTCTATATGAAGTAAGTTTTCCAAAACTAATTCCTAGAATTAAGATGAAAGCCTCGAGGGAGCTTTCGTGTGGGGGGGGGATGGGGAACTCCAAATATATAGATATGTAATAAAGATAGTGGTTAGAAACATGACTAACCATTTGTGGTTTTGCCAACCAAGGCACAGCTTGTAGTCACACCTTTGACTATTCTATATATCATCATACTTCCTCCACCAATTGAGGATGTTCCATCACTTCTGGCACATTCTGTTCTAGAACTAGACTAGAGCTGGAGTATTCAAGAATTCCCAGACCATCATGCATTAGCTTGGGCCTTAGAGGGGAGTATAAGATCCCATCAAGTGGTAGGATATGGGGAGCAGTGGGGCAAGTGAGGAACTAAGGCTCTTGGGTGTTGCTACAAGCATGCTTAGCTTTGGCAAAGTGTGAAGAAGACTTCCTACTTAGCATCTTAAGGCCGGGAGCAAATTTTCCTAATGCCTTCCTGCAAGTCTGCAACAATGACTGATGCTTATGTTAACTTTAGGTGTAACACTTTGCTTAAAACAACTAAATTGGTGTTCTAGCCACCAATGTGATATTTTTTCTTTCTGTATTTGTTATTTTCTCTCTTTTGTCCAAATTGAATAATATATTATTCTTTAACAAGTAAACCATATTTTGTGTATTTAATTTTAAACCTGACCTAACGAAATGTAGGGTTCATGGCGAGCAATGCAGCGGCGAGAGCGCAGAAGGAGGCGGATTCGCACCTCAAAGCTCTGATGGCATGGCCAGAGAATCAGAAATGTGCTGACTGTGGAGCCTCCAAGCCTCGGTTTGCATCCATCACGCTGGCTGTCTTTCTGTGCAATCGCTGCTACGGGATCCATCGCGGCGTCGGTGCTCACATCACGCGCACCAAATGTGTGGGGTTGGATCGATGGACCCCCGAGGAAGTGCATCGCATGAAATGCATTGGGAATGCGGTCGCAGCGGCATATTGGGAGCGTAAGTGTGAGAACCTCACTCACTTTATCTTTCTTTTTATCCTGGACTGATTTGGCGTTCTTTTAATTTTGTAGAGAGACTGCCTCAAGGAATCCAGCGGCCATCGCCGGAATCGCCGGACTCGGAGGTGGAGAGATGGATCAGAGACAAGTACGAGAAGAGGCTCTTCTGCCCTCCGGATTTGCCTCCTCCGGAAGCTCCAAAGTTTGCGATCGAGGTACTTCAAAGAGTTTTCTTTGCTGATACTTTGCTAAAAGGCCTTTGACAGGAAACGGGAGCGTCAGTACGTTCTTCAACTTTTCAAGCCGACTGGAAACCATTTGGATAGATGGATACGTTTGGAATCCAAGTGCCTGGAACTTCTGTTACTTGATAGCGATTTCTGGCTTGCGTGCCGCAGCCGGAATAGTTAGATCCAAGAGATCCAAGGGAGTTCTGGTCTTCTACAACTCCACAAACTAAGTACACAAGCTTTTTTTTACCTTCTGGCAAGCTGGCGGGGCATGTTTTCTTAACTTGTCCCTTAGATGTCACTTTTCACCAAAAGAGTTTTGGCAAGATCCGCACCGGGATAGCGATTGATCGCTCCCGCTAACTATCCAATTTCTGTTCATGATGTGGCTCTCTCCGAGCAAGATGTGTCGCTTTTACAAAAGCTGACGTGAGTCCTCTCTGTCGCCAGCGAGATCCGTGCTCGCTTTGCCAGCCACACACCAATTACATCTCGAGAAGTTACGCGAGAACATTTGTTTCAAGAATGGCTGACGGACTCGTCGTTGGATTGATCCCCAGGAAGACAAAGGGAGGCCACGTCGGAAAGTCGGGCAAAGACAGGAGATCATCAATCATCAACTTGTTTCGTGTAGGTTTGATCAACTTCCGGTCCGCAGGTCAACGCAAATTAAACCTTCCCACATGGCCAGACCTAGAAGCATTGCTCATCAATGAGGTCAGCGTGGAATCATTAACGGGTCCACCCTGGTCAACGTATGGTCAATTGAGGTCAACACTCTGGCACGCTTCTAACACTCGCACCAACCACAATAGATCCCCCTGGAATCTTGGTGGATCCCCCTCCTTTACAGCGGTGTGGGATGGTTTGGCTTTGCGCCGGGGCGAGTCTTGTGTGAACCACGTGGATTTTGTTTTGAGCAATAACGCCATTTCTTTGTACTTCCAACTTGGGTGACGGAAATGTACAGGGCGACTTGATCGCCAATCCTATCAATCAAGCTGCTATCAATCTAGAGCCTTTACTCTCCTATAAGTTGAGAAGCTTATAAATGGTGGTGGTGGTGGTAGTGTTGTGAAATGTATACTGTTGAGCTGATCCTCCCGATCATCAATAGACGAGAGCCGAGAGTTTCTTGTTGGAGAGGATCTGCTCATTGCTGCCAAGGAAACGAGCGCGAAAGTCGAGTCAGAGAAGATGGAAGTGCCAGTTTGATTGATAGATAACCAAACCTTTTCTTGACATTGCTGCCAGTGACAATGTCTCCAAAGCATATGTATCTCCCCACCGCGTTTGGCTTCTCCAGAGCTACGAGATGCGCAGACGCAACTTCTTCAACGTGAGCGTACGCCAGCACTTCGTCACGGTGGAGTTCCCTCACTCCTGGTCCATTTTGACAAAAGATTATCGCTCGTTCAAACTTGTAAGTTCTTGGAGAGTTACCTTGGATCGAGGGATCCCGGGAAACAACCGTGGCCGGATTTAAGACCACCATATCGAGGCCTTTGTCGAGGGCGAGAGCCCAGGCAGCGCGCTCGGCCAACGTTTTCGAGAGAGGCGACCATAGCTGAGCTCAAGAACAAGACAAGGAATAGTGTCAGGGAGACAGTGTGATGGACACACACGCAAATCTTACCTTGTTTTCTCTGCAAAAATCGAGATTTGTCCAGCACTTCTCGTCCAGAGAAGTTTCCTCCTGCGTGTAGACAATGGTGGAGAGACACGAGGTAAGAACCAAGCGCCTCACGGTCTCGGAGTTGGCGCATGCCTCCACGACATTGAGAACTCCCTTGATTTCGTACTCGATCATATCGGCCTGGAAGAAAAAGAAGAAAGAATCTTTCTAGCTCGCAAGAAAAACATTAAACGAGAGTGTTTCTTTGGCTCACCGGATAGTCTCGCATTCCATTCATGTCGTGTGGCGCTGGCGAGTGGATCACTCCCGAGCAGCCCCGGATCGTCTTTGCGAGGCTCTTGTAATTGAGAACGTCGACCGAGACGAGGTGGAGCCTTTGCGCGGCTCCTGGCAAAGATTGGAGCTGGGAAAGCTCCTCTGCGAGGGATCACAGCTCGTTAGGAAGATCACATCATGATCCAAAGAACCTACCTGAGCTTAGATGGACTCCACAGCGAACAGAGTATCCTCGCTCCAGCAGCAGCTTCACAATCGAAGAGCCCATCAATTCCCAGCTCCCGGTGACACACACGAGATCGACAGTGTCCTCAGCACCCATTGTAAGACCAGAGAAATAAAAACAAGAAAAGAAACAAGGGAGAGAGAGAGACGAGAGATCAAAGAGTGGCGGCGATGAGTGGAGGAATTGGGGGGCGCGGGGCGGGATTTTATAAGCAGGAGCAACGAGAGGCCACGAAACCCAAGTCGGGTAAAAAGGCGAAACGTGGAGGGAGTCAATCTATGGCGGGGTTGACTCGCGGCGACCGGCAACGACCGCGAGAAGATGGCTGGCTATGGCGCGCCGAGAGAAAGAGAGAATGACATTAAATACGTACAGGTGGGGAGACAAGATCGTGGCCGTTCGTTGCGGGCGGTAAATGCGACATAAGCAACGGTGATGGTGCTAATACTATGGGTTTTATTCAAATGATTTTGATTTGATTGATTAATCATAGACTAGCACTCAGTAGCGATGCTCTTGGCCACAGATTCTACAGTGGAGGGTGTCATGCAGTTTTCTCCCAAAATCCACTCGATAATGGAAGTGGAAACGTTCTCGTTGTTGACAATGAATCTGGAAGGAGCTTTTGATCCTTCCTCGCGAACGAAAACCTGTGAGAATCATACATTGATTTGGAGAAAAATCTTTCCTGAGAGGAATTTTTGAGATCTTGCCTCAACGTGAGAGCTTGACGATGGCCAGGAGTAGACGATGGTGGAGTTTGGCTCCAGTTTCTTGCTCTGGAAGAACTCGCAGAGATTTGCGAGAGCTATCTCCTCGTCCTCCTCGTATTTGTCATCGTAGGCTAGCCTGTCGCGAATGCTAGTCTCGATTGTGGATGCGTACTGGCTCCCAAGTTGCCCCTTGACGAGCAAGATCTTGATGAGCTTAGAAACCGGAGCTGCGAATGTTTTCTAAGATTTTATTTTTTCTTCCCGAGCGAAAAGAATTGAATCACTCACCTTGTATGAGCTGCTGGAAAAACTCACTGCCATCCTTGAGGAGCTCGGATACCGGGAGGCACTTGAAGGACTGGAGATGATCCTTGACTTCCGGAGCAAAGTAAACGCCGATCTTGGTGAAGATGACGTGAATTGTCTCGATGGTCATGTCCGTGATGCCTGCGAAAAAAGCAATGGTCCGCAATCACAGCGAGCAGCAAACAGAGATTTTTACCATGCCCCAGGAGAATGAGTGTCTCCGACGAGGAGGGAGATTGAATGGATTGCGCAAAAGTGGGATCCATCTCCATCGCTTGAGCTTGGCCACTGGAGAAAGAAGCACGAAAGTAAGAAGAAAAAGAGAATTCAAGTGCTTCTTTGCGTACTCCAAAGCATTGAAGACAGATGAGAGGAGGGCATTGGGGAAACGTTGAGAAGATCGACAGTAGCCACGTCTTTGCTGTGTGAGGTCCCAAACTCCGCTGATTCTCCTCCTACCCGACGACGGCTTGACTGGCCGGTGTCAAAGGGAATTATTAGGGTTCTTCATCGACCTTTAATCCATTTGAAATATTTGTAATGTTATGTGCCCTAAATCGATGAGAGCATTGAGGAGCATGAAGGCGATGCTCGCCTTGGGTGGGATCACTGCGGTGTGGCTCTTCTTCCAATGGATCATGCTTCTAGGTACCAACATTGGATCTATCTCCTCAAATCCTCTTCCTATCGTTTTTTTTTGGTTTGGATTTCTAGTTCCAAAGCCCTGGGTTTCTCTATCGCATGAAGATAAGAGCACATTGAAGGAGTTCCATGGTAAATTTCATCAGTGTGTTGTAAGTGCTGGCGAGCTTATCAAGTTTTATCCTGGCTGCGATGATTTGCTTGCAGCGAACAAACGGGATTGGAATCTACAGCAGGTCTATGGATTACTGCACTGCAAACTTCTACTTTTCTCATGATACTGAAGCGAAATGGGTATGCTTCAATAGTTTTCATGGTTGTTTTGATCTCCTCGCTTGTGTTACAGACGGATCCAAAGACTGGAAATCTCGAGCCTGTCACTTACAATCTGGATTTGTGCGAGGCAATGAGAATCTGGGAACAAGTGAGTTTTTTTTTTTGTTTTCTTGACATCGTTTTTTGAATGAACTTAAAATTTGCTCCAGGTTCGCAACAGCAGTACGATTCTTACAAAGGAATACATCGATGGTTTACCAAATGGCTGGCATGACTACGCTTGGAAGAGAATCAACAAAGGCATTTTGCTGTATGTGATTCTTTTTCTTTTGGTTTTATTACCATTAAACATGACAACGCACAGGAGAAATTGCGAGGATAAAAAGCTGTGCTTGGATAAACTGTCGAAAGTGCTGCCAGATACTCCACCGTTTGTGCCTCGTCAATTTGGACGCTGTGCTGTTGTGGGAAATTCTGGTGACTTGCTCAAGGCAAAGTTTGGCAGGGAAATAGACGGCTTCGACGCTGTAGTAAGGCATAATGGTGCTCCAATAGAGGTAAATGATTTTTTTTCTTTACGATTCATGTTATCATTCGATATCCTGATAGTTCGTGACAGAACTATACAGATTATGTTGGCTCCAAGCGTAGCTTTCGACTTCTCAACCGCGGATCTGCTAAGGCGTTGGACAAAGTAGCAGAATTGGATGGTTAGTAGCTTTAAGTTTTTTATGTTCTATAGTTAAATGGATATCTCAGGAACGGGAAAGGAAGTTCTGATTGTCAAAACCACGATCCATGACGTGATGTCGAAAATGATCAAGGTAATCTTTCTGTCGTCTCTGGTTTCTCGTTTAAGCTCTATAGTTTCATCAGGAAATACCGATCATCAATCCAGTTTATTTGATGCTCGGTGCGTCCTTAAGCTCTTCGGCAAAGGGGACCGGTGTGAAAGCTTTGGAGTTTGCATTGTCAGTTTGCGAGACGGTGGATATCTACGGATTTACTGTCGATCCTGGCTACGTTGAATGGTTTCTTTCTCTTTCTTTACTTTTTTCCTGCTGCTTGAATTCTACTTCACGTTTTTACAGGTCTCGGTATTTCTCGGAATCAAGAGGCGGTCACACTCCGCTACTGGGAAGAGCTTATTACCAAATGATGGAGTGCTTAGGAGTAAGAAGAACTACTTCATCTCGATGATTTAGCTAATCCATTGCGTTTTGCAGCTAATCCGGATCCACTCGCCAATGCGCTTGGCAAGGGGCAGCAAAAGTGGCCAAGTTCCCAGCAAAAGCACTCTTGATGCTGCAAGAAGAGTTTCTCAAAAGATAGTGAGGTGAGCTTTCTTACACTGTAGAAAAGTCACTCAAGTTTTTTGTGGTCCTCACGCAGGAACGATGCTCACAGTGATCCACTGAGCTCTTGTTCTATATGGAAAAAGAGGTCGCACGGCCATCGCCGTGTGCTTCCAGCGAGTAAAAAAGCGGCCGAGCACGATAGCGTCGTAAAGAGCGTCACTCAGTACCCACTAGAGCATGGCACTGGGATGCTTTGTGTCCAAAGCTAGCGCGTTTGCTCCACCTTTGAAGTCCCAACAGGTGGGCGTTTCGAATCCCGACGCGTGCAAAGCTTGCTCCATTGCCACGCGTCAAAATTATTTCCCTTCTCGGATACCAGCATTCAAAAAATTTCTTTTTTATGGCGTACAGATTTTAGGGCGTAGCGATTCCAGCGCTCTGGCGGGAGCGGCGAGCTCCGGGCGAAGCTTGTAAGTCTCTACTCGTAGATGTTAGCTGCGATTTCTTCGTGTGATGCACTGGACTTTCTCGCGGCATTGGCTAGAATGCGAGCTGCTTGAGCTTAATCCATCGCTCTTTCTCCGGAAGAACTTTCGCGATTGAGTTTAGTCCATGTTAGAGCTGCTTGAACAATCGAATTCATCGGTTAGAAGAGGGAATTCTCACTCTTTATGGTTTTTTTTTGTGTTCCAGATATTGGAAGGATATTTTTCTGGATGTATATCTAGATGGTTGTTTCTTTGGCGGTGGCTCCAGTGCCCTTGTACACAGCAATTGCCGGAGCCTGTGGAAGTACTATCGCGAGCACTCATCACAACAACGAGGCTGATGGAAAGGTGAAGCTTTCAACGTTTTTACGTATCGACTCGCGGGGGGTTCCGTTCTATGGTTTGAAGGCAGACCTCCATTTTCTATCGTCGAAACGCTGGCGCTATACACTCTTGACGTGCGTCGCGTTGGACAAGGGATGGAGCCAGAAGCGTAGCGGCGATTCGGGTTTTAAGCCGCTGGTAGAGCACACGTACAGAACTGCTGCAAGTTTAGTGTCCGAAGCCACAGGAAAGGAGAAGAGTTTTGAGGCTACAGTTGCTACAGGTTCTACTCCAAGTTCATCATGGGACTATGCGAACTCGTCCAGGGTGCTCGGTGCCTCTCGGTTTGCTGTCCTCCTTGGAGTGGTGATCACGATTTTTGGAGCTGTGTCATTGACGGCTGTTTTATTTGGAAGGTGGTGGAATCGGTTGAGAAATCAAGACAGGAATGATTTGAAGACAAGTGATTCTTGGCCTGGAGGAGTCGCAAGTCCGTCAGTTGTGTTTGAGGCTCCCTCGGCTTTTTCGTTCTTTCTGAAGAAAGACTTGAAGCGGAAAGAGTCTGTAGAATGGGTGAACATGGTTCTTGGCAAGCTCTGGAAGATATATCGCCGTGGCTTGGAAACCTGGCTCGTTGGACTTCTTCAGCCTCTGATCGACAATCTTCATAAGCCGAGCTATGTGCGGAGAGTTGTGATCCAGCAATTCAACTTGGGAGACGAACCCTTGACGGTAAGAAGTGTGGAACGAAGAACATCTCGTCGAGCGAATGACTTGCAGTAAGTTGACGTGACTGTGACTATGTGAGTACTGACTGCTTTTTTATCAAGGTACCATATAGGCCTCAGGTACACGGGTGAAGCAAAGATGCGTCTTATGATCACTTTAAGCGCCGGCTTTCTTCCTGTCATGATTCCTGTTGGAGTTCGGGGTTTCGATGTGGATGGAGAAATTTGGGTGAAACTACGATTGGTTCCGTCAGAGCCGTGGATCGGCACCGCAACCTGGGCCTTCGTATCTTTGCCAAAAATAATTCTGGCCTTGGCACCTTTTGGTCTTTTCAACATAATGAGTAAGTGAGCTACTGCTCTTTGAGCCTTACTAATCATTATTTTTGTGTCCTACACCAGCATTTCCGTTCATTTCAAGGTATTTAATACTTCAATTTCTGGCTCTCTTAAGTTTTGATTGCGTGCATGAAGATTTTTGACAAAGCTGCTTACCGAAGATCTGCCACAGCTGTTTGTAAGGCCGAACAAGATAGTTGTCAATTTTCTAAAAAATCCGGCAAGTGGTCCATTTGCTCAACAGTTTCAAGACGAAGGTGTTAACGTGGAAGGCAGCAAAGACTTTACTGGGGAGTTGTCTGTCACTCTAATGGATGCACGGAAGCTGAAGTATTTCCCAATTGGTGAGTTCTATTTTTTGGATTTGAACGATTTCATTGACATTATTGTACCTCCCAGGTAAAACTGATCCATATGTAAAACTGATGTTGGGCGATCAAGTGATTCGTAGCAAGAAAAACAGCCAAACATCTATCATCGGACCTCCGGGAGCCCCGATATGGAATCAAGTAAGTTTTTCTTCGTTTACAAACGATACGACGGTGTTTGGTGCATTTACAGGACTTTCAGCTGCTGGTTGAGGACCCAAAGACCCAAAAAGTAGCAGTCCGTGTTCGAGATACCGTTGGCTTGGGAGTTTTCACTATCGGTTATGGCGAGGTAAATGATCCTTCAGTCTGAAAACTATGTACTGATGTGCCTCTTTGTTTTGTAGATTGATCTGAGCACACTACAAGATACCGTTCCTGTTGATAAAATCGTGACACTTCGAGGTGGCTGGGGTTTTCCTAAACGTTTTGCTGGAGAGATTATGGTCCGATTGACTTACAAGGCATATGTGGAAGATGATGAGGAAGAAGATGACGGGCCTTTCAATCAACTCTCGGACGTCGAATTGGACTCGGACAAGGACGAGTTTAGTACGAGGAAATTCTTTCGCAAGAAGAGGAGACTGGACTTTCTGAGGGACTTATTCGCTGCTGTGAACGTCGTCATCAAGGACTTCGGCTACGATAACGTCCTTGTAGAACCAAAGAAATTCGTCGACAAGAAGCGAGAACACGCTCAAGGTGATGGTCACAGGGGATCATCTCAAAGTGAACCGAGGCGTCAGGGTGATACGGGACGGCTACCGCCTTCAAAAGCCAAACACAGACAGGTGCCACCATCTCAAAGTGACGATGGCGCTGGGAAGAAATCACAGGAGGTGACGGGCCAGGGAAACTTGCAAGAACCAAGACCCGATATTCCTGCACAGACACCGGAAGCCGAGAAAGAACAAGCCGAAAACGAACAAGCTGAGGAGGAGACAAGAAGAACGAGCTTGAACTCCGGAGGTGGAAGAACCAAAGCTTTCGGACGGTGGACCGAGAGTAAGCAGTAGATCATCTTTCTTTCTCAGTTCCTCAGTCGTGGTTTGCTGCAGATCCAGCAGTGTTGTGGCTTGGTCTAGCGACGGGCATTGCGCTGCTGGCAGCGCTAAGCCTCAACTTCTCCAACTTGGTCAATCCTTGATCATCCGAGAGATTTTGCAATTCTTTGTAAGTAAGTTCGCAATGTTGTTACGATTCTTTTCCTGTCAATAGCCAGCAGGGATTTAACTCTCTAGCCGATCGAAAATTGCTACTGGAGACCAATTCTTTGCGCTACAGACCCCTTGCTTCTATCCTGGCCGAGCGACGACGACGCCGATACCTTGGAAGGTCGGGAAGGAGCTCCCTCACCAGTAGTGGCGATGGTGGCTGCCGCGGCAGCGGCGGCGGCGGCGGCGCGCTTGCGAGCATCCTCCAGCTCCTCCTTGTCCTCCGCCTTGAGCTCCAGGCGCGTGGGCTTGCGACGCAGCATTTTACCCGATCCCTTATTTTAGGGTTCTTCTTTCCCGTGATAGTTTTTTTCAAGTGGTTCTTACATTTTGTTTATCCGTACATCCACGTCACTATGACCAAGGGCCTAAATTCGTAGGAATTCCCCTATGATGTGTCTGAAACTCGAGGGAAGCTAGGCTTAGATGGCGGTGCTATCTATCTTACAATCATGCTGCGGCCATGTCTTCCGGATTGGGGCCTGCGACGGAGGAGCCCGGGCGCACTGGAACTTGGGCCTGCCTCTCGTGGAAGTCCTTGATCGCCGGCTCCATCGCTTTCTTCCTCTTGGCGTCGTAATCTTTGATCGCGGCTTTGATCGCATCCTCGGCAAGCATGCTGCAGTGGAGCTTCACTGGCGGTAGCGACAGATGCTTGGCGATGTCACTGCGAAGAAGAAAGAGGAATGAGCTTAGCCTCGGAAAAATCCTCTCAAGAAGAAAAATTACTTGTTTGTGATCTTCGACACCTCGTCCATCCCTTTGCCTTTGATCCACTCCGAGGCTACAAATCCAGCGAGCCAGTGCGAGATGAGAGGGCGAAAAGAGTAATTCCAAGAAAGAATCTCTTACCCACGGAAGACGATGCGATGGCCGAGCCGCAGCCAAACGTCTTGAAGCACGAATCGACGATCTTGCCGTCGTCGCCGACGCGGATTTGGAGCTTCATCACGTCGCCACAGGCGGGAGCTCCGACCAGGCCGGTGCCGACACTGGGGTCGCTGGCATCGAAAGAGCCCACATTCCTGGGATTATTGTAGTGATCCACGACCTTCTCGTGGTAGAATCGGACCCTAGACGCTCCGCCAGCGCGGCCGCGCGACACGATCTGCCTCAGCATCATCTAGAAATCACGCCCAGAGCATCAGCAAACCGGCACAAACGCGCCAAAACCTACCTTCTCTAAAGCGCGAGACTAGCTAGGGTTTCTAAAGTGCCCAGGCACTAAAGCCTGCAACGTGGGGCCATCACAGCCGTACACGTGACCTTATATGGCAAAAGGTATATTCGTCATCGCTACTTCCGGGGCCGAATCCACCATTGTTTGACTGTTGGAGCTCCTTCCAAGCATCTGGCCAGGGGAATCGAAGGATCTTAGCTATCCAGGAAACGAATGCCTACCTTGTAGAGTAAGATCGTCGGTGATCATATCCAGCTCGAAGAGATTGAGCAAGCGCCCCAGGTCGACACCGCTCGTCCACCTCTCGGGCTGATCGGACCCATGCCGCAGCTTCAATCGCCCTCGATCCATCGAGCCTCCCCAGATCAATCCCATCGGCCTGGGCTTGTCACCGTGGAGCTCCCCACAAGCAGGCTGCCACTGTCGCCCTCCGCGTCAAAGTCCCCGCCATCGCCCACCACCAACAGATCCGTGAACAAGCACCCGTCCCCTTCGTCTTGGTACTCCACCCGTACGCGACCACGGTACCCCGGGTGAGCCCGGTGCTCCTCCCAACTTTGATCGCCGCCTTGCCCACCAGGTTGGCGATGGGGTCCTCCATGTTGATGGTGAAGAGCTCGCCAACCTCGCCAACGAAGGGGATGGTGGCGGTCACGGAGGAGCAGAGGGAACGAAGGCTCCATCGGCCCAGACGAAACTTTCTAGCACGTAGCGGCAAATGTTAGACAAGCATTCGGCATTTGCTGGAGAGCGAGAGAGAAGGCAAGACCTGAACAGAAGTAAGCAAACATCCCGTACCAAAGATCGTCGGTGACGAACAAGGACGCCCGCTCCACGGCGCCCAGGTAGACGCCCTGCCCGAGCCTCCCAGGAGGTATCGGGTGGAAGTCTTCTGGTACGGGAAGTCAGAGGTCCACGGCAACGTGTGTGTTAGTGAGGAACCCTAGTTGGCGCTTCCCAATGCGGCTGCGCACCACGGGCCCAATGGTTCCAAAGAGCTTTAAGCTCGTCACCTTTTCCATCGGGCATCATATGAGCAAACAACTCGGCTATGGTAGCTGCCTGGGATCCAGGACCGATGCGTTGGCCATTCCCTCGCAAGTAGTTGATGAGCTCCGAGTACACCCATTCTTTTGGGGCCGAAGCCGGCGTGCCATGGAACGAGAACTCCACAACGTCGACATCACACCAAGTGAGATTCCCCGGGCCCTGAAAGAAAGATCAAGACTCGAAACGATCCCAAGTGGGGAACCCAAGAGAGAGGCCAGTGCGAGGACAACCTGCAGGATACGGGGTAGCATTTGCCCGTCGAGCACCCCTTCAGCTTGCGCGGGACGAAGACGATGATGGCGGGGCGATCGGTCACCTGCCTGTTGCGGGTCCGGAAGCCCAGCGCGGTGCCCAAACTCCGGCGGCGGAACAGCTTCCCGTGGATGGCCCGGATCGCCATGAGCTCGCCCAGCGTGCTGGCCTGGCGTCCCGTCCCCATCGTCTCGCCGCTCGCCACGTTGCTGCAGTGGTGGCTGAAGTAGGCCCACCGCGCATTCCTCGACGTGGAAGCATGGCAGGCACAGCACGTAGTCGAATAATCCGTCCTTGCGGCCGCGGCCGTGGTAGCGCGATCCTGAGGCGTAGGCCCGCATTTGCGTACGAAGCGCCCGCCAGAGCAAGACGAAGAGAATCTTAAACCCATCTTAAACCTTCCAAGAAAACAAAAAAAAAAAAAAACAAACAAACAAACAAAACAACTCGAGTAGAAAACTCCACGAGTTGCCACAGCTGATGTAATGCAAGTGTTGTTGACCTTGAAAGGCTCGGCGTGACTGTCCAGTAATGGCAGAGAGCTGGTGTGTTCTGTCAGGCCGTTCATAAATTATTGAGATATAAGATTCTTCTATGTGGTCGATTGCGAAATCTTATTGCTACTGAAGACCATTTCTTTGACCCTGCTTCGTTCCTGCCCAGCGACGACGACGGCAACTTATCTGGTAAGCCATAAAATAGATATGTTCACCTTTCTTTTATCCGTATATTCTAACTTTATCCGTACAATTATCACAATCATGTCTTGAGCACGCCTGCTGAGTCATGGAAGTCTTTTATCCCTTTGAAATCCTCAAGGAAAACAAATACTGATCTTATTCCCACTTTCGACGCAACAATCCAGCGAGGCAGCGAATCTCGAGAAAGAATCTCTTACCCCACGATGGGGATCGAGCCAAACGTCCTGACGCCCTCAATTGGCGCGGGTTTTCTTTTCGTTAGGGTTTCTGGCAACGTGTCGTGACAAAAAGGGATCTTGAGATTTTCTTCTCTCTATAAACTTATCCTCGTGCGCTTGGCGATCTGGCGCTCCTCGGCATCGTCGCTACTTCCAGGGCCGGATCTCTTGATCTCGCCTTCTCGTTGCCATGACGAAGGCCCGGGAATGTCTCCAGGTTTCAACTCGGTGCTACAATCCTTGGACTGTTGGAACTCCTTCCAAGCATCTGGCCAGGACAAGTCAAGGAAGAAGCTAAAGCGATGGGAATGGACGGATACCTTTGAGAGCAAGATCGTTGCTGATGATATCCAGCTGGAGGAGATCGAGCAAGCGGCCCAGGTCGACACCGCTCGTCCAGTTCTCGGGCTCGTGCCCCTGCCGCAGCTTGAGTCGCCCTCGATTCGAAGTGCCCCCCCAGATCATTCCCACCGGCCTGGGCTTGTCGCCGTCGCACAGCAGAATCATGCTGCCGCTATCGCCCTCCGAGTCAAACTGGCCCCCATCGCCCACTACCAAGAGATCCGTGAAGAAGCACACGCCCTTGTCGTCGTGGTACTCCACCCCGTACGCTACCACTGTGCCCCGGGTGAGCCCGGAGCTCCGCCCGACTTTGATCGCCGCCTTGCCCACCAGGTTGGCGATGGGGTCGTCCAAGTTGATGGTGAAGAGCTCGCCAACCTCGCCAACGCCCTTGATGGTGGCGGTCACGGAGGAGCTGTCGAAGCTGGCGGCGAAGGGCACGAAGGCGCCATCGGCCCGGACGACAGTTTCTGCCAACGCGGTAAGCAACATGTTAGACTAGAGAAGCAAGGCATTTGCTGCAAAGAAAAGTAAAGCTTTCGGGACACCTGAGCAGCAAGTAGCAAACATCCCGTACCAAAGATCGTCGGTGACAAAGGAGGTCGCCCGCTCCACGGTCCCCAGGTAGACGCCCGGCCCCAGGTTGGGAGGCAGCGGGTGGAACATCTTCTGGTACGGGAAGTCGAGGTCCACGGCAACGTGCCTGTTGGTGAGGAACCCTATCTGGTGCTCTCCGGTGCGGCTGCGCACCACAGCCCCCATGGTTCCGTATACCTCCAAGCTCGCCACCTTTTCCATCGTATAGCGTATCATATATGGCGATAGCTACAAGCTGAGACTGTTACCTGGGATCCAGGACCGATGGATTGGTCATCCCCTCGCAGGCACTCGACGAGCTCCGAGTAGACTTGCTCCTTGGGGGCCGCGGATGAGGTGCCATGGTAGGAAAACTCCACAACGTCGACATCACACCACAGATCCCCCGGGCCCTGCGTGACGAGCGAAGAAGAAACAATCAACACCCAAGAGAGGCGAGCTGGAGGACAAAACCTGGACGGTGCTGGGCAGCATTTGCCCGTCGAGCACCCACTGGGCATGCAGCTTGCGCGCGACGAAGACGATGATGGCGGGGCGGTCCGTCACCTGGCGGTCGCGGGTGCGGAAGCCCAGGGCCGTGCCCAGGCCCAGGCGCCGGAACATCTTGCCGTGGATGGCCCGGATAGCCATGAGCTCGCGCAGCGTTCTGGCCTGGCGCCCCGTTCCCATCGACTGCCGGCTGTCGTCGCTCGTCGTCAGGCTCGCCATGTCGCTGTACTGGCGGCTGAAGAAGCTGCTGCGCTCCACCGCCCATTCCTCGACGTGGAAGCATGGCAGGTACAGAACGTAGTCGATCGATCGGTCCTTGTAGCGCGACCCCGATGCGTATGCCCGCATGTAGCGGGCGATTTGGATCCTCGGGACGGGATGCTTGCGGCGGCTGCCAGATCCACAGTATGTCAGTGCAAAGATCTATCTATCGGATCATACCATGGGAAGAGCTCTCGCCGGCGCTGCTTAGGCAGTGGGCATCCCCGGGACTTGGATTTGTGGCACGGCAGCGCTACACAGGTATGCTGCGGCGAGTCAAACAGGCAGCTCTCGGCGGGCATGAATCGCCCGGGAGAGCATTTAAAACCCATCTCTAAACCCCCCGCTCTCCCGCGCCCCTCTCCCCCTCCCCCTGGTTCTATCTCTCTCTCTCTCTCTCTGGTTCTCTCTCTCTCTCTCGCCCATCCACGCGTCAAAACTCGAGATTCCATATTTAGAAGCGTGCGCTGTCGTCAATGGATTGTTTTGGTCACAGAATATCCCCTTGTCAAGGGCTTGATAGATTTAAGTAGTGTCTCGTAACAGTGTGTCCATGGCAGCGTAGACGCTATCCCTCAGGAAGCTCACGTCAGGGACGATCTTCTCCTTCGCCATGACCGCGATCCTCACGTCATTCGCGTAGCTTGTCATGTGGACCAGCAGCCCCTTTTTGTCACCCGACGAATTCGCAAACTTTGTCAGGACTTGGTGTGTGATTGTGCCGATGATAAAAGATCTTATAACGTACCTGTGGAAGGCCCGAGCTCGTGGGGATGATGTAAAGGAGAGGATTTCCAGCGAACGTTACGGTCTCCACAGGGCCAACAATGTTGGAGATTGTGAGGGTGGTGTGGAGCGCGGCCCTGTATGTCATGTCTCGCCCGCCCTGCCGCGATCGAGCAATGAGCTAGCTTTGATTGACGCTCAGACAGTACCTTGATTCCGAGGAGATGGATCAACAAAACCCCTCCAGAGTACGTGAGCTTGGCCTCGTAAGAGAGCTTCTTCCGGGTGGAAATAGATTTTGCGTGGTGGACGTGCTCGAGTGACGGGTGTGTAGGTGCGTTGACCTTATTGACCGAGAGGGGAACGAGCATGTAACCCAGGCTATTGCCCCATCTTGCCTTCGACCTGGTGTTCATCATCTCGTTTACTTCCTACACAAAGTCAGTCAAACACACACAAAGTCATGGTTGAAGGACTTTGACTAATGGTTTGACTGACTTGCAAACCTGGGGAAGGTCTGGTGTTGACCATCACTAGCGCCCGGATCGAGAGGCTCTTCAACCATTTTGCTGTGAAAACCATGTCAGAGAGAGAGAGAGATGGTTGAATGATGGTTGGGAACTCTTAAACTTACAGTGATTGCCATTGTCACTGCCAGTTTGAGCGTGATGCGTGAGATACTTCTGGAGAGCAATCGAGACAATCGCGAGTAGCACATCGTTCACCGTCTGGGATGGGTAGAAGTGGAGTGAAATTCTTGTTCTCTGTTACGTGAAAAAGCTTACCGCATTGGCGGCATTCTTGACGCGCTTGACATCGTCGAGCTTGAGGTCGGCGATGGCGAGCCGACTTGGCTCGTTCTCGGCCCCGCGATAGCCTCGCAGGCATGAACGGCTGTCCTTGACCCACGCCTGCATACACAGAAACTTGACAATCTCCGTGATAGAGAACCATGCCACGAGCACGAGCCTCCAGAGCCGCGGCACGAGAGACCTCCAAATCCACGCCAGTGGATGAAGATCATTCTGTGGCGCCGGCGCTGGCCTGGGAATCGTGGGCAGCATCGCGGGATTCTCCAGCTGCCGTGTAGATGCCAGGAAGAGCGACATGAGCGAGGTTCCATCGCCGAGTGCGTGATGGAAGACGAGGATACAAACACCTCTCGCGCCACCACGAAGAGAGATTTGTGGGCGATCATCATCCATCGCCAGGACGTGGACCTCCCACAGAGGCTTGCTGGCATCCAGGCGAGCGGCGCTGAGCTCGGCGGTGTAGTCCTCCACGATCGTGGGCGAATCGCGCGGGAAGCGCGAGAGGTCCGCCACGATGATGTGATCGTCGATGTTTACGTGGGTTCTCACCCAGATCTCCCTCCCTCTAGCGTTTAGCCTCTACAGTGTTTACGATCGATCGATCGATCGGTTCGAATAGAAATGGATGAATACGAACCATGAGGCTGGAGAATCGTGGGTGTTTTGCCAGTGTGTTGGAGAGCTCGCTCTTGAGCGCCGGGAGATCGATTGGGTTCTGGAATCCAAGAATGCACTGGGCCGTCAAGTAGAAATCCGGCTGGAGGAACAATCGCCCCGCCGGTGTCACCGGCTCCTCCACTCCATCTCCAATCCGCGGGAGAGTGTTTTCATTCTCATTCCCATCGCTAGATCTTTGCTGAGAGGTTTTGATTCGCCGAAGCACTCCCATTTCTTTCTGGGCGAGAAAACAGAGGTTCGATGTTATATAGTTCCTCACGACAGCTCGTGATGATACTCGAGCCCGAGACCTCCCCCAACTTCATTGTTCTAGGGCTCGCTGTGAATGGCGCTGTGAATGCCGCTGCCATGGCGTCCCCAGCGATGATCGAGTCGGCATTCTTGTCTCGGAGCTGCGCAATCCTGCTCGCGCGCAGGATCGGCGTGGGGAAGCGATCTAGGGTTGCAAATCTGCGGAGGAAGTCCACGAGCTTCGTTTCCGCCCGATGCTGTGCCAGTGCCAGTGCTGGCCCGGATGTGTCGCCTTCTCCTGCTACAACAGGCAGATCCAAGGTTTGCGCGAACAATCAATCGCTCGTGGTTTTCCTGATTCTAGGATTTGTTCCTTTTTTCTTTCACTCTAGAACACACTGGGCCCAAAATTTAGTTTCTGCCCAGTTTGTGGAGGTCCTGCCGATCAAAGAGTTCCAGACGGGGAGCACGAGCCTAGAAGCGTTTGCACCTTGTGTGGATTTGTACACTATCAGAATCCAAAGATGGTGAGAGCTGGAAAACAAGTCTTTCATTCATTCCAGAGACGAAAGCATCACTTTCTTTTACCAGGTTGTAGGATGCGTTGTAGAACACGATCGGAAGATTCTTCTCTGCCGGAGAAGCATTGAGCCGTGCTACGGTCTCTGGTAAGATCAAAGCTCCATTTCCTTTTGCCGATTGAAGAAGGTGATTTTCTGTCTCAGGACTTTACCAGCGGGATACATGGAACTTGGAGAATCGGCTGCCGAGGGTGCGGTGCGCGAAACGCAGGAAGAAGCTCACGCGCAGGTGGAGCCAGTTTCGCTGTTTGCTCATCTCGACATTCCGCTCATTGGCCAGGTTCTCGTTCTCTCCTCGTTCCTTGGGCTTTCGTATATCTCTGGTGTTTCTCATTCTTAAGATGCGTGTGCAGTGCAGAGCTATGTAATTTTTCGTGCCAAGTTCGCGCACGGCGTGCAGTACTCACCGGGGCCCGAGTCTTTGGAATGCGCTCTCATCGAAATGGACGAGATTCCGTTTGATAAGATTGCCTTCTCAACCATAAGCGTGGCTCTCAAGCTGGTAAGCTCTCGGAAAGTTTTCGTTCTCGCTTTCTTGGTTATTTGGTTTACGTATCCCTTGGCATCAGTACATCCAGGATTACAAAGCAGGACGGTTTAGAGTTCACTCAGGGGTGATCGATAAGAGGCCCGGTGCCAGTCCATCCGATCCTCAAGGCTTCGTTCTCCGAGACTACCTTTCATCGTAAACTCCCGGAGAGTTTTGTTTCAAAAACAACAGGAAAAATTACCAAGGCCATTTGATCTCTTTGTTTTGTTTATTCTCTTTGATTATCACTCGTTATTCCACTGTTCCGAGGAAGAACAAAGTTTATTGGGGTTATTTGGTTTTATGGCATTTTTTTATAGATTTAAATATTTCTTCCTTTTGCTTTATTTGTTTAAAATTTCCAAAACCCGAAAACCTTTTGGGTTAAACTCTGCCGCGTGGCGTTTTGGACGGTGTGCCATGTCCATCTGCCCTTTAAATTGGCATTAAATCCTTTGACTCAAATCAGGGTAAAGGATGATGGCGAGCACTTTTGTGGAGATGCACGGCGGTATGCCAGTCATCAAGGAGCTGATAGTTGACAATGACGAGCTTATGGAGGCTTTGGCCGAAGCTGGCGAGGCAAGCAAAAAAAGAGAGCGCAAGGAGGAAGACAAAGATGGGCAGCCCCTCAAGAAGGTAAGGAGAGATGATGTCCGAGAGGAACCCTGCAAGGATCGAGGGCAAACGATGGCGAGTACTTTTGTGGAGATGCACGGCGGTATGCCCGTCATCAAGGAGCTGCTAGTTGACAACGACGAGCTCATGGAGGCTTTGGCCGAAGCTGGCAAGGCAAGTAAGAAAAGGCAGCGCGAGGAGGACTGCAAAGATGGCCAACCCCTCAAGATGGTAAAGAGAGATGATGCCCGAGAGGAACCCTGCAAGGATCAAACCAAGTCGAGGGGTCCTATAATCGTGAGGATCAAGCTGCACAAGAAGGGAGATGCAGTCGTCAAAGAACCCTGCAATGATCACTGCAAAGATCAAGTCGCGAGGATTGAGCTCCACAAAGAAAACAAGGAAAGCAGTAGCGCTGTTGCAGAGGAGACCAAGACAGTGGCAAGGGCGATCAAGCCTTGCAACACGGCAAGAAAGGCGTCACAGCAGCGGAGGAGTCATAAGGAGCTTGAGACGAGCGCTAGCATGAAAATTGAGTGTGCGCCAGTGAAGAAGGTGCTCAGTGCTAGGTGCTTGAACGTGCCATTGGGTGATGCTGCGAAGAGACGAGATGCCCCCGTTCACTATCTCGATTTTGGTGTTGGCGACGGCTGCGCTGCTCGTTCCACAGCTCCAAAGATCAAGTGGAACCCCATGCGCTCCTCCACTCGCGCATGATTTGCAACAACTTCGTTAATGTTAGAAAACAAGATTAAGATAAAAACTGAAGGTTTTTTAGTAGAACAAATTTGTCTTGATTAATTTGTGCAAATCAAAGAATATAGTTTTTTTGTTTCTGCCATGATAATATTACCCGGACGCTGCAAAGAACACCGACGACATAAAGCTAGCCTCTTCAAACAAAGACCGAGTGTGTTAGTGCCGCAGGCTGGCTGAAGAAAAACTTCCAAAACAAAAGCTAAAACCATCACTCCTTCTCTATGTATACTCTTTCTCAACCCAGCCATTCTCCCTCTTTTATCATCCCAGTCCCGGAGTACCAAGCCACACAATGAAAGGAAAAAAAAATAATAAATAAATATAGCGTCCCCCCTCAGTACCAATGAAAAACAAAAAAAGAAAAAAGAAAAACGAGGAAAACCAAAAGACAAAAGAAAAAAAGAAAGAGGAAAGCTTTGCTCTCTTACGTTACCTCCATGGAACGCTGGATGGAACGCTGCTAGAAGTGTCACTGTGATCCTCTGTTCTAAGCCGCCGGAGGGAAGAGCTAGCTACTGTGATCAGCCGTGGAAGGATATGGCCTAAAGCGAGCGTCTGGATTCCCTCCTCTCTGGGATTGTCTACTGCTCGCTCCATAGTTCGCACCATAGCCTCCTCCATTCCCTGTTCCATCACCTGTTGCTCCACTGTTTCCCATCCCTCCGCCATAATTCGATCCAACACCGCTACCACCGCCGCCACCACCGCCACCGCTTCCACCACCACCGCCGCCACTCCCGCCACCGCCGCTATATCCATCTACACTCCCAGCTCTCCAGGTGTTGTCCGGATAACCAGAGTACGCATCTGCATAACTCGAGCCATAGCTACCTGCATTACCACCACCGCCACCACCGTATCCTCCGCTGTTATTCCCATATCCTCGCCCACCATAGCCAGCGGCAGCACTGCCATACCCCGCGTCGCTACTATAACCATAGCCGCTCCCGCTATACCCCGGACTCGTCGCAGCATTCCCCTGTCCGCCACCTCCAGAGCCACCCCATCCAGCGTTCCCATATCCGCTCATATTACTCCCACTGCCTCCATATCCACCGGAACCAGCAGCTCCACCGTATCCCGGAGCACCGCCACCACCCCAAGCGTTCCGTCCACCTCCATACCCGGGGCTGCCACCTCCGGCTCCGCCATACCCCGGACCGCCACCTCCGTATCCCCCGCCACCTCCGCTAGCGTAGCCACCGTATCCTCCCCCAGCAGCAGCAGCAGCAGCAGCAGCAGCAGCACTGGCACCATATCCTCCACCGTAGCCATATCCAGCAGCGCTTGCGCCGTAGCCTGTCCCTACAGCTCCATACCCGCCAGCGCCACCGTAACCAGCAGCTCCATAGCCAGCAGCACCGCCGTAGGAAGGATAGCCACCCCGGATCCCTGGAGTCGGACTGTACCGGCTGGCGGCGGCGTAGGCACCGGCAGCTCCACCACCTGGACTGCTCGGGTAGCCGGGGCCGTAGGCGCTGTATCCTCCGGGCCTGGGAACTCCCGAGTAGCCGGCTCCTCCGGGACTCCTGGCCGGCCCGGCCGAGAGCTCCTTGGGCACCGCCCGCTTCACCTCCACCATCTTCTCCTTGAGCTCGTGGAAGGTCTTGTGCAGGACGTTGTCCACGGCTTCCTCGGTGTCGAAGGTGATGAATCCAAAGCCGCGGGGGCGCTGCGTCGCGTGGTCGTACATGACGACGACATCTGTAATAGTACCAAACTGCTCAAAATACTTTCGGAAGTCATCCTCAGTTACATTAGAGCCTAAACCACCCACAAAAATCTTTTTGGTTTTAGACGAGGCATGGCCGCCCGGCCCAGCCACGGCACTCCCGTTGGCCTTTACTACACTGTGCTGCTCATCCCTGGGCACGGCCTTTTTCGCTTCCACCTATGTAGAGTTAAAAAAGAAAACAAGCTAGCACTAGTTATAAACCAGCTAAAGACCACACACACTCTCACTCTCTTCAAACACATCACACACACAAGCAAGCCAAGCAAAGAGAGAAAAAAGTATGGAACAAAACACTCTAGCGCTACTATCACGTAGAGAAATCTAGCGAGCTATGGAGGGAGGGGGGACGTACCACTCTTCCATCGATCGTGTGCTTGTCCAGCAGCACCCGGTCGGCGCAATTGGGATCCGAGAACACCACGAATCCAAACCCGCGGGCGCGCCCAGTGGTCCGGTCCCTCATAATCACCGTCTCCACGACCTCGCCATAGGCCTGGAAGTAATCCTTGAGCTTCTCCTCGGTCGTCTCCCACGAGATCCCGCCAATGAAAAGCTTCCCCTGATCTGTTTCCATGGTCTACAGCAATGCGCGCCCCGGATCTGAATGCCTGGCCGCCGCGCTTAGATCTGCGGCTGGAGCTCCATCCCCGCGCCCCCGGCGCTGCAATGCGCTGCTAGATCTGGCCTGGAACCGGGAATGCGCCAATTCAGATCCCTGGCAAAGCCGGCGCCTCGGCTGGAAGGCGCCTGCTCTGCGATTATCCCAATCGTCGCCGCCAAAGAGAGAGGGGAAGAAGAAAAGAGAGATTCTCCCAGAGAGTGTGAGTGTGAGTGTGTGTCGTGGTGAAACCCTACAGATCTCCTCGCTCTGGATTAGGGTTAGGTCACCCGGTACGGCACGCGATGACAAGTTAACGGCTAGGATTGCACTCCCGCGATTCCCACGTGGGCGTACCAAATGTCGGGATAAAAGAAAGGTGGCCGTACGTAGTGTCTGGATAAAAAATAATGATGGAGATGAGGGGCATCGATCCCCTTACCTATCGCATGCGAAGCGATCGCTCTACCATCTGAGCTACATCCCCAATCGTTGGACGCTAACCATGTGCTCGCCCAAAACATGAGACTATAACCTAATTTATTATTCTAAGAATATTCGATGTTTAAATTTTCTAAGCCTCTCAAAACTCTTTTGCTAGAGAGTTTATTTCATGGACACACTGGGACCGAAATCTAAGAATATTCGATGTTTAAATTTTCTAAGCCTCTCAAAACTCTTTTGCTAGAGAGTTTATTTCATGGACACACTCGCAGCACTGGGAAATCTCTAGCCGAAAACTCGGACCAAGTTCTCCACAAACTGGTAGCTCCGCTCCTCCTCTCCACCTCGCCTGGGCTGGCGCTCGCGGCGGGGGAAGATGTAAGCCTCCTCGGCACGGCGATCCTCGAGCTTCTGCTGGAGCTGCTCGTCGATCTGGAGCGCGCTGGACATGACGCTGCGCGGGACTCCCTTGTACACCGAGTTCCTCCCCGCGAGATACGATTCTATCGGCCTGGGAAGAACCAAGACATGATCAAACAAAGATCCAAAGCAAACGATCCAGGAACTTACAAGTGAGTCTTGTAGATCACCGCGAAATCGAGACCTTCATTCCCGGCCAGCTTCGCGGAGGGATAGTTCGCCGGAACAACGAGAAGAGAGCCCTCGTCCATGTCCGCCTCCACGGCCTGCTCGCCATTCTCGCGCACGACTTCAATCCTCCCGCGGCCCTCGTTCACGTAGATAACTTTGTGTGCGTTGTGTGCCCACGCTGGAGCGGTCAGAGCACCCTGGAAGCCAAGAATCCATAAAAAAAATCACTTTTTTTCCCGATCGATGTTACCGATTTGAGCTGGTAGCATGCAGCCGAGAGTCCGAGCTCCTTGAGAATCGGCATCTTCATGCTGTTAAGCTGGCGCATCTCTCCACCGCGCGGAACGTAGACATCGGGCTGCGCATCGCCCAGGCGGTAGACGAAGTCCATGTAGATTCCGCTGTTGGTCACCGACGGCAGGCTCCTTCGCTGCTGCTCGTCCACTTTGATGATCTGTGAGCCCTTCTGGCCCTCGCGGAGTCGCTGCACGATCGACTCGTCCACGCCCCACGCCTGAGCCAGGATCTCCTTGCTGAAACCGTGGAGCAGGGAGTTCCCGGTGGACTCGTCCTGTGATTCTCGGCGACGGCGTGGAGATCTCTCAGACTCTTGCTCGTCACTTCCCGCGAGATGGAAGACCTGCGCAAACAAAGCTGATTGTTTCAGATGAGAACGAATGGGAGAGAGATCTTTGCGGACCTTGAATCGTCCACACTCGCAGCTAGTGGTGGTGTCAGCGACGTCGAGGAATCGAGCGCGCTGGTTTCCATCGTTGAAGAGCCACGCCGCGAATCCTCGCGGGATCGCCATGGTATCTCCTTTCTTGAGCTCAAACACGCTCTTCTCAGTCACCTTATCGGTGAAGGGACTCACGATTCCAGCCCGGAGCCTCCCTGGAGCAACAACATCAACGCAAACACCGTGAGAAACAATCCAAGATCGAGAATGTGGGTGGCGAGCGATCATACCTTCCATGACCGTGAGAAGGACATGCGAGTCCTTGTAGCCCGGAAGAACAAGACCATTCGGCTCCACGGTGACGCGCTTCACTCCAAACTCGGCGTCGCACAGCGCGCGGTAGTCACCGGCGTCATACTCCTCGATCCTGCCACCCTCGGAGCGGAAGATCTCGCGGGGCTTGCGCGGCTTCAAGTCCCGGAACGCCTGGCGCTGCTGGCGCCGATCGCTCGACTCTCGATCGTGGTGCTGCCGATCACCCTCGCGACGAGCGTGAACATCCAGAGCCAGCACCGCGAGAGCCAGCGCGAGAACAAAGAGCTTCTTTCCCATCTCTAGCAGCTCGAAAAGAGGAAAAAGCGATGGTGGATGGAAGAAACCATGGCCGGGGACGAAGCTTATATACTCGCTGGCCAAGCTTGTGCATGGCATCCATTTGGCGTCGCGTATCCTGCCACTATACTTGCCATTTGGGGGCACCTTCCAAACCATCTCCAGTGTGGAGCTGGAACTTCACCATAGCTCAAAGCACCCGTTTAGAAGATCAAATGGAAACGAGTGTGATGCCTTTGATTCTTTACGTGTACAAACAAAGCTCGCGAGGAGTCCGGCCTCTTCGCTCTCTCGCTCCGCGCTTGCGTTACGAGATAGCATGGCCGAATCCCAGCTCCACCGCGTGAGTGGCATCCAAGCCACACCCCATGCCTTCGTACCACTTATCATTCTCTGCGCAGTAGCTGCTCAAGCCTCCATCTTCGCTGGGCTGCCGGAGGAGCGTCTCGCAGTTCTTGCAGTAGCCCGTCTCGAGCAGGACGTCCGCCTTGCAGCAGCACCTCGCGCAAGAGAGCGTCGGGGCTTTCTCCGCGGCCTTCTTTGCTGGCCGTCGTCTCGAAGATGGCTTCGCCATTGCGTCGTCCTTGGTGTCGGCCTCCCTGCTCATCTCGTCCTCCCGGGACCAGTGCTCCACCAGGCTCATGTCGTCGGCCAGGCTTTGCTGCTGAGCACCAACACCCGCCGGAACGATCGCTCCCGCCGCCTTGTCGATGCTTCGGAGCCTCAGCACCGCCGACGATACGTCCTGGCAAACGCTGTTGAGAACGTCCACGCTCGTGTTCCCCAGCCTCCGTTCCAGGCTCCCAAGTTCCATCTGGAGTTCCTGTATCTGCCGGAGTAGAACCTGGCGCGCTTCATCCTCTTCCTTCTCAGCCGCAAGCTCCTCGGAGATGCTGTTCGGGTCGACAAACCGGTGAATTATCCTCGCGCTGCCTTCGTGCGGACCCGGCTCATGGCCGGAGTGAACCGCATAGAGCTTGAACGTCGCCACGCCTTCTTCCTGGTACGCAAACGTTTTCTCCTTCTCGTCGTAGTTCGTGATGGGAACTATCGCCCGGATCCGGAAGCTGCATCCACACCGCTTGGACATGTACCGCTTCCTCTTGAGCACACCAGGCTTCCTCCCAGTCGGCTCCCCACCCCTGTGGCAGCAGTAGTCTTTCACCTCGGCTAGAAACGGCTTGTATCTGATATACTTCTGCCGGATGCACAACACCACCTTGTACTTGGCCGCGAGATGCTGCAACCGCTGAGGGACGTCTCGAGCCACCACCTCGAACGATTCGGTGTACTCGAATCTCTTCCTCCTGGATTGCTGGAGAGCGGCACTAGCAGCAGCAGCGGCAGTATCAGTAGTAGCAGCAGTAGAAGTTCCGCCACCACCATTACCACCATTACCACCATCACCACCACCACCAGTAGGAGCATGACTAGCGACGCTACCACTGCCAGCACCAGCAGCATCACCGCTTCCTCCAATGCTCTTGATGCTCTTCCCACCGCCGAGGGACGACCGCTCGCTAGAGCTCCCACAAACCGGGCACGTCGAGATACATACCTTGACATACGACTCTGGAACTCCATAGACCTTGGCACCGACAGTCCACACGTCTCGCATCCTCTCCAGCGTCTCCTTGCAGCCGAGGTGCTTGAGATCCGGGCGAATGTGGAACTGCTGGACGATCCCACCCCACTGCTCGATGAATGGCACGAACTGGTAAGGATTGCTCTTGAAGAACAGCACCTCGTTGCCGAGATCGTCAACTTGGGCCTGGAGCTTGTCCTGGATCCTCCTCCAGCCCGTGAGATAGGCCGTGTCTTCGTGACGATCCTTCCACACCCCGCGCCAGGAAGCTAGAACCGGCGGCGTCGCCACGCCCCGGATCTCGTCCGGCGATGGATGCCGCCCGGCCATGAGGCAGCGCACCATCAACCTGTGAGACGCGCGATTGAATGTGTAGAACTGGCTCGACATGTGAGGCTCTGGATCCACGGGCATCATCATCACGGAGGAAGCTCGCGACGAGGATGGATTGGCGGCGGCGGCGGATTGAGGATTGGAGAGATTTGGCGGCGGGACGATGGCGATTGCCGAGCTGCTGGCCGCGGCCATGCATTCCGCCTCGGCGTAGAGCTCCTCCTGGTCGGGATCGGTCATGGCCGCGTCTTCGCTCAGCACAGACATATTTTCGCTGCTTGGCGAGATCGCTAGAACCTGACAATCATCTGGATTGGTGTCGCGTCTCGTCGGGCCGCCGGATCGAGCGGAAGAGATCCCTCCTCCATCGCCATAGCCGGCTACCTCTGCCCTACTCTCTATATACCCTAATCATTGTTTCGCCAAGAACCCTATTCTCGAATGGGAGGAGGACACCATCACGCCGCCCAGGTCCCCGCGAGCTTGGGGAGGGATCTACGCGCTTGTCTTCGATGCCGCCTTGTCAAAACCTACGATCAGGTGAGCTCACGCCGTGGTTTCTTAGAGCGATCGGTTGATTTCCATTCCCGATTCTTCGCAGTTTAACAAGAATGGCTGCGAGAATTGTAAGTTCTTTCACATGGAACAGGAACACGATCGAATTCTAGAGTGCACTACTGTGAATTTTTCCGGGTAAGATGAAGCTCTCTCTCTCTCTCTCTCTCTCTCTCTCTCTCTCCAACTTAACTCCTCTCTGGCGATTGACAACTCGTGAACTCTATCGATCACCCATCTCTCTCTTGACAACTTCACTCTATCGATCACTCTCTCTGGATTGTGACAACTCGTGAACTCTATCGATCACCCATCTCTCTCTCTCTCGATTGACAACTCGTGAACTCTATCAATTACCCATCTCTCTCTCTCTCTCTCTCTCGATTGACAACTCGTGAACTCTATTGGTCACCCATTTCTCTCTCTCTCTCTCTCTCTCTCTCTCTCTCTGTGAGAACACTAACATTTTTTGGTAGGCTTATATCCTCGATGGATCCAACTGGGAGCTGGGCAGCTCGATGGTTGAGAATAAGTGAGTGGATTTTTTTTTTGTTCTTCCTGTTTTTAACTCGAAGTGCTTGACTGGAGCAGGCAAATTCGTTCCTGGCTGCTACGCCCTGGCTGTCTCGGGCGTTCTCAACGAAGATATGCAGGTCAGTCTCACTTGTTCGTGTTTGTTTCGTCTTTCATCTCTCGGTGATTTCGAGATCTCCTTGTCTCTAGCATGATTCTTGTAAAACTTTTGTTCGTCCATGCGCTAAGCTGCTTCTGGTCATTGCTGTGCAGAACATCTGCGAAGACAATAACATCAAATACGTTCCTCGGTGAGCAGCCGATGATCGCAAGCACAGGAAAACAAATTTAGAAGATCACAGATTCAGAAGAGAAAACAGTGAGAAAAATGTGATTTTTGTCTTTCTCCGCTACTTATTACGCTACTTGATAATGAGATAAGTAGCCTCTCCTTTTACAAGAAAGGACGTAGAATGGACACGAGTTTTGGCCGAGGCACTAGGTAGAGCAGCCATAGCTCGCTGGTGTTTGTTGACCGGATCAATCGCTTGGCGCTCCAGTGCATGACTTGGGCTCTTAGATTTGGCGAGGAGGGAGCGACCCAAGTCGCCAAAATCGCGGCTTAGGCACGGCTTATGGCCCTAGCGGCATCGTCGTCCTCCTCGTCCGGATTCCTGCGCCTCGCCGACGCCCGGAGGAAGAATTTGCCGCTCCGCCCGCAGCGCAATCTCCCCCAGCTCCGAACGATGAGCGCCAGGGCCTGCTCGTCCCCGAATTCGTCGTCGGGCACCTCCGCCGGTGGCGATCTGGTGACGAGCGGCAAGAAAGTGGTGCCGTATGCCAACTATGCCGTGCCCATCGACAATTCCAGCGCCTCCTCCTTCATCACCCGCCCCCTGGCCGAGATCCTGCGCGACATGAACAAGAGGGTGCCGGACAAGGTGATCAAGATCAAGGTGGACGAAGATGGCAACGAGCTCAAGTACATTCCTTGGTATGTTGATCTCTTTGCTCTCCTGGTGTTCTTGTGCTCCATGAAATTTGTCTTTGTTTTCTCGGTTTCGAAGACTTTTCTTGTCGTAAAAAACATGTTTTTGGTTGTACTGCTCATCGATCTGATGGTTTTGTAGGTTCCATGCCAACAGGATGCTGAGCTTCTACGCTCCAGGTACGAATTCTCCTTCTCAAGCAAGAAAAGTAACGAGGAAAAGGATTTTTTTCTCGCAGGCTGGAGCGGAGAAGTTCGCAACTTGACATTCTCGCCGGACAGCAAGACCGTCTCAGTCGTGTACCGAGTGACGATACGAGGCTCCGATGGCGAGGTAAGCAAAAATTCCTCTTTTTTTCTAGGCGAGAGCTCTGGAGATCTGTTCTTCCAGATCTCTCGCGAGGCCTCGGGCACCGCTTACATGCACGATGTGGAGTTTGGCGATCCCGTCCAGAAGGCCGAGGGCATGGCGTTCCGGAGAGCCTGCGCGAGATTCGGGCTGGGGCTCTACTTGTACCACGAAGACGATGCGCAGTGAGTGAGAGACAAGCAAAGCTCTTATAGCTAAGATTTTGCAGTGTTTGAGAGGCCTCGCTACGAGAGAAACGACGACTAAGAAATACTCCTTGTAAAGTTAGAGGTGTCTGTTCCATTTTTTCTATCTTTCCTGCTCACAATTGAAAAATCATGTAGCACGATTTCGTCGTGAAAAGGCAGGCTGTTGCCAAAAGTTCCGTTGCCGGGAATTGAACCCGGGTCTCTCGGGTGAGAGCCGAGTATCCTGACCGACTAGACTACAACGGATTACATTATCTTACCATTAACAATCGCTGTTTTGAATGATTTCTAAGAAGACAATGAATGCCATCTTTATCACTCATGTGTTCCATAGTGTCCTGCACTGTGCAAATGCATAAAATTGCCCACCCCAACTACCCACCTATGATAGCGAATCTACCAGAATATGCTCACAGCCTGATTTCCACCTTTATTAAAAGAATCAATTATTTCACAAAAGGCACAGCTGGCGCACATTGATTGGGGAGGCATCGTCCAGGCCCCCATCAAACAGCCGCTTGCCCAGCACAACATTTGCAGCATCTGTGGGGTGGTACGGATCCCAGAACACGTATTTCGTACGGTCGGGGCAGTACTTGACCAGCCCACCTGGCAGGCATGGGACTTGACCGTTGAATGGCCCGGCTCCACAGCATCCTCGGTTCCCATAGTCAAAGCCTATGCGTTGGATGAATGGATCGATCGATTAGAACACGCAAAGGATAGAAGAAAGCATCCAGTCAGAGGGATTACCAAACTTGGATGGGTGGTCGATGACGTCTCGAAAGATGTTGTACACGTTTCCATAGACGATGGTGGCTCCGGGGAGTTGGGAGTTGAGCTCCACCAGCATGGGCTTGAGCGCGTCGTTGAAATCCCTCACGATGGCTTCCACGGGCTCGATGCATCCCCCGGTGGTGGAGTTGTAGAGGAAGAGCGAAGATGGGATGCAGCCCAGGGGACCAACGTTCGCCACCACGATCTTGCGAGCGCCAAGTCGATAGATCTCCTGGAAGAAACCGCGATAAAATCCAGAGGTCTTTCGAGCTCTGGGCGATTCAATCTTCCAGACTTACCTGGAGCTGCTTGGAGAAGATCGAGAGGAGCGTGTCTCGAAACGTGGATGTAGGAAGATTGTGGCTCCGGGTGTAGGGGAGGAAGTAATTGTTGATGTAATCGTTGCTGCCCATGATGATCGCGACGAGCGAGCGGGAGATGAGGCTGGATGCGGCGGACGGACCCAGCATGGAGCTGATCTCTCCGATGCTGTTGCCGAACCACTGGATTTGCTTCCAGAACGTGATCCTCTCAGCCTGATCGAATCGATCGAAAGAAAACGATGTCACAAACAATGGCATTCCAATATCTCGACGATTACTCACATAGTTTCCCCCGGTTTCATCCTCAATCCCCGCTGCTCCCGACGCATAGCTCACGCCCTGGAGGATCTTGCTCCCTTTCGCGGATGGATCCAGATATGGTGGCACCAGAGGCAATCCAATGAGCTCCCCTGTGACAATTACATCCAAGATCAAGGACAAGAAATCCACAGAGTCTCTGTTACCGACGACGTCCACCACTGTCCTCCCGTTGGAGAATCTCCCAGTCGCTCCCAGCGGGAAATCAATCCCATTCGGCGCCGTGTCGCCCCTGGCCACCGCGGCCAGGTGATTGTTGTTGCCCACGTCCACCAGCGAATCCCCAAAGATGAATGCCGCAGGGACGAGGGGCTGCGATTGCTGCGCGGGGCAGCAGCAGAGCATGATCGTCGCGACGACGAACAGCAGCGCTAATACCAGCGCCATGTTGAATCGCCTCGCGACTGCTGATCGCTCTCAAGAAGCCCATGAAAGGAGAAGAAGAAGAGATCTTTAATCCATCTCTTTCCAAGCGCAGGCGATCACGCGCTCGTCATAAAACTATGGTACTCACAAGAAAGCCGACAGAGCATTGAAACTACCCAGTCAGAATTATTCCTGGAATAATTCTGGGTCGAATTTACGCTAGCCCTAAAAACTAAAGTGCAGGTCAAAGTCAAATAAAGTCGAGTCGTTTTGTTCTATTATGTTTTTAGTTTACTTGCTGGCCGTACACCTGGTAACCAGTAGTATAGACAAGCGCCGGATCTTGCGGATAGAGGTAAGCGTACGGAGCCTGGCTATGGTTGTAGGGGTAGAACGCGTTCCATTGAGAATCAAACGGCGGCTGGTACCACGGCAGTGCCGACGACGAGAGCCTCTGGAAGAAAAAACTTGTCTTGATGAACAAGAGAGCAAGGGAGCGAATTTGCTACACAAATTACCTGCTTGTTCGCGGGGTGACGCCCCCAAGACAATCGAACAGTTTGCTGGCCTATGACGGAGCCATGGACTTGCTTCAATGCTTCTTCAGCACTGGCCCTGAGAGAGATCGAGTAGAGCATTAGAACAGAAACTTCGCTCGGGCATGAGTACCTCGTCATGAACTGTACAAAACCGCAGCCTCTACCCGGGGGGATCTTGGTGTACTTGATCTCACCATACGGGGAGAAGACGTCTTTCAAGTCGTCCAACGAGACATTCTGGTCTAAGCCGCCTACAAAAATCTGCAAAGCGCACAAAGAGTGCTGAAACGTGAAACGAAGGAAACACAAAGACTCACGGTCGTGTTTGTGAAGTCGTCCTCACCTGCCGGAGCGGGCATTGCGTAGGCAGGGACCAGCTGATACGAAACTGCGACAAGTCTCAACACACGCGATTACTTCACGAATCAATGCGATGCAAAGCCAGCAGCCAGAATGCACAGAGAGAGCAAACCTATGATGAGTAAAAGGTTCCTTGCTCAAAGTTTCATCAGAGGTTGCTCGAGTAGATTACTTCCCAGTGTCTGCTCAGAGTTCTCTCTTTTGGTGGTTCCTTTGAGTCATAGGGTCCGCCTTTAAAACCAATCAGCCTTATAAGCTTTTCCTTTCCTGCCCATGAAATCACAAGTTTCCAGAAACATGCAGCTAGAGAACAAAGAAACATCCACGAACAAAGAAAAAAAGGACGAAACAAAAGGGAAGAACACATACCTCTTTGTACAGGGTGCTGTTGAGTTTGCTTTTTCGGCGTAGCGGTACGTATTCTCATCGGCCGGGAAGAGCAGTAGACTCCATGCATCTCCGTCATTGCCGAGCTCTTCTCGGTCTCGTCTCCAAACCTCACAAATCCATAGCCTCGGCACCTCCCGGAGTTGACATCCATGACAACTTTGGCGCTCTTCACCGAAGGATACCGGCTCTTGAAAGTCTCGAGTAGCATCGCGTCGGTCACGTCCGCCGCAAGGTCCCCCACAAAGATGGAGTCATCGGCTCCAGAGTCGCGCTTGTCACCTCCGACGCAAGCCCAATTCAGCCGAAACGCTTGCTCGGTGCGCGGCATCACGGCCCCGGTGAAGCTCTGGAGCGCTTTCTCGGCGGCAGCGTGCGATTCAAACTCCACGAATCCATAGCCTTCGTGGTGGCCGGTTATCTTGTTTCTAATCACCTTGGTGGACACCTGAGAGGCAAAAAAGGGAAGATCTTCCACCGCTTTGCTCCAGAAAAAACCGGGAAAGAACTTACGATCGTGGATTGCGGGAAGCAGCTCTTGAGATAGCTCTCGTCCATCCAGTACTGCAAATCGCCGATCCAAAGGCTGCGAACATCGTCCCGAGCTTGCGCTTGCGTCGCGCCCGGCTGCTGCTCCATGCCGCAAATAAACCTCCAACCCTAATCGTGGACGGTCAAGATATGATGCCCGGACACGTGGCGGGCGGAAAAGGCCGTTGGATGAAGCACCATAGACGTGGCACAGATCCGGGCGTCGATTGATTCCTCTGCCCTAATTCCTTGAGTGCCCCAGCCGCCTTGTTGCTGTGCGCGCTCCAAGCTCGATCGAGGTATGTATGATCTTTGCCCCCCTTGCGCGCCGGAATCTTACAGAGAATCGCTGCTTAGAAATGTCGGATGATGAGAGTAAGGAGGAGAAGGAGCTCGATTTATCGTCGGCGGATGTAGTGACCAAGTATAAGCTCGCCGCAGAGATTGTCAACAGTAAGAGCGGTTATTCTTTCCCGTCGTTCTTCCGGTGCTAAAATCTTTGTTCCAGAGGCTTTGCAAGCTGTATTGGCGGAGTGTAAGGCAGGGACCAAAGTCGTAGAGCTTTGTGATAGAGGTGACTCTTACATAAAAACGTAAGTGTTTTTTTTTTTCATTGAGACGGGAGAACTTAGAACTTTGGTGTTTTGTTTCACAGCCAAACGGCCAGCGTCTACAAGAACGCAAAGAAGAAGATCGACAAGGGCGTCGCCTTCCCGACTTGCGTCTCGCTAAACAACACAGTATGCCATTTCTCTCCCTTGGCTGGCGATGAGACGGCTCTGTCCGAGGGTGACATTGTAAAGATGTAAGCTATGGTTATGTGCTGGTTTAAGTTGTGGTTCTCATCAAAGCTTTTTCGCAGTGACCTTGGCTGCCATATCGACGGCTTTGTGGCCGTAGTCGCTCACACGCACGTCCTCCAGGAGGGTCCAGTGACTGGAAGAGCAGCGGATGTTTTAGCAGCTGCCAACACTGCGGCAGAAGTTGCTCTCAGGCTCGTGAGGCCTGGAAAGAAGGTGTCTTTACCAGTCTGAGTATAGGTGGTCGTTACTCACGGTTTCTTTCTGTTTGTCTTTCTGAATAGACCAGGGACGTCTCGGAAGCCATCCAAAAGGTAGCGGCGGCTTATGACTGCAAAGTTGCCGAGGGAGTCTTGAGCCACCAAATGAAGCAGTTCGTCATCGATGGCAACAAAGTCATACTGAGTGTTTCGAATCCGGAAACCCGCGTGGACGAGTCAGAGTTCGAGGAGAACGAGGTCTATGCCATTGACATCGTCACAAGCACTGGTGAAGGAAAGGTTTGTAGCTTTGACTTATCGTTGAAATCTAAGGAAGTAAGAAACGCAAACGTTATCGCAGCCGAAGCTTCTCGACGAGAGACAGACAACAGTCTACAAAAGGGCCGTGGACAAGAGCTATCATTTGAAGATGAAGGCCTCGAGGTTTATATTCAGTGAAATAAGCCAGAAGTTCCCGCTCATGCCCTTTACCGCCAGGCAAGTTTTCTTCTGTAATTCTATCCTTCTGGTGAGCTCAAATTTGCATTTTCCAGGGAGCTGGAAGAGAAGCGTGCAAGGCTGGGGCTGGTTGAGTGTGTCAACCATGAGTTGCTGCAACCGTACCCTGTTTTACACGAGAGAACAGGTCTCCCTCTTTACTTTTCAGTCTTTGGATCGAACTTAAGTTTCTCTTTTCGCAGGGGATTTGGTAGCTCACATCAAGTTTACGGTGTTGTTGATGCCAAATGGCTCGGATCGAATCACCGGACACAGCGTTCAAGACGTACAACCATCCTCGACCGTGGACGATCCGGAGATTAAGTCGTGGTTAGCCATGGGTATAAAGTCAAAGAAGAAAGGAGGAGGAAAGAAAAAGAAAGGTTTGTAGTGATTGGATTTTCTCTTGGGAAGATTTTAAGATCGCAACCGTGTGCCGTGCAGGGAAGAAGGGTGAAGAAGCTGCCGAGGCTAATGAAGAAGAGGAGGCCACTGTTTAGCAAAGCAAAAATTTTGACTGCCAGGTGTTTGTAGGCAATACTTCGACTTGCAAAGAAACAAGAAAAGATTCCATCTTGGAGAGCGCCACGTACAAAGTTTGGAGGAATTGATTTGTCTTGCAGCAAAGTCAGACTTTTGTTGGCCTACTCCTGAGAAAAATGAAGAGAACGATGGTTTCTTCTGGACTTCGACAATCGATTGAGTTCGTACACATCCAATAGCTTTTGTTTACTGCCGACAACATAAGAACCTCTTGTTATTTTCTTCTTCCTACCAAAACGTCGCTCAGTTTAGTGGTTTTTTTTCTTCATCGTTCCTCACGGCTTGATCACGAACAAAGGCTGCACAAACAAAAACAAAATCAGGGAATCCAGAACTTTGAGATCTGGAGACGAGACTTACATCATCGGCAGCGACGGGCTTTCCATCCTCGGCGACGATCTCGACAAGCGTCCCGTCTTGATCGGACTGTTAACAGTAGGTGGAATAAGAAATGAAAAGCTGGCAAAAAAGATCCCCACCTCAATGCTGTTCATCAGCTTCATTGCCTCAATGATGCAAAGAACTTGGCCTTTACGGACTTTGTCCCCCACCTAAAGAAGTAAACCCGATAAAAAGCTATGCAGCAAAGTAAGAAAAAGTCTCACCTTTACAAATGGAGGCTCTCCTGGTCCTGGCGATCGATAGAAATTCCCAGCCATGGGTGAGACCATGGGTGGATATTGTGGAGCGCTTGGAGCAGCTTGCGGAGCCTCGGCAGCTTGCGTTATCGCGGGAGATGGAGATGGAGCTGCTGGCATGGGAGCTGGAGTCGGCATCGCAAAAGCCGACGGTGGAAACATTGGATATGGAAGCCCAGCGGCGGCGGGGACGGGAGGAGCTGCCGCTGGTGGTGGTGCCAAAGCCTCGGCCTTCCTGATGACGATCTCATAGTCCTTGTGCTTGAGTTCCAGCTCCACTATGTCTTTGGAATCCACTAGCCTGGACGAAAAGTTTGTGGCATAAGAACAAAAGATTGTTTTGTTCTTTTGGGAGTACTTACTTGACCAAGCTCGACACGTCGGCTAGAAAGGATTTCACGTCCGCGGCCGCGAGAGCCGGCTCCTTCTCTATAGCCGGCTCCTCCACTGGACTCGTCGCTCCCACTGCCTCGGTGAGCTTCTCTTCCGCCTTGACGCCATCGACAGTCACCTGCGACGAGACTTAGCCACTGATCTAAAGCGCGAGAACAAAGAACAGGGGAAGCTCTAAGCCCGCATTGCGCAATGCAGCCACTGCAATCCAATCAAACCTAGCACGTACCGCCTCCGCCACTGCCACGCTCCTCCACACCCCGGCTTTTCGTTGTAGATCCGCCGCCGATCTGCCGCCAAGCCTGACGCTCCGCCCGTAGAAGCACGACGATGCCGGCGCCGCGGCCGCCCGCGGCACTCCACAGCATGCATCCTCGCACCGCGCGGGGATCAAAATCCGACATGCCGCCATAGCTGTCGCTCGAAATCGCCCGCGGGAATCGCTCGCGCTCTAGAAATATTTCCTCTCTCTCGCGCTCGCTCGCCCTAGGGATTAAATTGTGGAGCTTGGCTTGAAATAGGACAGGAGGCAACTGGACATACCAATGCCTGTGTGTCGGATCGGCCCAAGCGCTGGGCCTTAAGGACACTACGTGGATTTACACTGGTAATTTCGCAAGGACTCCATGCGAAAGATACGAGCCCCTCTTTCTTGCATGGCTGGGCTCCACTAAAATACCGGGGGTTCGATTCCAAGGAAAGAGAATATGCTTTGGCATCACCTACATTTGAATGTTTTAGTTTTTGGCGCCGATTCAAGATTAGGGCTCTTGCGAGGATAGGGTTTGCTGATGAATTTGGCGAGGGCGATCGGCAATCGTGCGCGGAGGAACACGATCGGCGCCGGCGCGCTCGGCCGGATTCGGCATTTCGATGCGCCGCGGGCCTCGCGGCCATGTTTCCAGGTTGGGGGAGGGATCGATGCTGCTGCGGAGCTCCATGGGGCTCCGCGGTTCTTCTCTGCGGGGCGGCTGCTCCAGGGGGGCAAAGACGCCGGGAAATCGGACGTTTCTAAGCAGAAAAAGGGGGGATTTGTGGGATGGTACTTGAATAATCTGGACAAGCGGCCAGTCGTCACGAAATCTCTCACTGCCTGTACGATTTACACCACAGCGGACCTCGTTGCGCAGGTAAGCTCTTTCTTTCTCTGTGATTTCCAGGTGTGCTTTTCGCGTGCTTGAGCTCATATATTTTTGGCAGGGTGGTCTACACACTTAACGAAAACGTTATGAAAAGTAAGATAATCCAGTGTTCTGTGTGTGTGCATAGTTTCTTCTCCTAGTTTTTTTTCTTTGTGTGACAAACTTCAAGGTGGTCTTTCCAGAAACTCACGGCTATGAAGCTGGGTAACGATGCTCCATGGGACCACGTACGTACACTGCGCATGTCCGCTGTTGGATTGCTTATGTCGGGGCCAACGTTGCACCTATGGTTCAATTTCTTGAACAAGATACTGCCGGGGAGAGATATGATCAGCACGCTGAAGAAAATGTTGCTGGGACAAACAACCTACGGGCCTGCGTTTACAGCCACGTTTTTCTCTATAAATGCCCTCGCGCAAGGTCTGAAGTCATGGCTACTTAGTGTTATTGTTCCTGATGCTGGTGTGTATGTGTGTGTTTTGCAGGCGAGAATGGTGCTCAAATCTGGCAGAGGTTGAAAAGGGACCTTATTCCCACTTTAGCGAGTGGGCTTATGTATTGGCCATTTTGTGATCTGATCACGTTTCGCTATGTTCCTGTGCATTTACAAGTACGCTGCTCTTTCTCCTTGGCTTTAGTTCTCTTCAGTTGCTGACTTGTGTTTTTTTGTAATGCAGCCTTTGGTTAGCAACTCTTTCTCGTTAATATGGACCGTCTACCTTACATACATGGCAAGCTTGAAGTGAGGTAAAAACTTGCCTTTCAATTTTGTATACATAGGCAAGCGATGCCCCCAGTCACACGCACAGGAACTCGTTATTTTGAGGTCCGGTTAAGTTTGGTTAGATTGTGGACAAAGACCAGCTCTGAACTTTGCTGTTCTTGCCACGTTAAGTTATCGGTTTCACTTTATAAAGCTCCGCTAGTGATCTCGATCCAGTGTCACCGCCAGGAAGACAGACTTATCAACCTTGCAAAGAAAATTTCTTTGACAACATCCATTTACAAAGATTTTTTTGGCCACACGATTATCTTCCTCACGAGACGCTCTTCATGCAAAGGTGCGGCGGTAGATTTCGATGACTGACATTTTTTATATATATATGTTGTTACAAATGACAAGGAAACCACTTCCGACCGTGGCCCTTCGGTCGCTGCTCATTTATAATCCGGGTTGACCTTATGAAGCTCCCAGCCCAAGGAAATCTATGAAAGGTCTGCTCGTCGATCCTCCGGATCCAGCATCGCAGCTGATAACAGGACCTGGGCTTGACGATGGTGTCAAAAGCAAAGAACTGGCATCCTGAGCAGCAGCGGTGGTCGACTCCAATCCAAGAGCTGGCTTCACTGGAAACGGATGAATGCACTCGGACACATCGGAGACGGAGGAGGAGCTGCGTTTGCTATCCTCCAGAGACTGTTCGTGGTGGCCTATCAACCAGGAACTGGCAGCATCGAGATGGTGATGGTGGCTCTTTTTATTCACGGCGGTGGCGGCGGTGGCGGAGGTGGCGGCGACTTTGCTTAGAGACGGACTTTGGTGGCTGCTGAGAGCGCTGCCCAGAGACGTGACTCCGTTTGCGCTGATATCGTCGAGATGGAAGAGGCCATGGTGGTGCATTGGAGCAGGGCCAGTGTAGATCTTTCCGGCGAGAGCGTCTTGGCTGCAGGTGGGATGGCCCCAGGGACAGGCTTGCGAGAGGAGAAGCGTCGGCTGGGAAGCAGGTGGCCCAGAAGAAGCTGCACAAAGAAAGACGGGGCCAGCAATGTGAGAACGATGCGTGATGGCCTCGATCGAGCTCTCACCTCTTGTGGCCGCATTGCTCCCGAGTTTGCGAGCGCTCGCGTCGAAATGATCCTGCGGCACGGCATTGAGGTCCAGGCGGTCCGCCGCTCGTTGGAAGAGGGTGCTGTTGATCGACTTGGTGGCACCGCCGGCGTTGCAAGCCGATTTCAAGCGATCGTCGTTAACAAGAGAGTACTTTTGGATCCACGCCGTGAGGGACTGGGCTACCGTCTGGCCGATGCTGGGACGCTTGGTTCTCCAGGAAGCCTGGCTCTTCTTACGTCCTTGCATCCGGGACCTCTCGCGGAGCTTCCTGGCCATGACAACGTGCCAGTGGTTCTTGACAGCGTTATCAGTTCTCCCGGGGAAGATCCTGGCGATCATCGCCCACTTGTTCCCGTGAAGCTGGTGCGCGGCGAGCAGTCGCTCCTCCTCTTCCTCGGAGAATGGCTTGCGGTTGATCCGGGGATCCAGCTGGTTGAACCATCGCAGCCGGCAGCTCTTTCCTGCGACATCATCGACAGTGGCCGTGGTGAGAAAAACAGATTTTTCAAACAGGAGGACGAGGATGAGAGAGCTGTGATATTCACCTGATCGACCCTCGAGCTTCTCGGCAATCACGTTCCAGTTCTGAGGCCCGTGGATCCGGACGAGCTCCTTGAGCTTCTCGTCCTCGGCGGGCCGCCAGTGGCCGCGGTGGCACAGCTTGGACTGCGAGCAATCGGCGTCCCTGTCCACGGAATTCTCCGACTCGTCGTTCATGGTATCCTGCGTCTGGTTGTTGAAGCTGCCTTGATCCATGTACTCATCGCCACCACCACCGCCACCGCCACCGCCGCCGCCACTACTTCCAACAACTTGGGGACTCCTTTGCTGCTGCTGCTGCTGCTGCTGGTGTTGGAGCCCCCAGGTCCAAGGAACTGGCGGCATTTGCATCTGGATGGACGGAGCTACAACACTAGACTGCTGCTGCTGCTGCTGCTGCTGTTGGTGCTGGCTGCTCCATCCGATCCGAGAGTTACTTCCGGCCATCGCCTGTGCTGCTGCTGCTACTGCTGCTGCTGGCGTTCCTCCCAGTTCTCCAGCGGCAGCACCATTCATGAAGTCGAGGAACATGAGCATATGGATCGATGTGTGGGGGGAGGGGGCGAAGGAATAGGAGGAGGAGAGAGCGCGAGAGAGATGGGAGAAGTTACGCAACAACAATGCAAAAGTGGCAGCACAGAGAGGCGAGCAAGGAGGGCGGCCGAAAAAAAAAGGAGAGAAACAACGAGAAACAAAACAAACAACTTACTTATACCCGGGGCCGAATGACTGGACTCCGTTACGCGCGCCCGCATTCCGGCGGCGCGCGCGCCACACACAGGAAAAAAGGAAAAAAAAAAACAGTTTGGTGTGATTGCCACGTGGCTGACACGTCAGTGCCACGCGAACGACCAGATTCTTTTTTTAGCGCTTTAATTATGACGTCACCAAACATCACACGTCATAGTGACTAAAGAATCTTTGTTGGATTCGCGTTTTTTTACTTCTCTCTTCGCGGGCGACAACGTCACAGTGTGAAAGAATTAACTTTTGCTTTCACGACATAACGACGCTTAAAAAGAATAGCACCAACAAGCTGGTACCTTGCGAAAGAAAGAACGCTATCAAAAAATTCGTGCCTCTTTCTCAATGGGTTCTGTTATTCACACACACATTTCCACGAGCGTGAGAAGAACACAAGCGAAGAGAAATCAGCTCACCAGTAGCGAGGGATCACATCGCATCCCATCGCATTGTCACGGAGCACGGACTGATACCACCCCTGGTTCCTGGCTGTCAAATTCGGGAAGAACAAAAAAGAAAAAACGAAAAGCCACACTTATCTCCCGAGTGAATGTGGCTCCAGCTGAGGCAGGCCGGATTCTCCTCCATCTTCCAACGATGCTTTTCTTTCTCCGTTGTCTCTCGAATCTCGCTCTCTCGATCAAGCGCTTCTTCCATGAAAGTAAAGAGAAAAGGTTCCAAACTCCGAGGCACTGTGTCTGTGTAGGTGGCGCTCGCTGCTTGGCGGTGGCCCTTTTGTCTTTCTCAACCCGTCAGGCCCGAAGATAATTGCACACCCGAGGTACCACCACCAGTACCACCACAAGTCACCGAGTTCGCTGACTTTAGCTTCCCGAGAGACAACACCGCAATGAGTGCCTTGGAAGGCAGAATCATAATTCCAGCAGCAACTTATCTGCCATAAAACCCACGAGTGACGACTTCCTGTAATGCTGCTGCTACTATCCTGCTGCTGCTGTTGTTACTTTTCCCCTCCGAGATGCAAAAGAGAGAGAGGGAGAGCTCTCCCTTCAAGTCCCTGCTTCCTTCCTGCTATTCTATCTATCTATATGCTGTTTATATTCCTTTCCTTCCTCCCTCCCTCCCTCTCTCCCTCCTCTGGCTGGCCCCTGGCACTCCCAAATTCCCAGATTCCCAAAGGTACCCCTAGTGCTATAGCTAGAATTGGAGATAGAGAGATGATCTGGCCTAGGCAGGGAGAGTATGAAGCCTATAACAAACAGAGCACACTGTTGTAAGGCCTGACTATGGACAAGACGACTTCTTTCTAGCGGGGCTTCTGGTAAGTCTGCCTATTACGGACGAGACGAGGAGATGGTGGATGGAGATATAGAGAGAGGATGGTGATGCTAAAAGAGAGGACGCTTAGGGAAGCACACGCGCTGCTGCAATCAATACCACATGCAACATCAACAAGCCAAGAAAGGACCGACGACGCAGCTCGCAAGAGCGATCTTTCGAGCAAGGAATGAAAATCTAAGCTACACAAAAAGCCCACTTGTAAACTACACATACCTTTCAAAGCCTCATTACGACAGCCGATATCACCACCACCCCCGCCACAGACACACCGTTGCTGCTGCTGCTGCTCCTGCGTAAGTATTCCTTTTCGTGGACTCACAAGGTACACGTCCCCTGTGCGCAATGCACGTGGATGGATACGGAGGGTTGAAACTCCACGGGACTGCACTGCCACATCGGCTCTGTGCCTGTTCTGTCTGCCTGCGCAGAACCAAAACCGAGGTGAGTATGAGGACTTTTTAGCATTTAGCATTAGCCTCACCTTGATGATACCATTACCAAGTGGTCAACTTAGCATAGCTACCTAAGGTGGAAAATGAGGAGAAAAAAAAGAAAAGATCGTCAATAAGAATGAAATCAGATTACCTCTGCCTGCGCGATGCTCTTTTACACACCAGTATCAGTAGCGTTGGATCTCGGTTGGAGCGCCTCCTCTCTAGCTTTATAGACGCCTAGGACATAGTTCCTCTGCCTGAGATGTGCTCTGACTTGTCCAAACAGCTGCCAGCGGAGAAGCCGCCCATAACCAATACCAAATCCCACCAAGTACTTATGGTGGATTTGATCGATCACATGGAAAGGCCTTCACAATCGGTGCAGACAGTAAGCAGCAACAACAACAGCAGCAACGAGAGAGCCTGGTTAAGCTGTTTTTCCCTGCTGCAGGAATCCAACACCACAACCTTGCCTTTGCTGACGACCCGGATGATGGAAGCCTCACACGCAAAAGGCACCCCAAGGACGACCTGGGAAGAGTCAGCCACCTTTGCATAAAATACCCCCGCTCCACGAACTGATGTATGAAAGGAGCGCCTGAGAGGCAGTCCATATCCATCCAGAGCCAAATCTATATCCAATGTTCCCCTGCCACTGTACTCGAGCCTCGCCATCAATACCACCCCACCTTCCAAAGCCGAGAAAAAGACCATTCCTGGCACCAATTGAACCGACAAGTGACCGGATTCGAGCTCCATGAGGTGCACGAGAAGGCAATCTCATCGGCCACATAGTCCTGATTCGAACCACCTTCGTTTCTCCTGTGCCTGTGCCGCTCAGTCGCCAGAGAAAGGAAAAAAGAATAAACAATATGCTTACCCCGATTTGTTGTGGATTGTAAGATCCAGGATACGAAAGCCAACTAAATCCTGCCTGATGATGGTAATAAAACACAATGATTGCACGATTGCCTAATTTAACCAGATTATCTGCACCAACACATCAGGCAGACCCCACGAGGCGAGCTAAGATAAGCAAATCGAACTGTCTATGTACGCATCATACCATATACGTCTAGGCCCGTGGTAGATTACGAGCTGTTTGATGCTCAAGTTGCTCCACGGTTTCCCGTAACATCTTTCTGTCCGCGCTTGTCAAGGCTTTATCTACATGAAAAAACAAAACAAAAAAAACCGCGAAAGGATACATTTGAGCTGCCAGGAGATGGATATCCTTCATCTCCTCGTTAAGTCTGCAACTCACAAGAAAAACATGAGAAACAAGCATCTAGAGAGGAAGCAGAAAAAAAAAAACAAAGAAGAAAAAGCTCACCTGAGACAAGAATTTACAAACTTATTTCCTTTCGTAGCAGCGTCAATGCCTGCATTAGAATCGCATATCAAAAAAACAAGAAAAAACAAGAAAAAGAATAACTTACATCCATTTTGTAGACTCCCGGCAGCATTATTGTAGCACGCCAGATGATCCCGCGTACTGCCAGTGACCTAGACCAGAAATCTTCACTCCAGAGGCCAAAATTTAGGCTTGCAGAACCATACCTCGCTCATCGCCTCCCTCAGCGATGCCACCAGCGAGCAGAAGCTACCCGCGGCATCTCTCGCTTCATCCTCCACGGCTTGCAGCAGCTGCGTCGCCCTGCGCACATCTGCCGTGGAATCAAACACGGGCTGGATCTCGTTCTGGAGGGCGCCTTCTCCTCCTCCCCCCGCCATCGCTCCTCCAAAGCCCTAAAGCAAACGCCCTAATCTACAGTGGCGGGATTAGCATATTCCCAAGAATTATATTCAAACACGAGATAAGAACAGTGAAGTAAAAATTCGCATTGCTGTGATAGACGGCTCAAGGTTTTTCCATGCAAAACGTTTCTTTTCATACGCTCGACTGTGGAGAGGGAGACTCGGGAAGGAGAAGAAGAGTCTAGCCCGACCCGGGGAGCATTATCGACGAGTAATGGCTGTGTCCCATTGATTTATCGCGCTGCGGACCTGGATTATCGCTATGTCGCCCACTGACGATCGCCTCATTTTTTCTCAGTGGTGACTCCCACCGCCACACTGGTCACCTGGAAAGTTTTCACAAAGTTTAGAGATCTTTCCTACAGCAAGGAGCGCAAAGAAAGGAAAGAGATCATACTAGCTTGCCGCTTTCATCCATGGTCATGGGGTTCTCCACAACCACAGTCTGCGATGGTTGCCTCGTCGGCGCAGGCTGCGTGATAAGATACATTAGTGATCGAGTACTATGTCAATCAAGCTGTGAAAATGGCTGATACCTCTGATACGGATGCGGGCTGGGGAAGCGGAGCGTAGTTTGGTCTTTGCACAGGGAGGGGCATTCTCGCGTTGCTGAGATGCTGGTCACACAGGGAGAAGTGGCGTGAGAAGATCAAAACATAACGTCGCTCCTCAAGAAAGGACTTACCGGTATCGTCGTGACATACTGGCAGAGAGCGCATTTCACCGATTGCGCTCCAAACGCATACATGAGAGTCGTATTACAGCCTCCGCAGCTAATATGCGCTACTTGGTTCGCTAAAATCACAAAACAAGTGCGTTAAGAAAACCAAAACCAAAGATAAACGAACGCACCTTCCATCGCCAAGTTGATTGTGTGACAGCACGAGCACTGGACACTAGTGGCACCACGCACATACATGAGTAGCGTCCGGCATCCCCCACAAACGAGCTGAGCCATCTCGGTTCCTATAGGGACCACTCGCAAAACAAGACAAAGTCAAGAAAAAACGTAGCAAGAGAAAGGATTTTTCTTTGCTTTTTTCTTTGATTTTTTTTTTTTTTTTTTTTGTTGTTGATGGAAACCGACCTGGGGGAGGAACAGGAGTGACAGAGCTGCATAGCGCACAGCGGACATTCGTAGCACCTTGAGGATATACGAGCAAAGTCCTACATCCACCACAGATCAGCTGGCCTTGAGACCCTGCAAAAAAAATTTGACAGACAACATAAGATAAGGGATGAGAGAGGAAACCAAAGACAAAGTAAAAGCGATGAAAGCGAAACGATTCGTTATCTCCCTCCCCCTTTTTCACGATTTCACGAGATTATGGAGCAGCGATCGGTCCGGGGAGGGAAATTCTGGAGAAATCGGAGCAAGAAGGGGGGAGCGATTGATTTCTCACCTGGCGGTGGCGGCATATGAGGCTGGGGAGCGTAGGGCACCAGCGGAACCGGCATTGGCGCGGAGATTCGCGTGAATCGCTGCCGATGAATCCGATGAATGGCGCGCCCGGAAATTCCGCCGAGAGATCGAAACAGGGCAACGATCTCCCCCAAAACTTCCCTGCAATGCGCCGATCCGATGGCGCTAGCGCCGCGCCAGGCGCCTCAGCTTCGTCGAAGCCAAACCCTACGCGTCGCCCGGGAGAGCTAAGCTTTGTGGTGAGAGCGTCTTTGAATCCATGAGAATTTTCGTCGAAAGCCTGATCAGCCAGCGCCAAGGCTTATCCACACCGTCCATCGCGACAATCGTAAACCGACGGCCAAGATGGGTTAGGTCTCCTCTTGAGTTGAATATTCCCAGCTTAGAACCCTAATTCTTCCGTAGAAGAGGGCGATGAAGATCACGGCGCTGCTGCTGCTCAGGGCGAGCGATTCGGCAGCAGGATCATCGGCTTCCGGCAGCGACCCGGCGGTACTGGCAAATGCATCGGATGTGAGCCATTTCGGCTATTTCCAGCGCTCCAGCGCCAGAGAATTCATCATGTTTGTAGCTAGAACTCTCGCCAAGCGGACGCCGCAAGGGCAGCGGCATTCCGTGGAGCAGGATGGTAAGCGCTGATTTCCAGATCCAGTTTTCTCATTCTTTGCGTGTAGAGTATGTGGTGTATTGCTACAACAGGAATGGGCTTTGCGGGCTGGCGTTCACGGACAAGCAGTATCCAATGCGAAGTGCTTTCTCAGTGATTAACAAGGTGAGCAATCCAAATTCTTTTGTTCTTCTCTTGAGCATGATCATCGCTCAGGTGATCGATGAGTACATCCAAGCGTTTGGAAATTCCTGGAAATCAGTGACAACCGATAACACGGAACAATGGCCAGCTCTAAATCAAGCCTTGATGAAGTACCAGGTTGGTTTGCTCCATTCCAGTTTTGTCTTCAGTCGTGAGATTTTTCCGTGAATTGCAGGATCCAATGGAAGCGGACAAGCTCATGAGGATCCAGAGGGATCTCGACGACACCAAAGTCATACTGGTACGTGACGCCATAGCTTAGCTTCCTTTCGAGGATTTATTTTTCTCCTTGTCGGTACAGCACAAGACCATAGAAAGCGTCCTTGCTCGAGGGGAAAAGCTCGACTCATTGGTGGAGAAGAGCTCTGATCTTAGCATGGCTTCCCAGGTATTCAAAATCTCTCTTTTCAATCGTATCAAACTCCCAGCTTGCAGATGTTTTACAAGCAAGCCAAGAAAACCAACCAGTGCTGCAGCATCTTGTGAGAGCGACGCGATTTTGATAAAACTCGCTATACATACCGTGTGTTGATGTAAGCTTGTATAATCTACCAGCACCTCAGAAAAGTATCTATCATCACTGTAACCAGCCAGATTCACGAAACTTCAAATCCATTCTTTTCTATCTTCCTGAAACAAGCTAGAAAAAAAGTTAAATCTTACAAGTAAGATCAGAGGTGTTCTTTCCATCACATCGACATTGCTTGCTCACAGCTCTGCAGCGCTTGGTTCGCGAAGTATCTCACGTCCACGTCCGGATCTTCGCTCAACTCCACCAAGCATGGGCGAATCGACTGCTCAACAACCTGGAAATACACATTAAAAAGTAGTCTCTAGAAAGCTTGAGAACTTCTGTGACTTTACCTCGCTGCCAACGATCGGGATAAACGATTGTAGGATCTTCGCCACGTTGAACTTCACGTTTGGAATCCTGTTACAATTTATTAATTCGACTTCTACCTTGGCTCGACGTACCTGTCTTTTGCAGCGTTGATCACGACTGGTAGCATCATCTGGCATGTCACTTCGGAGCCAACAACAGGGGCGAACAAAGAAATGGCATACAGTATCGTCAGCCGGTATAAATAGTGAGGATTGTTAATCATCTCCAACACCTGAGAAAAGCATTACTTTCAAGAGATCTTCACACACAAAAAACTCATACCTGTGGAATAATATGTCTGCAAGCCCATTCTGTGCCAAACTCTTCGGTCAGCCTCTTCAGGTTGTTTGCGGCAGCTTCCCTGATAGAACACACCTGGTACACGATTTGGTTGAGTGTCAACACTTGAGATTTCACGATTCAAACCTGATCTCCAAGCCAATGCATACACAAGGCACCAAGCTTGTCATCAAAGAATTCCACTCCTAGTTGGCTCGCAAGGAGTGGAATGTACTCAATAATAGCCAGCCGCACCCGCCAGTGTTTGTCTTCAGCCAGTTCCACAATCGCGGGTAGGAGCGATTGCGATAACAAGTCAATACCAATAACCTGTAACGAAAAGATCAATTCAAAACAATGAATCTTCGTTGGGCGAACTTGCCTTGTTGACTTGATCCAGCTTGCTTATGATGTTGAGCCTAACGTCAGGGAATTCATCCTTCAAAAGGGCCAAAAATATTGGTAAAAGCTGTTCGATTGTCGCGTCCTGCAAACCAAACTAATCAGCACAGGACGAAAGAGCACGAATTGCCTACTTTTCCAAGAACCGGTGCCATGCCCATTATTACAGAAGCCAAAGCCGCACGAACATGTTGTGACGAGTCTAGAGAAAGTTCCTGTTGGGAGTCAAAAGAGGTCATGTCTGTGCACCACAGAAAAATCTCTCGGCTTACCTTTACACATGGAAGAATGCTTTGCATGGCAATCTCGGGCTGGACTATCTCACAAAACTTGGTCACTTTGTCGGCTGCTGCTATTCTGACTTCCGCTTCGTTATCTCTTAGAAGTCGCACATAGGCAGGGACCAGATCAACCCTTTGCACATAAAAGAAAAGATCAACAATCCATCAGTGTCCCCAAGAAAAGCCAATGTCACTGGACAATACCTAGTACATTCCGGTCCAACAGTTTCACAGAGTTCATATAGTTGATTAGCAACCATATAACGTACCCGCCAGGACTTGTCCTGTAGAAACACGCACCGCATCAGCAACAGGAACAATAAAAGAATGAGACATACTTGTGAGAAATTTAGTATGAGCGGCAACACACAGGCAATGCAGTCGCTTGTTTGTAGCAACCTTCCAAGCGCAGCACAGCCTTCAACAGCTAGAAGCCTGACCGAATCCTGCTCTGAAACATCGAAAAAAAATTGAGAAAAGAAAAAAAGACAAAAAATAAAAATAAAAATTGGGAAAGCGTTGCTGATCATACCATCCTGTGTAAGGTCCCGAAAGACAGCCATGATATCGGTCTTTAGAAACGCAGGCTCGATGGTAGCAGCAAACTTCCCGAGGTTGGAGATGGCGGCCCTTCTCACCAAAGGCATATCGTCGTGACTTAGTTGGTTGTAGATGGTTCTCAATTCCGCTCGGAGAAGCTCCGGAGCGCTCGGGTAGACAATGTGTAGCAGTCCACACACCGACACTCTAGCCGTGAACCATTCTCCAGCCGCGAGCCTCTGCGAATCAAAGAGATCTCACGCCGTGAGCTCAATGTAGCTACAGATCTACGACCTTTACCTTGACAACCGGAGCAAACCATTCCACAAGATCGCGCTCGTTCATCACACTGGCGATCTTGCACAGCGACGCCACCGCCTTCTCCCTCACCGCGCTCTCCTCCACATCGCACAGCGCCTCCAGCGGGGGTAGCAGAGAATGCGCGTACTCCACGCCCCCAACGTAGGGGACAAGATTCCCCAGCTCCTCGGCCATGGCAAGAAGAACCTCTTCATCGTCGTCGCTGCCGTCGGCGAGGAAGGGGATCAGCTCCCGCCGCGTCCGATCCTCGCCCAGAGCCCTAGCGATGGTGGACAGCCGGCGCACCGAGTTGATCCGGAGCTGGACGTCGTCGTTCTTGAGCTCGTCGATGAGCACTGCGATCGGATAGAGCGGCTCCTCCACCATTGCCGCCATAGCTCCCAGGAGAGAATCCACAAACCCTAGAACGGTATTAGTCCGCCAGGAGACTAGAATATGCCAATCGCGTCTTTTAATTTCTAGAATGGGGCCTGCAAATGAAACCTAGGCCTTCTAGAACTGATCTTTTCTTCATGCATTTCTTATTCCCATGCTTTTGATGTTCTTCGCAGTGACTGCCACAGCACAGCTTGATCTTGCAAATCTACATACCTTACTTGGGAGGGACGAGAAGCATCGAGGCTCAAACTCTCACAGCAAGCCATCACCAGATTCTTTCTCAAGTCACTGGAACGTAAAGTTTTTCATGAGAACTCCATAAAACGCTAATTTCTTTCTTTTCTACCTTAGTTTGCAGCGTGCCACGGATGCTACAGCTACAGCCATGCCTTTAGTAATTTCTCTGCAAGGCTAACACCAGATCAGGCCGAGAGATTGTCCAAGTTAAGTCTGTTCTCGGATAAATTCACTAAACAATGCTGTTCTTATTTCCTGAAATCTGAAACGAACACTAGCCATACAATATTCTTAGAATATTCCTGTGGTTTATGGTCATGTTCGATATAACAATGCTAATTATAAATACAAGATTGATTCAACCTTTGAAAGTGTGAAATAGGAAATCCTTAATAAAATTGATGGAATCCTTAACCTCCTTAATGTTGCTCTAAATCTCAGTAATCTAGCATCTTTATCATACAATGATATCATTAAAAAATTCTTCATTCTTGTCATGGCTATCGTCCGCTCTTCCGCCATCCCTAAAAAAACATGTTGTTCTGATACTAATGAAACTAACAGAAGGTCAACTTCCCAACTTTTAAGGTGTTCATGTGTTTTGTTTTCTTAAACTTATATGCCCTTTTTAACCCTAAACCCAACCTAAAACCCCACACGTGTAGAATATTCTTAGAAGATTCCCATGGTTGGTGTCCCTATATAACTCCATCAGACACCATTGGCTTCAGTGAGTCTCTAAGTTCAACGCAATCTGGAATCTCAGCAACGTTTACAATGTCATTGTTGGAATTCTAGACACCAGTAACACTCCTGTCTCTTCATAAGCTAGCATAGAAACAACCATCAGCCGTTCTCGAAAAGAATGGCTGCGAGATGAGCTTACTCATTTTTTGAGAAGTTTAGCCTGATCTCATTCTTGTACAAGAGTATACGCCGACCCGTTCCAGGATGCTGGAAAGGAACTTGCATGAATCCAGCTGGAAAAAACGCATCCGCCATTATCAATTGCAACAGGTTTGCCAGCCTAAAGAAAAAAAAATCTCAGTTACCTGGATCATGCTTGTGCTCGTTCTTTCGACGCTAGCCGCTCACCATCTATGAGAACGCAAGGGACAAGATTGGTCACGGAACTCACACTGCCTCCACCGCGACTGGAAGGCTCGTTTCAAACACAAGTATGAAACGAGGAACTGCCCAAGGTGGTGCACCGTTATCAAGGCTTGCAGCTTACAAAGTTTGCTGGGGTATCACCTGTGACGAGGCTGATATTTTACCTGGATTCGACAATGCAATAAATGATGGAGTTGGATATCATCTCAATCTCGGTCGGGAGAAATCCACTTCGATATAGCATCGATGGATTAGCAATTGGAGCTTACCACGCATTTTTGTCACTGCAGCTGCTGGAAACTTTTGGCACTTTTTACTAGGAAATTGCAAATGGTGCACCTTGGCTCTTCACAGTTGCTGCAAGTACGATTGATCGAAAAATCACGGAGGCTAGATCATTCTTGAGAACTTAGTTGTTTCCTATTTCTTTTCTTCGTCAATTTTGCGCGAGCTCAACCTCTGTACATTGAGAAATTGCAGTCGCTTATGCGAGTGATGGTTTTTCCTTTGAAATTCTTAAAAACATTGTAGTTATCTTTCTCGAGATGTTTTTCTAATCACTATATACGTTTCTATTTTATCCTCCACAGCGATTGTTTTTTGTTACTGTTATTTTGTAAAAAGGTTAACATGAAAATAGAATATTAAATTAAATAGATTGGCGTTAAATTAGCAGCATTAGGATAATTTAATGCCACCCCTTAATTGCAAGCAAAAACTATCTTTTCGTCATGGTCTCCATTTTGCTTTTCATGTTCTTCACAGTGACTGCCGCAACGCAGCTTGATGGAACCAATATTTACATAGCTTACTTGGGAGGGACGAGAAGCATTGAGGCTCAAACTATCACAACAAGCCATCATCAAATTCTTTCTCAAGTCACTGGAACGTAAAGTTTTTTCATGAAAAGCAGGACTCCACAAATCACTAATTTCTTTCTTTTCTACCTAGTTTGGAGTCTGCCATGGACGCCATTGTCTACAGCTACAGCCACGGCTTTAGTGGTTTTTCTGCAAAGCTAACACCAGATCAGGCCGAGGCATTATCAAGTTAAGTCTGTGATCATGGAGAGATTCACTAAACAATTTTGTTCTTACCAGAGTTTCCTGAAATACTGAGCGTTTATCCCAGTAAGACGTATCACATCCAGACAACTCGCTCATGGGACTTCGTTGGCTTGAGCGAGTCTCTAAGTTCGGAGCAATCAGGAATCGAGTTCTTCCCCCATGAACGTTACGATGTCATTGTAGGAGTTCTAGACAGCGGTATCACTCTTGCCCCTTCATATGCTAGCATAGAAACAACCGTCAGCGTTCTCGGACAGAAAGTCTGCGAGACAAGCTTACTCATTCTTCGAGAAGTTGATCTTGATCTCGTTCTTGTACAGGAGTGTGGCCAGAATCCAAGAGCTTCCACGATGCCGACATGAGACCCGTTCCAGGACGATGGAAAGGAACTTGCATGAATCCAGCTGGTACAAACGCATCTGCCATTATCAAATGCAACAGGTGAAAAGGAAAAACATAGCGAACTTAAACCTGAATCATCTTTACAGGAAGCTTGTCGGTGCTCGTACTTTCGACGCTCACGGCTCACACGTCTATGAGAATGCCAGGGACGGCACTGGTCACGGAACTCACGCTGCATCCACTGCGACTGGAAGGCTCGTTGCAAACGCAAGTGTGAATGGAGTTGCCCGAGGAACTGCCCGTGGTGGTGCACCGTTATCAAGGCTTGCGGCTTATAAAGTTTGCTGGGGTTTCATCTGTGACGAGGCTGATATTTTAGCTGGATTTGACACTGCAATACACGATGGAGTTGATATTATCTCAATCTCGGTTGGGAGAAGCCCGCATAGATATAGTACTGATGGATTAGCAATTGGAGCTTACCATGCCATGGAGAGAGGCATTGCCGTTGCAGCACCTGCTGGAAACTTCGATTTTTTTATCTATCAAATTGCAAATGGCGCACCTTGGCTCTTCACAGTTGCTGCAAGCACGATTGATCGAAAAATCACAGAGGTTAAGATCTTTCAGAATAAAAACGAGGACTTACTTTTTCTTTTTTTCTTTTCTGTTCTTTCCTGTTGTGCAGAGTACTCAGATCGACAATTATAAACCAGCTCCAGTTATGGCTCCATTCTCCTTGACTGGACCAAACAGCTTGGATGCAAGTATCATAAAGGTGAGCATTAGAAGCAAAGCATTGTTTCATGGATGACTTACACAGATGACTTACATGAGCGACTTTTGTAGCCCGATATCACTGCTCCTGGTGTTGATATTCTAGCAGCCTGGCCAACCAACATTCCAGTTCATGGCACCAATGCAACTTACGGTGAATACTCACTTCTCTCGGGGACATCAATGGCCACTCCACACGTCGGGGGAGCGTTAGCATTCCTCAAGTCGATCCATCCGACATGGAGCCCCGCAGCACTAAAATCTGCACTCATGACAACAGGTAAACTCATCAAACAATTGCGAAAGATGATCATCAACGATTCAATGCAGCAAGCACCCTGGATAACACAAACGCCACAATCACGAGAGGAAACGCCCCATCCAATCCATTCAGCTTTGGCTCTGGCATTATCCAGCCCGCAAAAGCAGTCGATCCAGGACTAATCTATGATATCCATCCAGAAGACTACATACAATATCTCTGGAGCATCAACTATACCTCCGTCGAGATCCAGCACATCACTGGCAGCCATTGCCCCAAACACTCCACGGATTTCAGCCTCAACTATCCCTCCATCGCGATCGACAAGCTTGCGCCGGGCGCCAGTCGCACAATCTCAAGGATCGTCACGAATGTAGGCACCGGAAGATCTTCCTACACTGTCGCAGTGGCGCCGCCGAGCGATGCCGCGCTTGCCATCGCCGTGAACCCTAAAACCCTAGATTTCTTCTTCACTGGCCAGAAGCTCTCTTACACAGTCACGCTATCTTTGAATAAGGAAGCGGCGGGAAAGAGCTGGATATTCTCTGCTTTGACTTGGACCGATGGCACCCATCAAGTACGAAGCCCCATTGCTGTGTTCTCTAGCTGACGATCAAAGTGAAAATAAAATTTTAGGTCTTGGAAGAGCGCTAGGTCATTATGGATCTTCACTCCTTGCAGCGTGATCGATTCTTCCGCGTGGATGAGCTACTGCTTTCCTGGATCGGCTAGAACTTTTGATCCATTGGATGAGCCACGGATCGGCTAAGAATTAGCGCTTAATCGATTCTCCGCGTGGATGAGCTTCTCCTCGGCTAGAAATCACAAATGTAAGTGTTCTTCTCTTTTAGAAGCTTGATTCCACTCTCTCTTTCCATGAAGTGTTTCTTGCGGGAGGTTCACATCCAAAGTTTTCCATCGCGGCCACGAAAACTATCACCGCCTCGTCCACAGCGGCACTGCTTGCTGCTCTAAAGGCTTGTAGCGGCCGAGCAACGAAAGAAGATGCCACAGAAGTGAATGGAAGGCTTGTCAAGGCCAAGTCTCTGCAAGAAGGTATGGAAATTCATTCTCAGGCTGGCTGCTTACGGGACGTGTTCGTGGCTAGCAGCTTGGTGGACATGTACGCGAAGTGTGGAAGCCTGGAAAAGGCTCGCAACGTTTTCGAGGCGATGCCTTGGCAGAATGTTGTGTCATGGAACGCGCTGATGCTCGGGTATGCTGAGAATGGGGAAGAGGAGGCATGTGTGAACTTACTTTCGTGTTTAGTGCCGAGGCTTCGATCACCGAGAACTTACGCGATTGCACTCAAGGCTTGCAACAAATTAGCAGCAAAGGAAGAAGGCCAGAGCTATGGTGAACAGGAGCTTGTCAAAATCAAGAGCCTGGAGACGGGTATGAGTTTGCATTGTCAGGCTGCTGGGAGTGGTTTTGACGCGGAAATTTTTGTTGCTGGCAGCTTGATTGATATGTATGCCAAGTGTGGGAGCTTGCGGGATGCTCGCAAAGTTTTTGATACGATTCCTTGCTACGACGTGGTGTGTTGGAACTCGCTCATGTCGGGCTACATTGAAAACGGTGAGGGAGGCACAGCTTTGGCATTGTTTGATTGTCTTGGCAGTTTAGCGGATAGTCTAAGCTATGTTGCTGCTTTCAGAGCTTGCGCTGGTCTGGCAGTGGAAGAAGAAGCTAAGAAAGGCAGTGTGAAGTGGGAATCGCTTCAAAGAGGTACCAACCTTCACCTTGAGTATACAAAACGACTTGGGAATAATGGTGATTGTAAGCTTCAGGTGGTCACCAGCATTATAGCTATGTACTCAAAGTGTGGATCCATGGTGGAGGCTCGTAGGGTATTTGATGGTCTCCAGCGAAACACTCACGATGCGGTTTCATGGACAGCGCTTATGTTTGGGTACGTCGAGAACAAGCAGGAACTCCAGGCTTTGGAACTTTTCGCAAGCATGGCCAAAGTTTGTCGACCAAACGCGCGGGCGTTTGTGGTTGCACTCAAGGCTTGCACTCGAGTAGCTGCGAACGAAGGTGGCAAGGTCGTTGCTGGGGACACGATTGTGAAGGTCAGAGCTTTGGAAAATGGGATGGAGATACACAGCAGAGCTGCAACCGATGGATTCGACAAGAACACCATTGTCTCCAACGCGGTGGTGGAAATGTACGCACAGTGTGGGAGCCTAGTCGATGCTCGGGCCGTCCTGGACAGGATGGTGGAACACGACGAGGCGTCCTGGAATGCCTTGCTTCTCGGCTACTCTCAAAGCGGCGAGCAGGAACTGGCTCTGGAGCTCTTTGAGCTGCTGAGCTCTTCGGGAAGAAGCGGCGGCCGTCCGGCTTACGCTGCTGCACTGAAGTGCTGCGCTGAACTGGCCGCTAAGGAAGATGGCAGGACGGTCGACGGGAAGCTCGTCAAGCTCGGCTCTCTGGAGAAAGTTATGAGGATCCACTCGCAGGCTGTGGAGATCGAGCTCGACTCGGACAGGTTTCTAGCCAGCGCGCTGGTTGATACGTATGCCAAGTGTGGGAGCGTGCTGGACGCTCGAAGAGTTTTCGACAGCATGGTGCTCGAGAGCCAGGACGACTTGGTTTTGTGGACTTCGATCATGCTGGCTCACGCCGACAACGGTGAAGGGAGAGTGACTTTGGAGCTCTTCTCGCGGATCAAAAGCCAGCCTTGGTGGTCGCCGCGGGATCCTCAGACAATGGTCGCGGCGCTCAAAGCTTCCGGGAGCAGTGAAGTGGCGTCGCTGGAGAGCGCTCGGCGGATCCATGCGGAAGCTTGCCGGCACGGCCTGATCGAGCGCGACGAAGCTCTGGCGAGCTGCCTGGTGGACGCGTATGGAAGGCTCGGAAGATCCGGCGACTCCCAGCAGGTATTCGACTCCATTCCCGTGAAAGGTCCACTGACTTGGACGGCGCTGGTGGCCGGTTACAGCCGCGTGGGAGATCCGGAGCTCGTCTTTCGCTGGTTTCGCAAGATGGTCGACGAGAAGATCATCCCGGACGCCATCGCTTGCGTGTGCGTGCTCGCGGCTTGCAGCCACGCCGGCCTCGTCGACAGGGGCCTGGAGTTTCTACGCGAGATGGAGGCGATGTTTGGGATCAAGCCCGACATCCGGCACTACTCGTGCGTGATCGACATGCTGGGGCGAGCAAACCGGCTGGAAGAAGCTCTGGCGATGGCGGAGACGATGCCGGTGGATCCAAATGCGGTGACTTGGACGACGCTGCTGGGCGCTTGCGCCAAGTGGAAGAACGCGACGCTGGGGAAGATCGCGTTTGAGAGATCCAGGCAAATGCATCCCTCAAACTTCCAGTTGATGGCAAACATCTACGCTTAGGAAACTCAAGAGCCCTAATTTTCTGACAATATAAAGGTTCTTGTTTAAATGATCCATAAAAGTGAATTTAGGGCAATAGGGCAGTTAGGGTTTATCGATTCTCTCCTTTTTACTATTTAACGCGAGGTATAACAGCGGAGGGTGTTTGTTCGAGCTTCTAGGCGCTGGGAATTCCATGGCAAGGTGAGTGCTTTGGAGCTTGCTAGATCGAGGGATGGGGCGGAGGAGCCAGAAGAGCGCCAATGCGAATCGAGAAGGGGGAGCTGCCGGGGAGGAGGAGGCGACCCACAAGCCCAGGAAATCGAAATCCGGGAGGACTGGGAGCAAGGGCGGAAGGCCGAGAACTAGGGATCAGGAGGAGCCGTGTAGCTCGTCGCGGGCGGAGGCGGAGAGGGAGGCGAGGCGGCGGAGGAAGAAAATGCGCGGCACGCCCATCGGCCATTGTGTGAGCAATGCCGACGCCACTGCCACCGCCAAGATCATGAAGCAAGTCAAGTACTACTTTAACTCTATGAAGTTGGAGCAAAGCTTCATCGATGCCTACGCCAACGATGGCTGGAAGGGACAGAGGTAAGAATAAAAAAGGCTAGAACTTTCTCCTTCTTTCCTTGCTTGCCTTCCTCTCTAGAACTCATGATTTTTTTATTTTTTTTTCTTGCAGCCGAGAGAAAGTTCGGCCCGAGAAGGAACTCGAGAGGGCTACCGCAAAGATACTCGGCTGGAAGCTCAAAATCCGGAAGGCCGTCCAGGAGCTCGATAAGATGTGCTTGGAAGGCTCGATTCTAGACTCGGCTTTTGACGCTGATGGACAACTTGACTACCAAGAGGTATGTATCACTTGTTCGTCCTAGTTTTAGATTCTCTTTTCCTCGGACTCTTGCAGATTTTCTGTGCCAAATGCCACTCTCACGAGGCGGAAGTGGACAATGACATTATTCTTTGCGATGGTTTTTGCAACCGAGGATTCCATCAAAAGTGCCTGAATCCACCACTAGCAACGGAGGACAGTTAAGTGTTTTCTCTTTTCTCGCAAGCGAACGCTCGTATTTAGACTCTGTGTGCAGTTCCTCCCGGTGACGAAGGCTGGATGTGCCCGATCTGCGATTGCAAGTCGGACTGCGCATCGTTTCTAAACGACCACTTAGGCACGGACTTCGATGTCGAGATGAGCTGGGAGGTGAAGTACTCCTTTCGTCTTTACTCGTTTCTCGCTAAGAGCTAGCCTTTCTTTGCCAGAAATTTTTCCCCGAGGCAGTTGAAGGTAGTAATACTATTGTAGCTGACGATGCGGTCCAGGATCTTCCATCCGAGGACTCTGACGACGATGACTATGATCCGGATAACAAAGATAAGGAACAGGAAAAGCTTGCCAACGGCAAGGGAGCTAAAGCCAACGAAGCTGGGGAAGAACAGGATCAAGCAGGAGACGATGACGACGAAAGCGACGATAGCGGTGGCGATGACTCCGGGGGTGGTGATGGCTCCGACTCCGACGATGGAACGACCGACTTATCCGGCGAGGAGCCTCTCTCGGCCGCCGAGGAGGACGAGGACGAGAAAGAGAAAGAGGGAGACGAGGAAGGCGGCGGCAGCAAGAAAGACTCGGACGAAGTGTCCGGCAAGAGGCGGCGGAGAGACGTAGATTACAGAAAGCTCCACGATGTGAGTACTTCTTCTCTCCAGAAATGAAAGCCTCGCACTGTTTCGTGTGAGTGCTTTAGACAGCACGAAGCTTTTCTCGGGGATTCATTCGGGTGTGGGCCTGTAGGAGATGTTTGGAGTGGAGTACGAATGGGCCGAGGCTTTCCAGAGCGAGGACGAGGACTACGGCCCTTTGAAGAGGCCCAGGAAGCAACGAAGTGAGAGAAAAACCGATAGAAACGAGCAAAACCAAGACCACGGCGAGAACCAGGATGGTTTCAGCGATAAGTCGAAGAGAATTCCTCCGGAAGCTGTACAGGTTTGTGCTTGTTATCTCCAAGCGCTTGGCTAGTTTTCGATCGAAACTTTCCAACTTTGCAGAGATTGAGAGTAGCTTTCGACCGGGACCAACTTCCCTCGCGGGATAGCAAGGAAGCGATCGCAAAAGAGCTGGGCCTCTCTTACAGGAAAGTAAGTTCGTGCTTGGATGTTCGTCGCTTCTTTGTTCTTGCTTAGCTCTTCTTCCACAGGTGGACGTGTGGTTTAAGAACGTAAGAACGCAAGCCTTGAAGAAGGCCAAGAGCGACGAGGCCGAGAACCAAACGCTGCTCACGCAAGTCGGCCAGGCAGAGCTCAAGCTCGAGGATTTAAAGAGAGCTATGGAGGCTGTGCGGCACTTGGAGGTGCTCAAGCTCTCGTCATACGCGCAGGGCTTCTACGAGAACTCGGTTGTGGACGTCAACCGTGGAAAGAGGCTCGTCTACATGCCAGTAGCCGAGGTTGTAGAACAAGGTGGCACCAATCCATTGTAAAATAGATAGAAACTTACATAGAGAACTCGCTAAGTTCTTTCACTTTCCTCGCTGGAAATCTACACGGCTCCTGCTGGATCCCCCCTCGTAGCTCTCTCGAGTCCCGGATCCACCGCTGGCTTTCATGGTTCCTCCTCCGCTACGATCACTCGGCTTCTTCCCGCGCTTCACTTCGCTGAGATACGAGTTGAGCCCGAATGGATCCTGGTCCTTCTCGTCCTTCTCAAACTCCACCGGCTTCTCCCTGGGAGCGCGCTGCTCGGTCGCCCCGGCGAATCCCTTGTCCGGCCGGAACCGGTCCGTCTTGAGCTTCTCCAAGTCTTCCTCGCCTCCATACATCTCCGAGTCGGCGTCCTTCTTGGGCCTGTGAAGACCACCGATGCTCGGGTGGCTCGTGAACAGCCCGGTTGTGTAGACGCTGTAAGTGTCGTCGGCCGCGAATCCAGAGTCCATGCCTTGCTCCTGGTTGAAGAGCCGCTGGTCGTAGAGAACCTGCTCGCCACCGCTCGACTTAACGTTGGCCATGCCGAGAGCAACCTTCTCGGTGATATCCCTGTCCCTGTCCCTGGTGAGCTTGCTCTTCTTCCCCCCAGCCGCATCCTTGGCCTCGAGCCGCCGCTCTCTCTCGCGCTCGCGCTTTCTGTCCATCCGGATCGCCTCCCTCTTCTGCCGCTCCGCTCTCTCCTCCCGGTCCTCCCGGTCCTCCTCTCGCTCTTCTCGCTCCTCTCGCTCCTCTCGCTCCTCCTCCACTGCTACTGCTCGGCCCCCGCCCCTGTCCGGCGCCACCACCCCTGCTCTCTCCATCCGCGACTTCTGCGCCAGGGCTCGCAGCTCCTGCTCCTTCTTCTCCTTCTCCTTGAGCGTGATCTCGCGCTGGATCTTGGACCGCATCGTGACCGCCTCGCGGGCCTTCTGCTCCGCGACGTAGAGCGCCTCAGACAGCTTCGCGAAGTTGTCGTTGATCTGGACCTCCTGGAGGCCGCGGCCATCGGCGGCCAGGCGCTTGTCGAGCGGGATGGTGTATCCTTTCGGGTTCTTCCAGTTGGAGATGCACGGCGGGATCTTCCAGTCCTGCTGGTCCTTCACCGTCACAGGCCGGGGTGGCGAGTGCATCACCGGCACCGGCGGCGACCCCGATGGCTTTGGAACTCTCTTGTGCTTGAATTTTGGCGGCTCGAGTGGATCCACGGGCATCTCCACCATCTTGATCGTCCTCTCCTTGGCTCCAGAGTTAAACGCGGACGAAAGCTGCGAGGGAGTGTACTTGATGTAAGACGGCCCGGAGCTCGCCGATGGAACGTTCTTGGGCTGTGCGGCCGCCAGCCTCTCGTGGACGATCTTCTCCAGCGCCATCTTCGTCCTCTCGGTTGTCTCCTTGATCTCATCCTCGCCCGGCTTGGCCGAGGGAACCTCGCTGGGGAGCTTGGGGACGAGATCCCTGTGCTGGGTGTAGACGATCTTGGAAGAATTCTCGCCCTGCTTCACCACCGCGTCATACCTCACGTTCCCCTGCGCGTCCACGGTGGTGGGCAGCACCGAATTGTTGTGCTTGTCGTGCTTCTTGCCCATCTCCAGCGGGAACTGGGCGAGATGGATCTCCGGGAAGGCGCCGCCATCGCCGAAATCCTCCACCCTCTTGGGCACGAAGCCAGAGCGCTTGCCATAGGGCGGCGGCTCCTTGTGCTTGCTCACTGCTTGCGGCCGGATTACCTCGAGGCGGCTCTGGTACCACGATTGGGAGGCGACGTCGTCCACGCGCTGCTGCTCCACGGCGCTCTTGGGAGGTGGAAGGCGGCTCAGCAGCGCCATAGCCTCGATCCTTAGAACCCTAAAATTCTATAACCCTAAGAAGTAATGGTCTCTTTAAATAGTCTCCAAAAAGCTTTGATTCCAAAAAATATTATTGGCATCGTTAGTCTCTACCATTGATTCTATTTCTTGGGCTTCAATGCGATGAGTGGATCTCCATAGCCAACCGGCACTATAGAAAAAAAAAAGGGATTTGTTTTTATCTCGAATCGAATCGAATAGAGCTCGATATTTACCTCCGTCTTCCCAAAGAACTTTGATCACATCTCCAGACGTTTCGCTCTGCAAAAGAAGTGCATAAACAAGGAAGCTCTCTAGCGGCCAAAATAAAAAAAGATTTTGCGAAGTTACCTCCACTGCTGTTTGAGTTCCAAATTGCTCCAAGTAACACACGACTTGGCCCTCCTTCACTGTCTGGCCCTGCAAAGATCAAGGCAAAGTTTTCCTCCTTTTTTCTTGTTATTCGATCGATCGGACTTACCTCTTGGCAAAGAGGTGCACCAAACTTTCCTTTCACTAAACGAGACCGTCGAAACAGACCAACCTGTGCGTTCTCAGTAAGAATCGATCGATCTAAGAAGGAGAAGATAGAAAGTAGTACCTTTGGAGCATTAACGAAGACCACTCCGGTCTCCGCGGCTGCCTTTTGGAGCTCGTCATAAGCAACAGCCTTGGACATCATCGGCGAGACTTTGGAAGTTTTCGCGGCCGGTTTTGATGGAGCCGCCGGCTTGCTAGAAACCGGTGCTGCCGCTGGTGCCGCCACTGGTGGAGCAGCGACTGACGCCGCCGGAGGAGGCTTTGGAGCAGGAACGCTTCTTCTCATGTGAAGGTTAAACGCGCCAACCTGAGAGAGACAAAGAACAAAAATTCCATTCATTGATCAAATGAAAGAAGAAAGCAAGAAAGCGTTACTACCTTGACATTAAGCTCCGCGATCTTCGTCTCATCGCAAACTTCTCTGAGGAGGGTGTGGATCTACGTGAAATCAAGAGGAAAAGATTTGTTTTCTTTCAAGATCTAGAGCCAGCAAGCTTACTTCCGCAGAGGTCGGGATCACCGGCTCCAGCTCCTCGATTTCTAGAAGAAAAAGGTCGGCAAAAAAGTAGAGGAAGAAAAAGAGAAAACAAGGAAAAAAGAGGAGGTCCAATTTTTTGTCTTGACTTACTCGTCGCGACACAAAAGACTCGCTGGCTCCTCCGTGCCCAGCATTGCCTCACGGAGACTCTAGAAACGCTGATAATGGCGCTGGATCCATACGAAACATGGCATGCGTCCAGTGACGAGCTCGCCGGCGAGAATTGAGCTTGCAACACTGCATTTGGGCGGACCAGAGGAGCAACATTAGAGATCGAGAGCAAGATCAGAGAAACTCACAGGACGACGCGGCCATTTCTAGCGTTCCCCGACGTTCCCGAGCAAGCACAACGATCTAGGGCTTTAAGGGCTTTAATAACCAGCGATCATTCCAATGCAGGGAACCGACGGCCCTGGACACGCCACGTGGCATTGTTCAAATTGATCATTAACTGTTTGATCTACTTGAGATGTTTAGCGTTAACTAATGAAAATGGGCATTTGGTCTAGTGGTATGATTCTCGCTTAGGGTGCGAGAGGTCCCGAGTTCAATTCTCGGAATGCCCCAAGATCATCCATTTTTAATTTTGACAAAACAAAGCAAGTTATTTCCAGTCCGCCACCTTTCTCTTCTCAAGCACATTGCAAATCTATCAAGCGCCACCAATTTTCTTGAGCGCCTCACAGACGTGCCGCATCTTTGGCCGCTGCTCCGACGCCAGCGCCACGCAGCTCAGCGCAATCCGCAAGAACTCGGACACGTCCCTCTGCTGTGGAGCAATGCCGTGCATGAGCGTCGGATCCAGCAGCTCAAACACCGGCCTCTTCCCCTCCCACATCTTGTGCGCCCATTCCACCAGCGGCATCGTCTCGCTCGCGGCGGTACCGGCGGTATTAGCCGCGGCGCCGCCGGCGGCAGCGGTGGTGGTGGGCGTCGCCGCCTTGGATCCCGTCGTGGGCGTCGGCGTCGGCGTCGATGGCGTCCTTGGAGTCGACGGAGTGGCCGCCGGCGTCGTGGGTGGCGTCGTGGGCGCGGTCGTGGGCGTTGTCGATGGCGGCGTCGTGGATCCATTCGAGCTTCCAACATTCGTGGAGGACGCCGCCACCATTTGCTGCTGGATCAAGTGCTGCTGGAATTGCAGCTGCCACTGCTGGAGCTCCTGCTGCTTGAGGTGCTGCGTCGCGCTCTTGCCGGTGATGAGCTCCAGCATCACCAGCCCAAACGAGTAGACGTCCCACTTTTGCGTCGGCTTGGAGCTCGAGAGCCGCGCCTCGGGTGGCCGGTAAGCCTCCGTCTCCAGGTGCCCGGCTCGAAACTCGCTGTAGTCCGCCTCCACGGACACGCCCGAGTTGAGACCCGTGCCGCCGGCGGCACCCAGAACTACCGCGGCGGTAGCCAGCGACGCCGACGTGTTTGCGTTGCGGCTGCCCGACCTCGAGTTCTCTGCGCTGCCCGAGATGGTGATGAGCCGGCTCAGCCCAAAGTCGGAGATGAAGGCGTCCATGTTGGAGCTCAGGAGGATGTTCTTGGGGCGGATGTCGCCGTGGATGTATTTCTTGGGCCCGCATTCGTGGATGTGAGCCAAGCCCTCGGAAACCCTCCTCGCGATTCTCACTCGCTCCGCCCACGTCAAGGATGTGAGCGAGTAGGGAGCAATCTGGCCTGAAAGAAATCATACCGCGCGGTATCAGAAGCCATCACAAGTAATGCCGCGGGGCAAGCTTTGATCCATAACTATACCGCGCGGCACCAACAGGCAAGAAGGGAGAGGAAGGATCTCTTACCGTGGAGCGCGGTGGCGAGGCTGCCATTGGGAATGTAGTCGTAGACGAGGAGCTTCTCATCGGGGCCGCTGTAGTAGGCTCTCAGCTTGACGATGCAAGGGTGACGGATGCGCCCAAGGATCTGGACCTCGGTGTCGAAGAGCTTCTGCTTGCGCGGTACGCCGCCCGCGCCGCCGCCGCTGTCCGCCGCCAGCCGGCGTACCGCCAGCGTCACGCCGCTCTCCAGGACAGCCTTGTAGACAATGCCGCCAGATCCGCCTTTGCTGATGACATAGGCCGAGGCGCGGAGAAGATCCTCGAGGTCGAAAGTAAGGCGATCGTTGCGATCGTTCTCGAACAGCACCAGCTCGCCCTCGGTGCCGGATTCATCCCCGAGCCAGTCGGATCCATCGCCGCAGCAGCAGCAGCAGATGCCCCAGAGGCAGCAGTGGTCCGGAGGCTCGCTGCTACCACTGGAATCGCCTCCAGGAGATCGAGCTCCATGATTCTTGTGCCGCAGCTTCAAGTAGCGGCAAATCCTGTTCCTCCGGAAGCAGTAGATGAAAACCAGACCCAGGAGAACGATCCCCACAGCATCGCCCACCACAATGGCAAGAATCTCCTTCACGCTCAGCCCTTGCCCCTTGCTCTTGGCCGCCCTGCTGTTCTTGGCGTTCGCTGCCGGCGGTACCGCACGGTGAGATGCCCGCGGCACCAGCGCGCCGCACGGACGACGCAGCGGTGCACCGCACAGACCGGCATTGCCGTTGAACGCCGCGGGCGGCACACCGTGGAGCTCACGCGGGATCGGACCGCTGAGATTGTTCCGCGAAAGATCCAGGCTGGCGGTACTTAGATTCTGGGGTATATGCCCCGAGAGGATATTCCCGGAGAGATTGAGATGCTCGAGCTCCTTCGTCCCGCCCAGGCCCCCAGGAATCGCGCCCTCGAGGAGATTGTTGCTGAGATCAATGTACTCCAGATTCACGAGTGCGGCGAGGTCGCGAGGGAGAGCCCCGGACAGGCGATTGTTGCCGAGGATCATCTTGTGGAGAGTCTGTATGCGCGTGATTTCTTGAGGGATCCCGCCCGAGAAGCTGTTGTTGCGGAGATTGATCCGCTGGAGCTGCGACAGCGCCTGGAGATCCCTGGAAATGGAACCGGAGAGAGATTTGTCCGGGAGATTGATACCCACGACCCGGTGCTCGTGCTCAATCGTGCTGCACAGGACCCCATTCCAGCGGCAGTGGAGGGCGTCGCTGGGATCCCATCCGCCCAGCGCGCCCAGTGGATCGCTGGAGATGGCAGCCTTGAATGCCAGGAGCGCATACCTGTCCGAGTTGAGGGCGCTAGTGGGCTGGAGTAGAACAGCGAGCAGAATCACCGCGACCCAGCATTCCATCCCCAAGTTAGCCGCCATAGCCAGGAAGAACACGAGCTTGCTGTCATTCTTCCGAGAACTCCGGAGGGCCCGAGGAAGAAGAACACATGGTAGAAGCAATGGATTTAAGAGGAAGACAAGCCAGGGATTGGATGAGGGATGTGTATATCCCTTGGAAGTCAAGCACCACTTTCCAGGATCGATCTAGAGGGAGCCCAGAGAACTTTTCTCACTTAAAAAACCAGGAAACTTGACTTGGAAGAAGGAAAAGAATGACGAATTTCTTGGAAGAACAACCAAAACAACCTTGGAAGACGAAGAAGAATCGATCTCGATGTCGCGCAATTGTTGTTGCTGTTCGTGTGTTGGTGGCAGCCTACCCCTGAATGCGACAATCTCTGGCACCCCCACGCAGCTTTTTGCAGTGACAGAGCACACACCCTGCTAAGTTAGATAGATCTCGCCCCTTTGCTTGGCAATTTAGGATGGATCGATCTATCTCTCGGTCGATCGATCGCGTCGCCCGCAAACCAACAGCAGCAGCAGCAGTAGTGAGCCCACTTGGATCTGGCAGGATCCCAATTGCCAGCTCAAAGCAATCCAAATTGTGATCGAGCAGCATAAAAACAAGAGTCCCCCCTGTCAAAATCGCGGAGTTTTCTTTTCGATGATCATGTGATCATACCAAATGCCGCTGGACGGCATTTGCCTAGTCGGGATTTTTTTATCATCTGTATGATTGACTGCCGGTTTTAGTTCTCCTCCCTGACGTCGATGCGCACCAGCAAGCATGTTGAGAACATTCTTGATTGATCAAATCATGGCTAAAAACTATTGCCAATTCAGGACTCCGGGGGATCTAGCTACCAACGATGTTCTTATTGTAAATTTTACCGTAGTGATCCAAAAGCTATCTATCCATCCTTCCTAGACCTGTATGGACGAAATATCACAAAACAAGGCCACAAGAACAAGACAAGGATTGCGCGCTTACATTGAAACCCTCCTCTCGCAGGCACCGGAGATGGACATCGATCCACTTGCCGCAAGCGTCCTCGCCGTGCTCGGCAATGCATTCGTCCCGCAATTTCTTGGTATCAGGGCAAGCGCAGCAAATCTTCTTCTTTGGAGCCGCCGCTCCAGCTCCGCCCGATCCGACTGCCGCCGCCGGAGCCGCTGCTCCAGCTGCTGGCTCCGCCACCGCTCCCGTCGCCGGCGATCGCTCAACTATCTCCTGCTTCATCTTGCCCTAATTTCCCAAGGGTATAACGTTGGTATATTCGTTGCCCTAAAACCCAAAAACCCTATCCCACGAGCCGGAGCATAAAATCGTGCCACCATTTCTTTAAGAAGGGCGAGGCGGGCTCTTTCTACTTGCCCGTCCCTGCCGAGGGTGAGGCGACAGGTTTATGACCGTATGGGATGACCTGTCGTGCTGACTTTTTTGTATGGACACATCGTATGTGGGAATCACAGCAGTCTTTTACTTGAAAGGCTGCTTCTCACTAATTTTTGGAGCCTCGTAATGGGGCACACAAAATCTCCACTACAAAACCCTAAAGTGCCACGTCACCTTTTTCCAAAATGCCACGCCGCCCTTTTGCTACTTCACTCGTTAATGTTGATGTTCCTCAGGAGCACGTATGGATCGGAGGTTCCCGGATCGAGTCTCTCGGCCGCCCGAGACGCCAGCGTGGCCTCGCTGTGGATCTGGCACGAGCCAACGATGGAGCGCCACGTGGCGGGATCGGGCGGGAAGGGCATCCCGTCCGCCAGCTCCTGGGCCTCGGCGAGCTTGCCCGCGCGGCCCAGGATGTCGACCATGCATACGTAGTGCTCCGGAATGGGGGTGATCCAATGGTCACGAATCATCGAGAAGAAGTAATCCCTGGCCATGTCTAGCAGACCCAAGTGGCTGCAAGCCGTGAGCGTTGCCACAAAAACCACATCGTTTGCTCCAATCCCAAAGCCTTGCATTTCGTGAAATAGTGAGATCGCCTCCGCGGCATGCCCTTCCAGAGCATACGCCCCAATCAATGTGTTCCAGGACACAAGGCCTGGCTCTGGCATCTTTTCAAAGATCCCCCTGGCATCAAAAAGATGCCCGTTCCTGGCATATGCCGCGAGAAGATTGTTCCATGCCCAAACATCGTGTCTGGGCATGGCATCGAACACAATCTTCGCCGTTTTGGTTTGGCCGACGTGTCCGTACGCTGCGGCCAGCGACGTCCACGCGGATATCCCCCGCCCGGTGAGAAGATTAAACATAATCTGGCTCTCCTCTACGTGACCAGCCCGGGCATATGCTTGGAACAATGCATTATACGGCACGAACTCAAAGTACGGCATTCGCTCCAGCAGAATCTTTGCCTCTGTGAGGCATCCGTGCAAGGAATATCCCACCACCATGGCGTTCCAAGACAGAAGCTCTCGCTTTGGGACCGAATCAAACAGGGACTTTGCGCGAGAGAAATCCCCTCGCACGGCATTTGCAGTGATTGTGGTGTTCCAAGTTACGACGTCCCGCTCGGGAATCTTCTCAAACACCTGTTGGGCGAGGGCCAAGTGCCCGGCCATTCCGTACGCCGTGAGAACACAGTTCCACGACACTAGCGTCCTCTCGGGCATCTCATCGAAGACCATCTTCGAGGCCGAGGCGTCCTCGTTGTGTGGAATCAAGGCATTCCAGGAGGCAACGTTCCACTGCGGCATTCGATCAAAGACCTCGCCACTCTCGCGGGCCTGCCCCTCCTGCGCGTACCCAGTCAGGAGCGCGTTCCAGGATCCCAGATTTCTTCCAGGGATCCGCGCGAAGAACTCTCTCGCTTCGCCCGGCAATCCACTCGCGGCAAACGTCCCGATGACGCTGTTCCATGTCACGAGATTGTGCGCGGGCATCCGCTGGAACATTGCCAGCGAGTCGTGGATTTGCCCAGCCTCGGCAATTGCTGCGACCATCGTCGTCCAGGACGCCACATCCTTGATCCTCATCGCGTGGAACGCAACCTCGGCGCCGCGGAGATCGCCCGCCGCGATGTGAGCATTGAGCATCGCATTGGAGGCAAACACATCCGGATCCTCCATCTCGTCGAAGATCTTCCTGGCACGACCGACATGCCCATGCCGGGAATACGCCGTGAGGATGGTGTTGATCGAGAACTCGTTCCGCTGCGGCATCCGGTCGAAGAGATCCGCCGCGCGATCCAGCCTCTCCCCGATCGCCAGCGCCCCCAGCATGATGTTCAATGAGAACTGGTTCCTGCCCTGGATTCCATCGAAGATTTCCTGCGCGGTCTCGAGGCTCCCGCACATCCCATACATGCGCACGAGGAGATTCGAGAGATAGACGCTGCGGCGGAGCTCCGGTGAGCGCCAGATCTGTGCGTGGAGAAGCCTGCCCTGGTGGAGATCCTGGGCGGAGGCGCAGTGCTGGAGGAGACGGCCCCATGAGCGAAGATTAGGGCACTCCAGTGTCAGCCCAGAAAGAGTACGGAACTGGCGGACATAGCTATTTGGCCATCGTGGCGGATAAATCCATCCGGTCGGGGACCCTAAAAAGCAGTGGCGGCCGCGCGAGAAAGATCTCGAGGTATGTCTTTCGATCCCACATTTTGGGTCTGCAAGACCAAATCTCGCCCGCATTCAGTCCAGATCTCGCGATTTTCTTTTTCTTTTTGCTCAATTTGTAGCTAGCATTTCATTAGCTCTGAGCTTCTCGCAAATGAGTTCTTCGCATTTCTCAACTAGTTTCTTTCAGTTCTTCGCCCTCTTTTCATCCGTTTTGATGTAGATTTCTAGATTCTCGGTTGTTCTTAGAAGACTTCTTCGTGACAGCTCTAGTCATATTCGTATCAGCTTCTTGTTCTAAAGATTTCGTCAAGTGTCCTTCGCCTGACTTCCTTCGTCCTTCGATTTCTTCCAGAGACGAGCTTGTTTGATGGCAACCAGCGCGCAGCTTCCAGCGGAGGAACACATGACCCGCGAGGACCACCGCTGCTCCCCGCCGCGAGCCGCGAACCACGCGCACCTCAAGAACCTCAAGAAGGGGGTGGAGCGCAAGGACCGCCACCCTTCCACCGGGATCAATCCCTCGCCTAAGAAATCTGGCCGCGGGGGGCGATTCACCTGGGAGGGCTCCTCCCACGCCGACGACTACGCCGCCAGTTACGATCTCAACAACGCGCTGGACAAGAACGATCCAAACTACGTCGACGAGGAGGAGGAAGAAATCCATGCCGCGGCCGAGATCGAGGGGAAAAAGGAGTGTGCAGACGCTCCTCCCAAAGCTGCTCCAGATGCTACCACTGCCACTGTTGCTGCCACAGCTTGACGATCAAGATCAAGTCAATAACTAGCAGCAAGGCTCGGACAAATCTTGTAAATAGAAACCGGGATCAAAGCATTCTCGAACTAAAGGGTTTGATGCTTCTTGGTTGTAAGATTGTAACAAGTCTGTAGAGTTTAAGATCTCTGGGCTTGCGGTGTGCAATTGCCACTGATCAGGTGGCCATGGCCAACAGCCCCGAGACAAATGCGATAGTTAGCGTTTAGGGGTTAAACTCGGTGATGATCCAGCTGAAGCATACACGTAGAGAAAAGAAGAGATAAAAGAGAAAACTAACAAGATCATGGCACTTCATAGATATGGCTCTGGATTTAACAACATGACAGACGTGACAGCAATCGACTTAAAGTCTTAAATCCTCAGGCTGGATTATAGTCTTGCTAGAGAGGTGGACCTTTGGCCAGAGTTACCGAGTTGCTTCAGGTAAGGTTTTTTCTTGTCTAAACGTTCTTGAATCAAAATTAATGCAACAGGGAAGTGATGAAAGAGTACCACGACCAGGTTTCAGCCTTTGGACACTGCTTGCTAGATAATGTTTCCAAGAGCCTTGGCTTGGAGAATAAGTTAATGGGTGCGAAGATCATATAAACTACTATCTTCCATACCACACAGCAGAGCTCGTTAATTAGAGGTAAATTTCCTTTTTTCTCAATACCATTGCCAAAGATCTAAGTTTCCAGATAATGACGAATGCAAAATACAAGAGCGCCGAGCACCGAGTTCGAGCACACTTTGATAAGTCGCGATTGTCCGTGGTTGCGTTTTTTGGGCCTGGAATGGACACAGTGGTCGGCCCCCTGCCAGAGATGGTAACCGAAGAAAATCCTCCTCTATACAGAGAATGCGTCACCAGGGACTATATCACCCAGTTCTATTCCAAGCCGCTCGATGGCAAGAGGTGCTTGGACTATGTTAAAGTAGATCATGGCGCTGAAGTTTGAGAAGAACAATGCATGAACATATAATAATTTGTCTTCTCTGAAGTTGGAGTTTGTGTAAGAAAACTAAAGACCTTGCTCTACATGCATATAATAATACATGGTTTTGGGGTTTTTTAGCGCCCATGTAAAGGCACATGACCTCTTGGATGAAACAAGAGGGATCATCTCTAATAATCTACCTCCTACACTACCTCTTTACCCACCTCTTACATATTGTTCTAAAACATTTGGTGGTGAATTGCTATGTGAACGATGCCATATTTTGCGATGTACAGGTTTAAAAGTGGAAGTGTGCTTCAATCGTGCTTTTCTGGTGAAACTTTTCTCCATAAAAGCCACCCCAGCTCTCGCGAAGTTCCCGGCGGCGGCACTCCTTTCGAAGAAGTAAACAATGCGAAGTCCATCTTATGTATGTAAGTCAGGATGGCCGAGCTGGTCTAAGGCGCTAGTTTCAGGTACTAGTCCGCAAGGGCATGGGTTCGAATCCCATTCCTGACAGTATACATTTTACAAGCTCAAACTAGCCTCTGGAACTTAGGCTTGAACTTGAACCTAGATTCCGCCAAAAAACTTCGGTTTAAGAATAATCATTGTTGATAATTCATGGAGAAGTCTTGAGCTTCCATGCACCCTCGTCTTTGGCGAGAATCAACGAGTTCCACGAAAATGCTCTCTTCTGTTTATTTATTTATTGTGACGCCACTTTCGCGACTCCCTCTTAAACACATCCTCAATTTTTTTCACTACGGTATGGGAGAAGAGAATCATCTCCAAGATCTTAAAGAAGGATGTGCAAGATAGATTTCAAGAAAGAACTTGCGAATCTTGATGAGTCTCAAGTTCCTATAGTTGATTTCTCTTATATAGAAGATGCTATAGCTTCAGCTTGCCAGGATTCAGGAATGGGGATTTTTCCAGGTGGGGAAATGGTTATTCGTTTTATCTCTTCGTGCTCAGGCAATAAATCACGGGGTTCCAATTGCTAGTATGCAAAATGTCCTCGATTTAGCCAAAGAGATTTTCAATCAGACATCAGAGGAGTACAATTTCCTGGGGGATAAACTCAGTGATAATGATCCATCTAAAGCATACAGGTAGAGAAAAGAAAAGATAAAAGATAAAACTAACAAGATCATGGCTTTGCAATAGATATGGACAGCAGGAGAGACATGAAAGCAATCGACTTAAAGTATTACCTCATGCTGGACTATGGTCTTGCTCGAGAGGTGGACCTTTGGCCAGAGTCACGGAGGTAAAGTTTTTTCTGGACTAAACGTTCTTGAAGGGAAGTGATGAAAGAGTACCACGACCAGGTTTCAGCCTTTGGACACTGCTTGCTTGATATTATCTCCAAAGGCCTTGGCTTGGAGAATATTTACGATTTTACCAAGTTAATGGGCGAGAAGTTAATTCATGTGCGTCATGAATTACTGCCTTCCATACCACAAACCCGAGCTCGTCAAGGGCACCTCGGCCCGTGCCATGAGCATCCTCCTCCAAGACGACGGGGGGATTGGAAGTTTGCAAAGATGGTCGCTGGTTTGCGGTAAAGCCAGTGAAAGACGCCTTTGTTGTCAACATTGCTGATCAATTACAGGTAGGTTTCGTTCTTTTTCTCCCAATAACATTGCTAAGCGAATGCAAAGTATAAGAGCGCCGAGCACCGAGTCCGAGCACACCCAGAGAAGTCGCGACTCGTGGTGGTTTTCTTTAGTGGTTGGTCCCCTGCCCGAGATGGTAAGCGAGGAAAATCCTCCTCTCTACAGGGAATGCATCACCAAAGACTATTTGACCTAGCTCTATGCAAAACTAAAGCGAACATATAACAATTTGTCTTCAAAGAAGTTGGAAGTTTGTGTAGGAAGACTGTTTGCACGGCATTGTTATAAACAGGAAGAAATATTCTCTCATGTGATCTCCAAACTTTCCTTTAGAAGAACTAACATATGTGAGATCGATATTTATCATGACGAGAGAAATTTCTTGTGTCAATAAATCCATAAATCTTTGGGCTTTAAGACAGTCCATTTCCTCTTGTGAAATATCTGCTAACTCGTGGCAAAAGAGTTTGTAGAGCAGCTCTTCCCCTTGGTATTTGTGTGATTTCACTATGAGACATCATTCCTTTCGTGTATAACTGATCACCAGCAACCAGACTCATGTCGATAAAGGTCTAATTAAAGAAAATATGTGCTTGGAATATACTAAGGGCCCACTTGTTTCCTTTTTGAAATATCCGCCATTTAGGTTTAAAAAAATCTAAACGTCCTTTTCTCTGAAAGTCTTGTTTTCTGTATGAACTTTTTTCTTAATAAATTCTATTAATTTTTTTAATTAAAGATATGCATATAAATTTTAAACACCAAAGAAATTGCGGGCTGCCAAAACAGCGCTTAACACCTTTGCAAGGGCCATGATTTGCCACTGATCAGGTGATCCCAGCCTAGTTAGCCTAACCGCACTACCAATCTAACCTAACCGGAGTTAGTGCTAGTTATATACTTTTTTTTGTGGCATGATCCATGTGGGATAATATAAAATAGGTTTAAAGAATCGTGACGGAAAAGCTAACGAATACGCGAATATTCCAGTGGCTTTATTTGGGGAATTGCGAGATTCGAACTCCCGACCTCATGCACTGGTACTTGAGGGTTTATTTGTCGGACCGATGACAACGATGGGAATGACCTCACTCTTGTAGATCAATGCGCAAGGCCATGGCGCTCTCTTCGTCCATCGCGCTCTGCCTAGCCCTGTGGATGATCGCCGCCGTGTCTCGGGAATACAGAGTCTTGTCCGTGATCGAGCAGGCCAATGCCGGGGGGGGGAGCGCGATCCTGGTGGAGATCGCGGACAGGATCGACGATTTCGGCCCCGACATTGAGCACCTTCTCATCAGCGTCAGGTGATTTTCGATCGATCAGTTGCTTTCTTGGAGATTGGTTGATTTCCCCCCTCTTTCTTGAATTTCCCAGCTATGAGACCGACGAGCGCTTGCATCTGATGATCACGGACGCCGATAGCCCTCGCTGGGAGATCCCATTCAAGCTGATACCGCGATCGATGGACGGCAACAGCAGCAGCGCCAGATTTTCCCAGGAAGTTCGCAAGATCACGTCGCCCAAGCTCCAGCTCTCCTACACGGTGAATCCATTCAGCTTTACGGTCACTCGGGTCTCTAACGGGGAAATTCTCTTCGACTCGCCATCGTCGTCGAGATTCGTGTTTAAAGATCAATATCTAGAGATATCAACGAGGATTCCAGCCCAGGCAGCGCTCTATGGGCTCGGGGAGAGCACTCGCAGCGATGGCTTTCGGATTCTTCCAAACTCGACTTACACACTCTGGGCAGCTGATACAGGTGCCGACAACACGGACGTAAATCTATATGGATCGCATCCTTTCTATATGGACGTGAGAAGCGGAGGACAAGCTTACGGTGTTCTTCTTCTCAACAGCAATGGCATGGACGTGAACTATGAGGGGGAGTTTTTGACGTACAAAGTTCTTGGAGGTGTGTTTGATTTCTATTTCTTCGCTGGGCCGTCTCCCCTCTCCGTTGTCCAGCAGTACACAGCACATGTTGGAAAACCGGCAGCGATGCCATATTGGTCGCTCGGTAAGCTCTCCATTTTTTCCTTCGATCACTTTGATCACCATCTTGATCTTGCAGGATTCCACCAGTGTCGATGGGGATACAAGAATGTATCCCAGCTCGAGCATGTTGTTGCCGAGTACAAGAAGGCGAATTTGCCTCTGGAAGTTATGTGGAACGATATAGATCACATGGACGTGTATAAGGACTTCACTCTGGATCCTGTAAATTATCCTGCTGAACAGCTGCGAGCGTTTGTGGAGAAACTCCACAAGAACGGCCAGCGATATGTTCTTATTGTAGATCCTGGTAAGTTGCTTGTCTCACGCTTAAGTTTGTTGATAGATATTCCTTTTGACAGGACTCAAACCAGAGAAAAATTACGAGACTTACAGACGGGCCAAGGAAATGGATGTTTTTATCAAGGACGTGCAAGGCAAACCATATCTCGGTCAGGTTTGGCCCGGGCCTGTGCATTTCCCGGACTTCCTCCATCCAAGAGCTCTAGAGTTTTGGACAGGAGAGGTCTCCAGATTTCACAAGGAGGTTCCATTTGATGGTCTCTGGATTGATATGAACGAGGCCTCAAATTTTTGCCAGGGAGTTACGTGCACCTTACCAGCCAACGTTACGTGTCCGATCCCCGGTTCCTTCACTCAGTGCTGCCTGGTTTGCAGCAACGACCTCGCTACAAAGTGGGACAATCCACCTTACGCCATCAACAATGCTGGCACTCACAGAAGTCTGGGTGGAAAGACTATACCGACGAGCGCTACGCACTACAATGGGACTTTAGAGTACAACGCTCACAATCTCTACGGGCTTGCCGAGGCCATCGTGATCAACAGTGCTCTCAAGACAGTCGTGAAGAAGAGGCCGTTCGTGCTCTCGAGGTCCACCTTTGCTGGAAGTGGCCGAGTCACTGCTCACTGGCTGGGTGATAACCGGGCGTCTTGGAACGACTTGAAGTACTCCATCTCCGGCATCTTAGGCGCGGGGCTGGCTGGAATTCCCATGGTGGGAGCGGACATCTGTGGCTTCTCAGGCAACACTACCGAGGAGCTTTGCAACCGGTGGATACAGTTGGGAGCATTCTATCCGTTCTCGAGGGACCACAACGATTTTTTCAGCAGTCCACAGGAGCTCTTTGTGTGGAAGTCAGTGACTCGATCGGCAAGGAAGGCACTGGAGCTTCGCTACAAGCTCCTCCCATACTTGTACACTCTTTCCTTCGAGGCACACACGCTGGGCTCGCCGGTAGCAAGGCCGCTGTTCTTCACGTTTCCAAACGATCGGGCCACCCTCGACATTGACAAGCAGTTCCTTCTCGGCCGCGGCATTCTCGTCTCTCCAGTGTTAACTCCCAACGCCACCACCGTCAAGGCATACTTTCCTCAAGGCACTTGGTACAGCCTCTTCGACTACACGAAGTACGTGACATCCCCTTCGGGGTCTTACCAGCAGCTGGACGCTCCCTGGGACACGATCAACGTTCACGTCCACGAAGGCTCTATCATCCCCATGCAAGAGTTCGCGCTCACAACAAGGCTGGCTCGCAAGACTCCCTTCACTCTGGTGGTAGCCTTCTCTTCCACGGACAGCGAGAATTCGACGGCGTCGGGAGAGCTTTTCCTGGACGACGACGACGCGCTGGAGATGAAAGTGGCAGAAGGAAAGTCGAGCTTCATTAAATTCGCGGCTTCCTCGAGTGGATCAAGTGGCGGGAAAGTGTTAGTGAAAGCGTCCGTGGCTCACGGAGACTTTGTGAAACGCCAAAGCCTCGAGCTCCACAAGGTGGTGGTTCTAGGTGGAAGAAAGAATACGAGCCAACGACCACGAAAGGTGCTCGTCAATGGGAAGAATCCATCCGAGAGCGTCACAGCAAAAGTGTTTCAAACTGGAGTGGAGATTTCTGGACTTTCTCTGCCGCTAGGCAGTGATTTCCAGCTCTCCCTCGAATTATGACAAAGGGACTTTTGGCAAAAGCTTTGCGACAACGATGTTGTACGAAGTTCTAGACTTTCAACCAAAAGAAAGATAGACAATGACTATGAGATCACGAACGATGTTGTACGGAGTTCTAGACTTTCAACCAAAAAGATGCCTCTGAGATCACGGATTCTATCACGTAGAAACTTTGTTGATAAATATATAAATTTCTTGATCTTCGAGAGGTTCAACAGCGGCCATGGTTCGTAGTTTGCTCCTGTTCTTGTGGCTCTTAATTCTCTCGCGATGCTCGCTCGCTGGCTATAAGATCAAGTCCATCACCCAAGACACGAATGGCAACATCGATGCTCGTCTAGACCTCCTCTCACCGACAAGCACATATGGTCCTGATATCAAAGAGCTCCAACTCACCGTAAGGTACGTCAGTCGTTCTCTTTCTTTCGCCATCTCCTCCACGAACTCAAACTCTCCATTGTCCATTGTCCAGCTACGAATCCCAAGACCGGCTGCGAGTTCACATCACCGACTCCTCGTCCCCGCGGTGGGAAGTTCCAGCCTCGCTCGTGCCAAGGCTACCACCCACGAAGAACGGCAGCGCTAGCGTTTCCAAGCTCCAGTTCTCGTACACCCGGGACCCCTTCACGTTTGCAATCCTCCGGAGATCATCCCAGGAGCTCCTCTTCAGCTCCACCCCGGGCCTCACTTTCAAGGACCAGTACCTGGAGATCTCCACCACGCTCCCGAGCAATGCGTCGCTCTACGGCCTCGGGGAGAGCACTCGTACCGCGGGCTTCCGGCTCGTCCCGGACTCCACGTACACGCTGTGGGCCTCGGACACCCCTTCGCAAGAGACCAACAAGAACCTGTACGCCTCCTGGCCCTTCTACCTGGATGCCCGCCTCTCGGGGGCCTCGCACGGAGTCTTCTTGCTCAACAGCAACGCCATGGACGTGGAGCTTGCGGAGGAGAGGCTCACGTACAAAGCCGTGGGTGGTGTCCTCGACTTTAGCTTCTTCGCGGGGCCGTCGCCATTGGAAGTCGTCCAGCAGCTCACTGATATGGTCGGGAAGCCCGCTCCAATGCCTTACTGGTCTCTAGGCAAGTCCTCCTTGGTCTCGGCTGGAAGTGTTCCTTCAAAGCTTTTCTTCCTTTGCAGGCTTCCACCAGTGTCGATACGGCTATAAGAATGTCGAGGAGCTCCAGGACGTGGTCGAGAAGTACAAGTCTGCGCGCATTCCTCTCGAGGTGATGTGGTCGGACATAGATTACATGGACGCCTTCAAGGACTTCACGCTGGATCCCATCAACTATCCCCAGTCGAAGATGGACGATTTTGTCAAGCAGCTCCATGCCAACGACCAGAAGTACGTGATCATCATAGACCCCGGTGAGCTCTCCCTTCCCTGGTCTTCTTTCTTGCATCCGCCAGCTTACAGCAGTGCCTTGCCAGGGATCAAAGTCGAGAGGAACTATTCGTCATACGAGCGTGCAAAAGCTCTCGAGATCTTTGTCAAAGACTTGCACGGCGAGCCATATCTCGCTCAAGTGTGGCCGGGCCCTGTCCACTTCCCAGACTTCCTCCACCCGAAAACAGCCTCTTACTGGACAAGCGAGATTTCCAACTTTCACAAAATCCTCCCCTTCGACGGCCTCTGGATCGACATGAACGAAGCCTCCAACTTTTGCACGGGCGTGAGCTGCTTGCTTCCTCCGAACGTGACAAAGCCTTGCCTCACAACATGCTGCTTGATCTGTACCGAGAACTCCATATCCAAGTGGGACAATCCACCTTTTGCGGTAAATAACAACGCTGTCCGCAATAGAATCGGCTCCAAAACCATGGCTGCCAGTGCCGCCCACCACGGAGGAGTTCTCGAGTATGATGCTCACAACTTGTACGGGCTCTCGGAAGCGATAGCCACCAGCAGCGCTCTCAAGTCTGTCTTGAAAACCCGGCCCTTCATGCTCTCGAGGTCGACGTTCGTTGGCTCTGGCCGCGTCACCGCGCACTGGAGCGGTGACAATGGAGCAACCTGGGACGATCTACGATACTCCATTGTCAGCGTTCTCAACTCTGGCCTGGTTGGAATACCAATGGTTGGCGCGGACATCTGTGGATTCCTGGGTAACACCACTGAGGAGCTTTGCAACCGCTGGATCCAAGCCGGAGCCTTCTATCCCTTCTCCCGGAACCACAACGGATTCAATGCAGTGTCACAGGAGCTCTATCTCTGGAAGTCCGTCACCCAGTCCGCAAGAACAGTTCTGTCGCTGAGATACCGGCTCCTTCCTCATCTCTACACGCTCTTTTACGAGGCCTGCTTGAAAGGATCACCAGTTGCCAGGCCTGTCTTCTTCGCATTTCCCAAGGATCCGGCAGCTCTTGGTGTTGAAACTCAGTTCATGCTCGGGAGTTCCATTCTTGTCTCCCCTGTTCTCGTGGAAGGCGCGAGGGAGCTCCAAGCTTACTTTCCCAAAGGAAACTGGTATAGCTTGTTCAATTACTCGCAAGTTATTCTGTCGCCGGGATCAACTTTCATACTTCCGGCCACGCTGGATTCGACGAACGTCCACGTTCGAGGAGGCTCGATACTCGCCATGCAGGATGCTGCCATGACTACTGCTGCTGCGAGAAAGACAGCCTTCACGCTGCTAGTCGCTTTTCCCGGCGAGGAAGAGGATGACAACCTAAATGCTTCGGGCAGTGTGTTCCTGGACAGTGGCGAGGACCTTGAGATGAAACTTGAGCAAGGGTCGGCTACTCTCGTTGAATTTGCTGCGAAGAAAGTTGGGAACCGGCTCTCCGTCAAGTCTCGAGTGAGTTACGGCGAGTTTGCTCTCCAGCAGAAGTGGATCATCAGCAAGGTTGTAGTGCTCGGGCTCGGCAGTTTTGCGTTGGACAAACAGCAGCAGGAACTCGTAAAAGGAAAGATTCTGTTGCCTCAATCAGCGGACCATGTCGAAGAAGTTAATGAGCTCAACTTGCCTCTGGGAAAACCTTTTCATATCTCGCTAAAGATGGCGTCATATCAGTAACTAGTCCTCACTGTTTACAAAGATGTTACGAACAAGCCTTCAAGAACAGACCTGGTGAGCACTCAAAGGCCCAACAAACGGAAGAGACTCAATAACGGCATCAGCTAAGTCAGCAATAAACGTTGGTTCGCATCCGAGTGCAGGTACACGCCGCCAATTCGTAATACCGGATTCTTCAGCTAGCTCCCTATACTCCATGTCGATCTCCTCAAGCGTTTCTATGTGCTCGCTGACAAAACTAGAGGACCAGAAAGCCGTGTAATAGAATGAAAAGCTGAAAGCATTTACCTGATTGGCACAACTAAAAGACTTTTTATGCCTCTTTCTCCCAGATCTCTGATGGTCTGATCTGTGTATGGTCTTAGCCATTCTACAGGTCCAACTCGGCTCTGGGAACAAATCAACACCATTTGAGGCAGGAAGTAGCGAAGAAGTAGCTCCTAACCTGATATGCAAGCGTGTGCTCGCAAATGACACCTTCCTGTCGTAAATCTTTCATAATGAAGTCAACGCATTCCTCCATTTCGTCCTTGTAGGGATCTCCCGCTTTCTCCACGTAAGAGACTGGCACACCGTGTGCACTAAAGAAGATATGTGCCTGCATCTAACGGTGTTATTCTCTTCGTTACCTCGGCCTCGTTACCTCTTCAGGCTTCTCGAACTTCAAAAGTTCATTCTTGATTAGGTTTGACATGGACTTCACGTATCCCTTACGATGATACCACGAAGGGATCACAGTGTGCTTCATGTTTAAAAGGTATTCGTCTCGCCTGTAATACAGTGGAAACAGTCTCATATAAACGAAAAGTATTGCCTACAAAGCACATACCTGAAAATGCTTTCTAGCAAGCGAAGGCTAGAACCACTGGTGGAGATTGAGAATTGTGGATATAAAGGTAAAATTACAAGTCTGTTGATCCCATCGGCTTTGACCTGATATTCCTCCAGCGAAATCAGTTTCTAGATTACTGAATATGTAGAGATAAAAGATGTACCTTATCTATAGCTTCTTCTGTGAAAGGATACCAGTACCGCATTCCAACGTAGATTTTAGCTGGCAATCCCTTCCGTTCCAATTCTTTTGCAAGAGCAGCAGCCTGTGTGACAAAAATGGGGGCGTTAAAAAGACACCAAACAAAACGAAGGACAAAAAAGTTAAACCTGCTCGTCCGTGATTTTTCTCAAGGGCGAGCCTCCACCAATAGCAGCATAACCTTCACTGCTTTTAGGCGCCCTCAGTGTTGAGATAAGTCGAGCAAGAGGCTTTTGCAGGAAACGGAAAAGTCGAGGCAGTCGAATAATGTCCTGATTAGGAAATCGTCTTTAAACGTATCACGTCGAATGGAAACACTTACCGGATCAGCAAAGAGGTTGTAAAGAAACGGCTGAACATCCTCGAGCTTATCTGGACCACCAAGATTTAGCAGCAACACGCCTAGCTTGTCTCCTGGTTCGTTGTAAACACTTGCTTGCTCCGAAGTAAGCACTCCGGGACTACTGGTACTCGAGCAACAAACTTCTATCGATCGCCGAGAAAGGGCGAACGCCTGCTTTGCCCCGCTTGACAGCCCACACCTCCGCTGAAAATGATAGTTCGATCCAAGTCGAATGTGCTTTGGCGACGTATCAAAGAGTGGCTCGCAGCTCAGGTTATGTGATGGCGAGGGAATAGACCTGAAAGTCTTGAGTCTTGAGAAGAAAAAGATAGAAATGACTAGCTTACCTGTGAGCCAGCATCGTGACGAGCTCGAAATTTCAAATCGAATGACGATCCCTGAAGCTCTGGCGAAAATCTAGACGCTACCTGCGAAAGAAGAGCGATTGTCAGCTCGATCGGGCCGCTAGAACACTGAAGAACACAGAAATAAGCACGAATTCGCTTCTACCTGGAGAGTGCTCGATCGGATCGGGAATACAGCGATCTTGAAGGCGATCGATCGATATTTCGCGAAGCCAGCCCTGAAATGCGGCTCTTTGAGCGGCACCGCCTTCGACCAAACTCTTCCCCACTAGTCAACACGCGGACTCTTCTCTAAACCCTACTCTAATGGTACCTTTTCTTGCAAGGCAAGTAGAATGCTAAGTACTTTAGGGCTCGTGAGGAGGAAGAGACGAGCAATGGCATTCTTCCTGTAGCTAGGGCAGAGGGCAAGGTTGATCGATCGAGCGAGGATGCTGGGGATTTTCAGGACCTCCTTTTCATTCACGGCGGGCACACTGGTGGGGATTTACATTGCCCAGAACTACGATGTCCCAAACATCGAGAAGCTGTTTAGAAGCACAATGGATCGAGCCAAGGAGTATGAGGAAGCGTACCGACGGCGCGGCAGTGGCAAGGAGTGATTGATCGATCCTAAAGAGTGGTAGAGATGGTTTCTACAAATTTAAAGAATTCTCATGAAGTTTTGGATGGAGTTTTCTCCTTCCTAGTTCTTTCTTTTGGGGTTGCTCTTGGGCTTATTCCGTGAATTCGATGCAGGGCTGTTGTAGTCATTGACAAACGCAGCTAGTAACTTTCGAGCTCCTGGTGGTTTGATGAAATCGAATGATAGCTCTCCAGTAGCTCCATCGACAATCCCAGAAGCATAAACTTGATCGTCACTCGTGACGCCTGGAAAGAAGCAGCAGGAAGAATGTAAGTATCAAGTATCTCTTTCTCGATCGATTCACTTACCTTGAGTGATCACAAATGCGATCGCCTGAAAGAGGATGATCACTGCGATTGCCCTCGCATTCATCTTGGTTCTCACTCATCCCACGGCCCTCTCCTCGAATTTAAAGAACTTCCTTGTCTCGCAAAGTCAACCTCGCAAATTCATGCCATGATCAATCCTAGAATCGAGCACTCGGTGGATTCTCGCAATAGCTGGTAACCGTGTGTCATTGACTTCCCAAGATATTCACACTCGTGGGTCAAAGCCCGGGGATGAAAACCTCGTCCGTAACAGTTAAAAAACGATTTTCTACCACTGATCCAATGGTGGCGATGACGAATGGCCTATGTCACGACCTCCGCCCAAAAATACTGGAAGATAAGATGAAGACAAAGGCGTTGTTTCTTCCCCGGATTATAAGCACACGTGTCAGTAGCAGCTGGGTGCCACGCACGCACGCATGTGACACGAGGGCTGCCGTACGTGCGATTCGTGGCTTTTAGGGTTTAAGGGCGTCGCCAATTCGCCAGCGGTGGAAGAGCGCCAGGACAGTGGAGTAGTGGGATTTGGATCGATCGCTGGATCCATTTTGGATCGATTGGGCGCCAGGAGGGCAAAATCTCGCTCACAGGTTTGTGTTTCGATTCATCCAGCCGCGAGGAGGTGGAAAGAATTGGCAAGAGCGAGAGGAAGAAGAAGCAAAACAAAAAAAAAAAAAAAATTATCAGGCGCATCGACGGTTTTGATCGCCCTTGCATTTAGCTAGAGGCGGTTTCTTCCTCTCTCGCGGTGGTTTCCAAGAATCAAGATAGGTTTGGGGGAAGTTCTAGCTAGCGCTAGCGAGGATTTTGGGGAGCTGGAGCTGTGATCGATCGATAATCTACCGACAGGCGCTCTGGATCGCCAGATGATGGCTAGGGTTGGGAGAGCCGATGCGCTCGCCGCCCAGCGCGAGGGGATCTCCAGCCTGAGCAGCGTGATCAGGGATCACCGGATGGCAATGGGAAGCACCAGCCGGCGGGACAGGCTCCTGGGCGTGAATTCCTCGCTGGATTTCAATGGGAGCTCGAGCGAAGCTAGCGAATTCAAGGAAGAGGATGTCTGGGGGATTGTTCCAGCGGCGGTGGAGCGCAGCAAATCCTCGCTGAGCTTGGAGGACGTGGTGTCGGATCACCATTCCACCTCCAGCTTGGTGGGATCGTCGGGCAAGCGCGGCCTTGCGCTGGATTACTCCTCTGGAGCTCTCGGCCTCTCCTCGATCGCTCGCAGCAGCTCCACTGCTTCTTCCGGCGGTGGAGGCGGGCGAGTGACATCGGCGTCGAGGATGATCCCGCAGAGGGTGGCGGGCTCCGGTGTTGGTGGCGGCGGCGGCGGAAAGGCGGCGATCCAGCACCAATCCGCGCCAGTGAACGTCCTGGACTGGTCGAGGATCCTCGGCAGCAAGAACAAGGATCGCTCCTCCGGCAATTTTGGAGAGGATGGAACCGCTGGTGGCGTGGTCGACGATCTAGAGGATGATGAAGACGAGAATTTCTCGGTGGAGAAGCTCCCTCCTCACGAGCTCGTCGCGAGGAGCCAGACCACCACCTTCTCGGTATTCGAGGGCGCCGGGAGGACGCTCAAAGGCCGGGATTTGAGCCGCGTGAGGAATGCCGTGCTCAAGCAAACGGGCTTCCTCTAGACCTCTTCCTCCATCGCCCAAGAACACAAGAAAAAAAAAAAAAAAAAACCCGAAAACAAGAGAAGAAAACAAACAAAAAGAATTGGAGCTGTCTAGAGCTCATCGATAATTCATCGTTTTTTGAGAGATCAATCTCATCAATGATTTCAATCACACAAGATTTACATTCTATCCTTATTTGCCATGTCAGAAGAGATTGGAACCAATTCCTTTTGGATTTCTGGCTGGCACTGGCGAAAGCAAGATCCTCCACGGAACCTCGACGAATATTCTGATTCTCGAATATGCTTGGACAGGAATATGCCCGACACGGGAAATGCGCGTGAATATACAGGTAGCATGTTGGTGGCATATGCCGTCGGAATATTTTTGGCCGGGCTGCGTTTCCCGCCCACGATAATAGCGCGTTGTACTTTTTGGAAGAAGGTAGCGGCGTTACCTAGTTGACGGAGACCACTGTGCTGTGAGTGTAAAAGATTTTCTTCGTCTCCACAGAAGCTTCTCTCTTCTCTGCGCTTTGGCCGCCGTCGTTGACGCCCGGGCTGGGGTTTTTGGTCGCGACGCCGCGGCTTGATCCCCTTAAAGTGCGATCTCTGTGCGCTCTGGGGCGGCAAGATCCCCTTCTTGTGGATCCATCGATCGATAAATTTCCAGCGCTTGCCTTGGATCGCATTGCATTGTGCTTCTTGTGCTTGATTTTGATTCGGCAATGGAGTCCCAGCTTAGAGAGCTCCGGGAATTAGAGCCCGAGGTGAAGAATGCGTCCCTTGGGATTCCACTGCGAGGAAGCTCTCGCGATGTCTATGGGGAGGATAGCGCTACCGAGGATCAGCTTGTTACTCCGTGGGTTCGAGCTGTGGCCAGGTAAGACTTTCGTAGTAGAACTTAAAAATCTCTTTGGCTAATTGATCTGTGTGAACAGCGGCTGTGAGCTCCTCCGAGATCCGCGCTACAACAAAGGCCTTGGATTTACCGAAAGGGAGAGAGACATACATTATCTTCGAGGACTTCTTCCTCCGGCCTATTTCTCCCAGGATCTTCTCGAAGCTCGCGAGCTCGACAACATTCGTGGCTATGAGGATCCTTTGCAAAAATACGTTGCCATGATGGAACTCTCGGTACGTACAAGCTTTTTCCTGCTTTGCTTTTTTTTTAAACGAAAGTTGGATCTTATCACAGGAAAGGAACGAGCGATTGTTCTATAAGCTTCTCATTGATCACGTCGAAGAGCTTCTCCCCATCGTCTACACGCCGACTGTGGGCGAGGCGTGCCAAAAGTATGGATTGATTTTCCGTCGTCCACATGGCCTCTACATCAGCCTGAAAGAAAAGTATGTCTAAGATCTTAGTTTTTATGTTTTCTATGTGTTGAGACTTGGATCTTATATGTTTTTCTTTTCAGGGGTAGAGTTTTGGACGCATTGAGGAACTGGCCAGAGAAAAACGTCCAGGTTATTGTCGTTACCGATGGTGAGCGTATCCTTGGTCTCGGTGATCTTGGACTACAGGTAAAATACTACCACAGTTTAGCGCTTCTCTAACAAGAACTTTGTTACAGGGCATGGGTATTCCTGTCGGAAAACTTTCTTTGTACACAGCTCTCGGAGGAATTCGTCCTTCTCTGGTAAACACTGATCGATTTTAACATGTATCATGACTGACTTGTCGTGATTATCAATCCAGTGTTTGCCTATCACGATTGACGTTGGTACCAACAACAAAAAACTACTTGATGATCCCTACTACATCGGCTTGAAGCAAAAGCGTGTAACTGGAGAGGTAAAATTGTCTTGCTCCATTTTCTTGTCTTGTATGTATTTCTCACTTTGTGGTGTTGCTCAGGAATATGACTCCCTCATTCACGAGTTCATGGTTGCTGTCAAGCAAGAATACGGAGAGAAGGTTTTGGTTCAGGTTAGTAACGTGCTTTTAGACATGGTTCTATTATCTGGATTTATTTGGAAAGTTCTAATGCTTTGAACTTTCAGTTCGAGGACTTTGCGAATCACAATGCATTCAAGCTTCTTGCTAAGTACGGGAGATCTCATCTCGTTTTTAATGATGACATTCAGGTAGATTTGTGTGCAACGCTTGTGGTTTTTGCTAAGTTTTTTTTTTTTTTGGTAACTAGGGAACCGCGGCTGTGGCTCTCGCTGGCTTGTTGGCTAGTCTCCCTCTAACAGGTGGAACTTTGGCTGACCATAAGTTCCTCTTCCTTGGTGCCGGCGAGGTGAGTTTTACCTACTGATTGTACTCTACTTTTCTTTTTATTCTTCTAAATTTTGTTTGTTTTACATCAGGCTGGCACTGGTATTGCGGAGATTATCGCCATGGAAATTTCACGACAGGTATCATGTCTTTTGGAGCTAGTTTGAAATGGCGAGGTGAATCATAAATGTCTTTGTAGGGAGGAATTTCATTGGAAGAAGCACGAACGAAGATTTCGCTTGTCGACTCAAAGGTCAGTCCGCTAGTTGACTTCTTTGTGCTGACAATTAAGCTTTTTATACAGGGGCTCATCGTCAAGTCGCGATTGGAATCTCTGCAGCATTTCAAGAGAGACTGGGCCCATGAACACGAACCTTGCAAGGACTTGCTGACTTCTGTGAAGGTGGAATCAATTCTAAGCTTTTACTTGGATTTTGTATTGACTCCTAGGCTGGTTTACAGGCATTGAAACCCACAGTTTTGATCGGAACGTCAGGGCAAGGACAAACATTCACCAAGGAAGTCATCGAGGCTCTTGCTTCCTTTAACAAGGTAGGAATTAGTAAGTTTTCCAAACGAGCTTGAGTTTATTCTTTCACCTCTCTGTTTAGAAACCAATTATCATGGCGTTGTCGAATCCTACGTCTCAGTCCGAGTGCACAGCGGAGCAAGCTTATACCTGGACCAAGGTAACAGTTCATCGATCGACCACTTGAGTTTCAAGCTTTGTTTTTTTTTGCTTGTTCAGGGTAACTGCGTGTTTGCGAGTGGAAGTCCGTTCTTGCCAATCACAATTGACGGCAAAACTTACTACACTGGTCAGGTACGAAATTTCCATGGTTAAAAGCAAATCGTTTCTAACTGGTCTTCTTTCCTTCTGAAGTCCAACAATGCATACATCTTCCCAGGAATTGGACTGGGCTGCACCATGTCGGGAGCCATCCGAGTCCATGACGATATGTTCTTGAAAGCTGGTAAGCAAAATTAGCTATCGAATTCTCCCCGACGTTGTCTTAACTCTCGACGTCCCTGCAGCTGAGGCACTGGCAGCACTCGTCACCAAAGAACACTTGAACCTGGGGCTGGTCTTCCCTCCCTTCCAAAACATCCGGAAGATCTCAGCACACATCGCCGCTGCTGTGGCCGAGACAGCATACGAAAAAGGTAGAGAAAACACGATCATATTTTTTCTCCATAACTCAAGCTTTGGTGTTGCAGGCGTTGCTACGAGACTTCCCAAACCAGCGGATTTGCTCGCGTACGCGGAGAGCTGTCAATACAGCCCCAGCTTCCGCCAATACCGTTGATAAACCATGAAACGTATCACACTTTCCCTGCACTTATATAGAACGGGGAAATTTTATCATGTGATTTTCTTATGAACCATAGTAAATCCTGAGGTGTGATTTTTATCTGGAGGAAGCTCAAGCGTATAGTAGTAAATGTTACAGTACACATCCGATGAGCGTGTGTGTTGTACTTTTGTTTTTCTTACCACAACGGTAACTAAGTAACGGGTGAAATGGAGCTAGATCTCCAATGATCTAGTTTTACATTCTTTTCTCACACACCACACCACACTTGAGTGTCGGGTTCAATTCCTTTGCACGCAACATAGAGACGTTGACACTAAATTGCACACAGACACCACTTCCGTGCGCTCTTTTCTTTCTGTGATGCAGTGTTTCGTACTTTGTGACTTGACCTCTGGGCGATAAGCTAAGCTCCATCGATTAAACGCCAAAAAAAGAGAGAGAGAGAGCTCTGTTTCTGGCTGTTACATTCTTTCTTTCGAGGTTCTTCGTTGGGATTCATCATAGCTTCGACTTCTTCTTCTTCTTCTTCTCCTGCTAGATCTGTGCTTTGCTCTTTCATCTTCTTACGCTTTCCACAAGAGTGGACGAAAGGGTGATTGCGATCACTGCCGGCCGCTACATCTTTTCCTCCTTTTTCTTCTTTGCCGCTTGCAATCACTCCTCGCTCGCGCGCCTAGAGACGCAGCTCATCGAGCACGGCAACATGAGTGCTCCACCCGCAGTGGACTCCAACCGGACGAGATGAAACCAAGAGTTACCTCGCATCGGCAGCAAGAAAATCACCGCGCGGAGATCCAGGGGCGATCAGTATAAGTAAGCTTTGCTGTGATCTTGTCCATCTCTGTGCCTGCGTGTGCGTTCCTTGTCTTGCAGCGGCTTCCCATAACCGGGCTTGAGATCCATCGCGAGAGGGGAAAGCTGGCTGCCGCTCGGAGGAAGAAGGCGGCACCGCAGTCGAGGAGCAAAGCCTCTGTTTCTTTAATCTTCTGTGAAGGTACATTTTTGTTTCTGCATTGGATTCCTTTGCCTGTCTGCCTGTGAGAGCTGCAATACGTGCTTTCAAAGAGACCTCAAGGCTGGACAGCAGTCTCTCTTCCAGAGTGAAGCGAAGATATGATACTCTGCTTTGTTGGTTCTTGTTGTTTCTCTCTATGCCTCTTCCTAGGCTCGATGCCGAGGGACGTACCAAGGTGAGAAGCGCGAGAGAACCAAGCGTGTGCTGCTAGAAGCTGTGCAATCGCCGGGAGGTTCGTGTCTCTTTTAAGTGATCTCCGAAACGTCTTTCGAGGATGACTACCTGCAGAGAAGAAATGGCAGTAGCAGCCCACCTTCTAGATTCACCGGGGAGGAAATCCAGGCAACCAGGTGCAGCACAGACAAAGATTCTAGTAGCGTTTCTTCACATGACTTCCATTCTGGTCCAGCAAACATCGGCTCTCCTGTGGCTGGACTCGTTGGAAGTTCGGGCTCTAAACGACATCCGGAGCAGCCTCCGCGACCTCCCTGGCTCGAACTTCCTGGCGAGCTGGGATTTCTCGCACGACCCCTGCAGCAGCTTCAAGGGGGTGGTGTGCTGGTCGATCGGAGGCGTCAACCACGTAACCATGCTCAGCCTTGGCAGCGGGATCGCAGGGACTCCGGGACTAGCAGGAACTCTGAGCCCATCGCTGGGGAAGCTCACGTACCTCCGGAGCTTGGCGCTCGTCCCGGGACAAGTCCACGGTTGCATCCCAGACAGCATCGCCGGCCTCAAGGACCTCCAGTTCATCGGCCTCGCCAACAATCGCCTCTCGGGCTCGCTCCCATCGTCCTTCTCCGAGCTGTGCAGCGTCCAAGGCTTGGACGTGAGCTACAACGCTTTGACGGGGAGTCTACCGGAGGGGGTGGCGAAGCTCCCGAATCTCAACACGCTGACGCTCTCGCACAACTCCATGTCGGGTGCGCTGCCGCTCTTCTCGGCCCCGCTAATCCACCTCGACCTCCAGAGGAACGGCTTCACGGGGCCGATCCCCTCGCTGCCAGGAACTCTGGAGTATCTATCGCTTGCTAAGAACTGCCTCACGGGGACGATCCAGGGGATGGCTACCCTGCAGCGCCTGGCGTTCCTCGACCTGAGCTTCAACCAGTTCACCGGAGGCATCCCACCAGAGATCTTCGGCTTCCGGATCAGCAACCTCCTCCTCCAGCGCAACCAGCTCTCGGGGCCGGTCCAGGTTCTAACATCGCCCTCCAGGCATGCAACCACGTCCTTCACAGGCATCCCAGCGATGGTAGATCTCAGCTACAATTGCCTCACGGGGCAGGCTCCCGCGGGGCTGGCATTCGCGCAGAAGCTCTTCCTCAACAACAATCGCTTCTCCGGGGCGGTGCCGCAGGAGTTTGTGGACGCCATGGTGTTCGGGGACCTCCAGGTCTTGTACCTCCAGCACAACTACATCGCCAACATCAACCTGGCGTCCACCATCCCGCTGCCAACTACATGCACATTTTGCATCCAGTACAATTGCCTCAGCCCGCCGCAGCAGTCGTCGTGTCCATTCAACGTCGGGAGACAAGCGTCCAGGCCGATGACCCAGTGCTCCACCTTCCACTGAGACCATGTAATTGCCATATAGAAAAAAAGGCTTTACGAAAGTGGTGGCAATAAATTGTAACTCTTAGATTGAACCGTGGAATTAGAACTCAAAGCAACTACAAAGTAGTAAACTCAATTAAGTTTGTATGTAAGCTGAGTTTGTATTCAACTGGAGCCACTCCTTGAAAAAATTGTGCTCCAAACAAGCAACATTACATTAGATCTCAAAATGTCCATGCAACTCCTCATACCATTTTTTCTGCTAGCTTATCCAACTCCTAGATAACCACACACTTTGAAGAATGCATCACTAAAGCCAAGGATGGATCAATCCATATATCTAAATAGTTAACATATATCAGACAGACACGATGTATGTCTTATGGAAGAAGAAGAATTTGAAGCACATTGCAGCAACAATAGATATTACAAACTTTTGCTTTACACCAGTGAATAGCCAAGATTGAAAGCCTGTAGGAGCACCAAGTATATGATGATAGTGTGTTTCAAATGTAGATATTGAATTCAAAGCTAACTCTAAAAACTTGTTCAAAACCACTATTCTTTCTTCCTTTGTTATCACTTGATCTTTTCCTATAAGGCCATAAGATAAGAAGCCATATGATCTTTCTATCTAGCTCACCATTTCAAAACTAGCAAATTCCATATACTAGTCCCCAAGAGGCTGTCTATTGGGATGTTGTAGAGGACACTTATGGCTTAGCCAAGTGTTTCAAAAGAGGTAAAATATGGCATTTAGGATTGCTAAAATGCTCAAAACTTAAAACTTTTGTGGTTCTTATATTGATAAACTGTAAGACACAAATCCATAAGTCTCAAAATAGAGTTAATATGGGAGGAAGTATAACACATTTAAATTAAAATCTCTAGCTTAAAAAGTTTAAAATGGGAGTGAAATTTCTAAAGAAGTGCTCAAAGAATGAGTATGAATTGATTAATAGATGAATCTTTAGAAAAAGGATAATAAATAAGTCTTTAGATTAACACGTGGCAAGTATAGTGATATGAGATTAAAATTCTAGAACCCAAAAACTTGAAATAAAGCAATGTCAACATCTCAGTGTACCAGAAAACCAAGTGTTTAAAATGTCAAAGGCCAAACATATTCAAGGTTCAATATATTTGGATTTATAGTGGGGTGAAATACTAAAGCAATCATTTCTCAAACCCTAGGGGGTTTAGTAGAAAGAAAATTCAAAAGGAATTATACCCGGGAAGTAATATAAACATTAAAGAACATAACTAAATTGAAGATAGACAAGTGGAATGACTTAGAGAAATATTCAAAAGTTGACTCTAGCTATTGGGATATTAAATGGTCAATATTTTTAATTCAAATGTGGGTGGCATTATTTATTAGGATACTTTGTGTTTTATTGAAACTTTGCTCTAGCCATGTGGCTAAAACACTCTAATGGTGAAAAGTGGGGAAAGTACTCACAAAACTTGAATTATGCTGTAATGTTTCGAAATGCATCCCAAAATCTCTAAAATCCTAAAGATTAGTGGGTTTACTAAACAGGCTTCAAAACCCTAATTTAGTGTCAATGTTGGTAAACACTACTATGTATGAAGAATAAAGGACATTAAAGGGTGGTATTCCCCATGGACAAATGGTTTAGTCTTGAGGAGACAGGATTATAAATAGTTTTGGAATAGCATAAGAGGTTAGTATGTTAATGCTACCTTAGATACATAAAATACATAAAATACAAAGTTAGTGCGGTTTTGAAATCACCTAGGGTTACCTCAAATTGGGATGAAGACTTATTAAGGTTGATTGAGACTCTTCCAGGTGGTCAAAAGTATGATTAATTGACTTAAAGCTACTCAATGGCCAAGGATGAAATCCTGTTGATTATGAATATTAGCATTAAATCTTGATTACAAATGGATAGAGAATATTTTAATAGGAGAAAACCACACCTTATAAGATCCATATCATTTATATAAGGTGTGACCAAGTGGATAGGAATATATCCTAAAACTTGGTTAGGTATAGTAATATTTATAAAATGTAATTATTAAGGTAAAATATTTCATCATGTTACTAAAGAAAATAAGAATAACTTCTCAATGGGGAATGGCTTTGTGGCAAGGATAACATTTGAAGATTTGTCCAGTTGGGATATTTATCTATTATTTCACAATAGAAAGAGCACCAAGAGTATCCACTTTTTATTCAGTTTAGAGTTGTTAGTGTGACAAATAATACAACAATGCTAGGACAAGAGTTTGAGGCCACTGTAAGAATATTTATATTTTTTTAGAGCCTAGACTAACTGGAATTGTAGCTTAGCTCTAGAGTTAGAGAAACTAACTGGTTTCATTAAACTGCAGGTCAAAAAACACTAATAGGTAGTGTGGCTCACTTTTCTTGATCCCTTCCTCTCTTTAACTAACTTTTTCAGCTTGCCCCCTTTTCTCTGTTTTTCTTCTTTGGAGATATTACGACTAACCAGATTGCAGGCCACAATCTTGGTAGTAGATGCTACTGTAGATATCCATTCCCTACAACAAGAGAAATGTGTTACAAAGCAAGTAGTCTCCGCTAAAATTCCTAGAAATCAAGTCAAGCTTTCTCTATTGTTCTAAAAGGATTTCCTGTAATGCATTCTTTTGACACAATTAAACAGGATGTGATTAATGCTAATACATTTACTGAGCTATTGATAGATTAAATGCAACTCCAACTTCTAACTCAGTGGATATCTCACATTGTCTAGAAATGTACTTTCTTATTTCTTATTGTATAAGAAAGAAAACTAAGTGGAGACTGGTTTTGTTCGTGGAGAAAATATGGAGCTTGGTCGTGATTCTGACATATGGGGCCAGGTGAAACAAAAACTTTGTTTATTCTTCTCTAGTTTTGACTTGTGAATCGTATAGGTGAAATATATCTTCAAGTTCATGAGAGCTCTGGCTTTGATGCTGGAAGTCTACCATGTTGATTTGCTCTCCACTTCCAACATTTGAGTTAAAGGTTGAGCTCATCAGCTTGAATGTTACTATTATTCAAACCAGCTTGGACAGTGATGAGAACCAGTTGAGACAACCGTTTTAGTTGGAATTTTACTTGCATTTGTTTCTCATTAAAAGCAAAGGCAAGCACAAAGATTTCGAAGTAGAATGAGAAAGTTTTAAAAGGACTAGCTTATGGCTAGGAGAATAAATCTCTACAATGTTGCGTCGGATGTCTGCAATTGCAAGTAACTTCTTGGCAAAGTCCTCTGTTTCTTTAATCTTCTGCGAAGCATTCTTGTTTCTGCATTGGATTCCTTTGCATGTCTATCTGTGAGAACTCTAATGCGTGCATTCAAAGAGACCTCAAGGCTGGATAGCTCTCTCTTCCAGAGTGAAGTGAAGATATGCTACTCTGCTTTGTTGGTTCTTGTTGTTTGCCTCTTCCTAGTCTTAATGCCAAGGGATGTACCAAGGTGAGAAGCGCAAGAGAACCAAGCGTGTGCTGCTAGAAGCTATGCAATCACCAGGAGGTTCGTATCTCTTTAATCGATCTCTGAAGAGGACAAATACCTGCAGAGAAGAAATGGCAGTAGCAGCACATCTTCTGGATCCACCGGGGAGGAAATCCAGGCAACCAGGTGCAGCACAGCAAAGTTTCTAGTAGCGTTTCTTCACATGACTTCCATTCTGGTCCAGCAAACATCGGCTCTCCTGTGGCTGGACTCGTTGGAAGTTTCGGCTCTAAGCGACATCCGGAGCAGCCTCCACGATCTCCCCGGCTCGAACTTCCTGGCGAGCTGGGATTTCTCGCACGACCCCCTGCAGCAGCTTAAACGGGGTGGTGTGAGGCGTCAACCACGTAACCATGCTCAGCCTTGGCAGCGGGATCCCGGACTAGCAGGAACTCTGAGCCCATCGCTGGGGAAGCTCACGTATGAGGAGCTTGGCTCTCGTCTCGGGCCAGTTTTGCATCCCAGACAGCATCGCCGGCCTCAAGGACCTCCAGTTCATCGGCCTCACCAGTAATTGTCTCTCTGACTCGCTGGCATGGTCCTTCTCCGAGTTGTGCAGCATCCAAAGCATGGACTTGAGCTTTGACAGGGAGTCCACCGGAGGTGAAGCTCCCGAATCTCAACACGCTGACGCTCTCGCACAACTCCATGTCAGGTGCGCTGCCACTCTTCTCGGCCCTGCTCATCCACCTCGACCATCTAACGCTGGCCACAGGGACGATGCAGGCGTTTCTCGACCTGAGCTTCAACTAATTATTAAAGTTTGCGTTACTTATAGAAAATAAGAATACTAATCAGAGATAGGGTTTCACGGTTATCTACGCTCTGGGCGCACAGGAAGAGATCGAGGGAAGAAATCTCTAGAAATAATAGTGGTTGTGGAGAGATCCATGCTCAAGCTTTAATCAACATGGGTGCTGGAATGGGGCTGTTCAACAGTCCAAAGCAGAAGTTCGTAACTTGAGGCCGGTAGCATCCATTGCAGCCACAACGTTCTTCAAGTTGTTTTTGCATAACACATACATCCTGTCTAGCTGCTATTTTGATCTGCACATTGATCCATCCTTGCAGTTTTGTTATTTTGAGGTGGAAAGAAAGGATGATGCACTTCTAGGCGTGTATTTAAATTTGAAGCTCCTCTCCAATCTTGCAAATTTTTGCCATGATTTTGTCCTCGGCCATGAGTAGCTTTAGGTGTGTTTTGTCAATGCAGGGAGTGCAAAAGCTTTAGGTGTTGAGCATCTCAGCAATCTTGGATGCCATCTACTGCCTTTTTGGAAAAAAATGTCCAGCGCTGGAAAATTCTCCCACTAAAAAAGTGAGATTTTTCTGACAAAGTGTATATTAGATACTTAAATTATTTGATGCTCCTATGACCGGAGAAGGAGACCAAATGCCATTGTTCATATTTGCAAATTATCTCTGGTTAGAACATTTTAACTTTGTGGTGGTTAAAACCATTTTACCCGGACAAAACTATCCCAATCTTCCAAGTCCAAAGATAACTGGGAGAGTCTTACACCCGTGTCTCACGTGCCAAGATCGAGAAGAAAAGGTCGCATCGCCTATAAAAGATATATCCAGCGGTCTTACCGGAAGGAAGTCGTGTTTCTGAGCTAGTTGACGACGAGGGCCTCTCGCCAGTCCCGGTCTTGGCCTTTGCTCCTCGCAAAGTCCTCACGGTAGGAATTAACTCCCGATTGGTCCTTCCAGATGCCTCTGAGTTTCTCGTTTGCAGCGTTGGAAGGTCTCTTCTTGTCGAGAGGGAGATCAAAAAACTCGCGCGCCAGGTCGATGCTTTGGACGCTGGACGCTGGAACTCCATGGTTTGTAGCCTGAAAATGTGTAAAAATCCTGTCGATAGAATGTAAGTACTATCGGTCACCGCCTTGATTGTCTCACAGCGTTCGCCACTAAAATCAATCACTGGAATTGCCGGGTCAAGTTTGGCTTGCGACGCTGCCATAACTCGAGTAATTCACGCCTGCGACGTTGTAGATGTTTGAGAGGAGAAACAATGTCTTATATAGAAGTCTGTCCACAACTCAAAACGCCCAGAAAACTGAAGCCTCAAACAATGCCATGCAGAGCAAACAAAGTCTTTAGTCTTCCTACGCAAACTTCCAACTTCTTAAAAGACAGATTATTATATGTTCATGGCATTGTTCTTCTCAAACTTTAGCACGGTCGAGCTTAACATAGTCCAAGCTCCTTTTGCCATCAAGCCCGTTGGCGTAGAACTGGGTCAAATAGTCTTTGGTGGCGCATTCCCTGTAGAGAGGAGGATTTTCTTCGCTTACCATCTCTGGCAGGGGGCCGACCACTGTGTCCATTCCAGGCCCAAAAAACGCAACCACGGACAATCTCGACTTCTCAGGGTGTGCTCGAACTCGGTGCTCGGCGCTCTTGTATTTTGCATTCGTCATTATCTGGAAACTTAGATCCTCAGCAATGGTATTGGGAAAAAAAGAAGGAAATTTACCTGTAACTGATCAGCAATGTTGACGACGAAGGCATATTTCACTGGCTTTACCGCAAACCATCGACCATCTTTGCAAACTTCCAGTCCCCCAACATCGTCTTGGATGAGGATGCTGATAGCACGGGGGTCCGAGTGAGCCGACACGCCCTTGACGAGCTCCGGTGTGTGGTATGGAAGGTAGTAGTTCATGATGCATATGATCTTCTCGCCCATTACCTTAAGATCGTAACTATTCTCCAAGCCAAGGCCCTTGGAAATATTATCGAGCAAGCAGTGTCCAAAGGCTGAGACCTGGTCATGGTACTCTTTCATCACTTCCCTGTTGCATCAATTTTGATTCAAGGACTTTTACGCAAGAAAAAACTTTACCTGAAGTAACTCGGTGACTCTGGCCAAATGTCCTCCTGTTGAGCAAGACTATAGTCCAGCCTGAGGAAATACTTTAAGTCGATTGGTTTCGCGTCTTTCCTGTTGTTAAATCCAGAGCCATATCTATTGAAATGCCATGAGATTCTTGTTAGTTTTTATCTTTTATCTTTCTCTACCTGTATGCTTCAGATGGATCGTCACTGAGTTTATTCCCCAATGAATTATAGGCTTCATTCTCCTCTGATGTCTGATTGAAAATTTCTTTGGCTAGTTTGAGGACATTTTTCATACTAGCAATTGGAACACCATGATTTATTGCCTAGACAAGAGGGACAATTGCAAGAGATAAAATGAAGAATCTTTTCCCTACCTGGAAAAAACCCCATTCTTGGCAAGCCCAAGCTATAGCATCTACTATATACTTGGGATCACCAGAGAAATCAATTATTGGAACTTGAGAATCATCAAGAACTTCTGCCTCTTGAAACCTATCTTTCAGATCTTGGAGATAATTCTCTTCTGGTGCAACTCTAGCCATATCCAAAGTGAAATAATCTGTGTGCAAGTGTGGATAACGGCTATGGGAGTGTCAGCAAGGAAGATAGGCAATAATTGTTACAATATTAGGGATTAAGTTATTTCAGTTTATGTATAAGATAAAAGTATGCAATTATGAAATTGAGTTCAGTTATAATCATATATTAAATATGATAAAAAATGAATCTAATTCATACGAGTGCTTGGAATATAGAAAGGGAATATAGAAATGTGCATATCAATTAGCCCAAAAATCCTAATTTATATACAAGAGTGAGTGGTCCAGATTGAAACCAATTCGACAGCTACTAAAATCCCATTACGCTAATATTAGTATATAGCATTGTAGCCATACACTTGGCCCTCACATCATCCCCTCATCTTGGAATAATGGAAGACTATTAGAGTTCTCTTGTAGATGGGCCAAGATCTAGAGGAACATCAGGAGGAGGCATTGGCAGATTTATAGGTGGTATTAACTACTTCTAATCCCTTTGTATGAAATGTTTCAATTGCTACACATGCACAATCTCTAGAGGATTGGCTTGCTAGACGTCATGCCGAACCTCATAAACTTGTGGTCCCACTTGATGCAACACCCGATATAGTCTTTTCCATTGCATAACCTCTTAGATAAACCACGTACCATAAGATGGGGAAAACAGACAAACACTAAATAATCTACTTTGTACTTTGCAGGAGGATAATGATGGGAGTTATAGTGTTGTTGTTGTCCCACTTATACATGGCCTAAGTGTTTGGTAGACTCTGCTCAGACAAATGGAAGAATGCTCATTAAATACTGATCCCACGACCTAGCATTAGCAACTCGTGGCAATGGCAAAGGTAAACCTAGCTCCGTTAGTAATATTAGATCATAACTATATAGGAGTTTATATGGTAAAGCATTAATAGAACTTTGCACCCTTGTGACATATGCATACCGAAGAGATGGCAAATAACCATCCTAATTCGAATGCTGAAAATTCACATACTTCACAATTATCCCTTTGAATGTCCAAACAAGCTATTTCACCAAACCGTCTAATTGTGGATGATAAGCATTCGTGAAAGTGTGGCGTATCCCCAACTGAGATATCAAAACATGAAGTGCCTCAGCCATAAATGCAGGACCATTATCCGAAAGAATCCGCTTTAGACAAGAATGTTGGAACGCCACTCAATTGAGAAAGAAGTATCTAATAGCAGTTGCAAAGGCGCTAGCAAGAGCACCAACTTCCACCCAACAAGTTAAGTAGTTAGAAGCAATAATAACATACTTATTGCCAGCTGTTGATCGTGGAAAAAGTCCCATAAAATCAAACGCCACCAACTCAAACAAACGGGAAATTGCAATTGACTCTAACAGTCCTTCTGTAGCACGAGGGGGAGTATTATGAGCTTGGCACCAAACGCAGCTTCGCACATACCGGATAATATCATGTCACATCTCCGGCTAATAAAAAGACCTGTGCAGTTTCTTGGTTACCCGACGATATCCCATATGCCCACATAGAACAGAAGAATCATGGTAGGCATGAAGAAACTGCAGGAATAAAGACAGAAGGCACCACTAGCCGTAAATGATCATCAGGATCTATCCCCACAAAATAAAGAAGGCCGTCTTCAAGGCAATATTAAAAATGTAAATGCCGGAAAGGTAAGTCATCAGCAAGTGATGCAAGATTCTCAAACCCATTTCGAAGCCTTCAAATCCATAGCTCAATCTTTTGAGCCTCACGAAGCTTATCAAGAGAAGGTAGATCTTGCTCTGCGCCTTGTGGATACTGAACGTCAAGTACAGCAACCACCGACGGCATAGAATCCTCGTTTAGAAAATCCACAGATGCTGGAACAACAAGCTCGTTAAAAACATGAGAATAGAGTGGAGAGGGAAGAGGAGCTCGAGAAAGGGCATTAACATTAGCCATAGAACTCCCTGGGTGATGAACAACATCAAAATCATATATTTGAAGCTTCAAAGCCCATTGAGCAGTACGACCAACCAGGTTCTTCTGTTTCAATAATGAAGTAACAACAACATGGTCACCTTCAAATAATGTCTGAGAACCATGTAGATATGCATGAAGTTTCTTGAAACCCTAGACTGCTGCTAAACACTCTTTATCTGTCGTGGAGTAATTCATCTCTGCTGGTTGTAATGTATGGCTTATATACACAATAGGATAGCACTGACCAAGCACACTCGAGCTCTCTTGCATCAACACACCTCCAAGACCAATGTTAGAAAGCATCCATGCGCAAAATAAAAAGTCGAGTATAGTTAAAATATGCCAAAATTGGAGGAGTCGTCAATAACTCTTTGAAATCCATGAATGCCCACTCACAATCCGAAAACCAAATGAAAGATGACGTTAATGACTTTAGCAATGCTCGTAACGGTGCAGTGCAATTAGAGAGATGATCCACAAAACGACCGAGATACTGCACCTTGCCCAAGAAGTGTTGCATATCATTCACACACTTCGGAGTAGGGAACTTTAGAACAGCCACAATTTTGTCAAGATCAACTTATAAACCTTCACGAGAAATACGGTACCCAAGATAAGTCGTGTCCTTGGACCCAAACATGCACTTTGATCGCTTTAGCTTTAAACCAACGTCGCGTAATCGATCTAACACTTTACAAACATCACGAACGTGCTCCTCCCACGTCCCCTCCGAGTGGATCAAGACATCATCAATGAAGTCAGCAGTCACCTCCAGTATATTACAAAGAACTTTGTCCATCATCCGCTGGAAAGTTGCTGGAGCATTGTTCAAACCAAACGGCATCACCAAGAACTCGCACAAACCAAATGCTATACGAAAAACAATCTTAGGAATATCTTCTTCGGCCATCAATACTTGCCAGCACCTAGAAGTAAGATCTAGTTTGGTGAATTAACGACTTTGCCCCAAACAATCCAAGAGATCAGCAGTGTAAGGAAGAGGGTACACATTGGGGATTGTCACTTCGTTTAATGGACGATAGTCAATATAGAAACAAATACTCCCATCAAGCTTCGTCATAAGATGAAGTTCACATGCCCAAGGACTTTACGACTTTCTAATAACACCCTTCTCTAACATCTCCTTAATGTTTGTAGGTAAAATCTTGATCTCCTTGAGTGACCGACAATGAATAGGAACTTTAATTGGACAAGCATCCCTGATTGGAATCGGATGATGTGTGGCAGACGATAAGTCAAATTCAAAGAGATTAGAATACTCCTTCATGAGCCGGCTACCACACAAAGATTGTTGGAGGGATTGAATAAGGGAAGAGCAGAACAAGACGGAAACATAGGAGGAAATAGTGGGGGAATAAAAGTAATGGAAGCAAAAGTAGAAGTAAAAGGACAAAAAAGTATGGAAGTGAGAGGAATGGATGAAACATAAGAAAGTATGAAACAAGGGGGAGAAGCCTCAATGTCATACTTGGTATGATTGCACTGCAACTAATCTATACCAAGAATGAGGTCAAAAGCTTAACTTGGCACCACCCGCAATGATTGTAACTCAAGCTCGAAATTGCCCACATGCACAACCAGATCCACCTCATCCCGTGCACATGCATGTGTATGGCTATTGCTATAAAGAATGAAAATTGGTTCCGCCGCACAATGCAAGTGTAGACAGCAACGTGTGGCAACAGGTCAAGCAATAAAAGATAAACTCGAACCTATATCAATTAACACGGAGAGAATAATAGGAGGCCTCTTGTTATAAAAACAAGCTTGGAAAGTAAACATAGAATAAACTAGTGCCGAGTGAACCCCTTGATGATACTCTCAAAAGAAAGATGAAGGGGTCACTGACTTATTCGTGCAAGGTCCATCCATTACTCACGTGACTCCTCATTTCCTGGATGCATCTCGGTGTCCAAACCTTCCACTGTAGCAGCACCAATAGGACGTTGCTGACGCCAAGGTCTCCACCCAGGAAATAGAGGTTGCCAATTTAGAAAATGCCGACAACACCGATAAATATGATCAACTTCATCACACGCCCAGTAGTGAACATCACGGCCACAACCACATCCTCACCCTTGTCCTTGGACTCGAGCAATAGCAGCATCAATCTCCATTGGAACAGGACTATCACCCATAGGAAGTGGAGCTAAAGGATGTGCAACGATAAATGGAAGAGGTGACGTCTCATAACGTTGTGCCAAGCGAAGAGCATCGTCAAAGGTGGCGGGAGCAAGTGTATGCACAAGTCCAACAAGATTTTGACGAAGTGTTGGCCACAACATTTTTAGCTTGAACCGCTCTGACATATTTGGCTCCACACGAAACAAAAGACTTCGAAAACAAATGCCAAATTGCATCACCGATTCAGATGGCCCTTGGCAAAGACGATGCTATTGTTGGAAGGCATTATCACAATCGTCGGTATGTCCGAAGGCGCATTTGAAGTCGTTCGGGAGAACACTCCAATCCCCACGAGTGGCTGCGCTCAAACTATTGTACTATTGCAATGCCATCCCTTGGAGGCACGTGGGAAACTCATGCAAATGTCAAGCATCGTCCCACAAATAATATGTGGCAATCACCGTGAAGTGATCGAACTAATGGTACACATCATCCCCAGGATTCCCGCAAAAGAACTCTGGCCGAACGTGAGGACTGGCACCAAGAGCAGGATGAGTTGTACCATGTGCCGTGAACGCTGCCATTAACTGAGTTTGGTTGTTCAATTGCAAACGCATAGCATCATACCAAGTATTGCTCCAGAGTCAAAAAAGGAGATTGCTGATCTGCCATGAAGATGAACGAAAAAGAAAGAGCAAAAGAAGAAAAATGACAAAAAGCTAGAAGGAATGGTAGGTCTAAACAATGAAAAAGTTAGATTTAAACCAAAATCCTGAAAAGAAAGAACAAAATGAAGGAAATGGAAAAAGCTAAATCTAAACAATGTAAAAGTTAGATATAAACCAAAATCCCAAATCCAAATACTCTTCAAGGACAATCAAAGGTGCCCCTTACTTCTACTAATGTGAGTGTTTAGAATATGGAAAGGGAATTTAGAAATGTGCATATTAATTAGCCCAAAA